CGACAATCGCCAGACATCGACTTTTGAAGCCATTAATCACGGCCGCTATCTCAGCACTGGTAATTTTGTCAATTTCACTTTTGATTTTTTCTTTAGGATCTTTGAGATTTTTCGGTGCTGTGGCATAGACTAAGTCTTTGAGTCTACCCCAGAGATAAAAATCACACGGGTTTAGGTCAGGTGAATAAGGTGGCCAGTCAATGCCACACCCAAATCTCTTGTTACACCCAAGTCCTATCACTCGTCCTGGAAAGTTTTCATGGTGATAATCCATAACATCGGATGTTCTATGAGGGAGTGCACCATCTTGCATGCACCAGAATACATCAATACAACCTTTTTCTTTTATGGAAGGGATGAAAAAATTCTGCAGCATCTCAAGATATGCATCTCCAGTGACATTGTTATCAAAGAAATATGGTCCCAGTATTCCTTTGGTACTACTCGCACACCAAACAGTGAGTCTTTTTGGTTTCATTGTTGTTTCAACATGGGGATTGGATCTAGCCCAAAAACGACAGTTTTGTTCGTTGACATAACCTGATAGCCAGAAATGGGCTTCATTACTAACAAGAGAACCACGCGAGTTGCCTAAAAGGGATTGGAATTTTTTTATTCAATAGAGCTGGTTAAGTAATGAAATAGTGAGATGGGTTTTGCCTGTTCCTAACTAGCAACTGGTTCCTAAGATATTTGGGTTTAAAATTTCGAGAGTTTTATGATAATGAGGTGTGAGCCGAGAGGTGGCGCAGTGAGAAAAGGGTTGGATGAAGAAGATAAAGGTTATGGGTTCGAATCTCGGTGTTGGCTTTTTTTCAAACTTTATTTAAACATTTAAATATTATTTTTAATGTATTTTAATGTTATTTAAATCATATTGCAAATCACATTTAAATTACTTTAACAGTATTTAAAGCATTCGCACTGAATTTTTCAGTAATCTATATCAGTAAAGAAGGGAAAAGTGTGTTATATAAGCTGAAAACTTATTTTCTTATCATATGTTTCTTTGTTCCTTTGTTAATATTTGCCATCTTACTTTGGTTGAAAGTTATCTACATTGTTTTAGTTTTAATTACTTATGAAGTGATTTTATTTTCCCATTTTTTACTGCTCACTTTTACTGTTATACCTATTTTGAGTCAATACAACAATGATCAACCCAACAAATGTTGTGGATCTTCTCTCCAATAAGTGTGGAACCTCCGGAATAAGATCAACAGTTATTACAACCGAGGAAATCGAATCGGCCAATCTTTTGTGGGAATTGCTTTGGGAAAAAAGTAATGTTGAATGTTAAGTGCAAGAGGATGTTTATCTTTATGATGAATTAGATCCAGAGGACTCATCCTGGATCCTGAGGATAGTGATAGTGATTGTGCGCCTTCTTCTTCATCCTCTTATGTCCCATCTCCGGTGCAAAACCAGTTCCTTTGCAAAAGGAATTTAAGCTTGAGCAAATGAAAAGAATAATTGAATATTGTGACAAATATACAACTACATCAACTATGAAACGTTATGCAAAACTGAACAATGATAACGCAAAAAATTCAACTAATAAGGGAATACCTTGAAAACGAAAGTAACAGATTGAGTGAATTGAATTCAGTCAAATCGATGATATATTTCAAGTTCCGAGCGAATCGTGAATCATTTTTCATCAATTCATGATTATGATCTGCATACTTGGGCTATGCAAGCAGGTAATACATTAAAGCTGCCAAAATTCGTTGCATCAAATACTTTCATCAGAAGTTTTAAAAGTGAATTGAAAATATCACCACGAAAATTTACTAAATGCAACAACAAAAAAGACTCATACAAATGAAGAAAAAATAAAACAATCAGCCATTGATTTCGCCAAAAAAGTAAATGAGCTAAAGCAAAATATTAGCAATGATGATGTTTGGAGCATCGATCAGTCTGGTTTCAATTATGTAATAACTTCAAATAGAACTTTGAGTAACAAAGTCAAAGAGACACTGCTCTTCTTTTTCAAAATTGCAACTCGTTAACTCACTCATATACTATTCAAGTTTTAATTTCTAATGCTGGTAAACTAGCTCCAAATTTATTAATTTGTTTCTAAGAGCCTTCAGGTAAATTTGGACCACAAATCAGTAGAGCCGTAGTGTCAGGAAAGCCACCTAATGTAGAAGTTACATGTACAACAAGTGGTAAAATGACTAAAAAAACCTTGCACACTTAGGTTAAAACTTACTTCAATCCTCTTTGTCACTCGTATAACTTATTGCTTCAAGATTCATGGTCAGGTCAAAAAGATATGGAAATTTATGGCGAGGAGTTGGATAACTTTGTCTGGTTAAAAGTTGAAACCATTCCTTCGAAAGCAACAAAATATTGCCAACCCCTTGATTTTTACTTTTTCAGACAGTATAAACTGTTTACCAGACGTTTTCAAGATGCAGTGAGATGCGCAGTCGCCGATGAAGCTGTAAGCAAGTTAAATGATCGTATTTTCATAATATCGATGCATTCATTTATTTATAACCAATTATCAGCACCAATTTACCATCAAATGCTACTTTATGCTTGGAAAGCTTCTGGTTATACAGGATGTTAGAAAATCAACTAGACCTATTTGCGCTTCAATATTTTTCGAACCAAGCAGAGTAAACAGACTCGTTATATATTGTTAGAATGTCTTTGACTAGAAAACATATTTGAATAGAAAAAAAGAACTTTTGCATAACTTTAGCTCTCAAGAATGGACGAAAACTAATTTTTGCCTGTTTTGGTTTTTCGAATTTTTCATTGATTTTGGATTCGAATTTTTCTTACTTTTTAAGGTCAAAAGAATCTTAGACACATGTCAAAAAATATGCTGCAACTTTTTATTTCAATTAATTATCTATCAAAAATTTTACCTATTATTGAATTTTCATCTCATTGGGAAATTAACACAAAATTGCTTCAAATTTCACCTAAAATTTTCACAACTTTTTGCATCGTATGGAATTGGTAGTTTGGCCTAGAATTTTTCCTTTTGCAAATGAACAAATATTTTTAAGTTGGACTTTCAGCTTTCTAATGATACTAAAAATAAAAAAATGGCTCAGCAATTTCGAAGTTATTATCAATCAAACAGGTCTAGTTGATTTTCTAACACCCCGTACTATTTCAGGGGAATTCACATCATTCAAATCAGTTTTATAAATTAATTTCGATAGCAGCTTCGAGTATTGCTCTATTTCAGGTTGCAATTCTCTTATGTTTACAAAATGTTGCTATTGTCGAGCATACTTATGCTGCAAACACTGTCTTACTCCTCTTCATCTCAGCGCACATCAACCCTCCTCTTCCACTTCATTATCATTAAACTACCGAAATTTGAAACTCAAATATCTTAGGAACCAGTTGCTGTACAGGCAAAACGCATCTCACTATTTCATTACTTAACCAGCTCTATCGAATAAACAAAGTCCCATTCCAATCCCTTCTAGGCAACTCACGTGGTGCCCTTGTAAACCAAATTTTTTCGGCGGCAATTTCTTTATTGTGCATTTTTCTGATCATTGTTCGGCGAATTGTGATCTTCTTTCCTCATCATAGTCACTTAATTGCTGTAAAACTTGAATCTTGTATGGGTATGAATTAACTTTAGTTTTCAATATCTTTCGTAATGAAAATACCGGTATTTGCAATTCATGCAAAGCTCTTCTCAGTGAAGTACCAGGGTTTCCCTCATAATGTTTTTGAACTTTAGCAATATTTACATCAGTTGTTACAGTAATTGGCACTCCGGAAGGTCCCTTTCATTGATCTGAAATGCTTACAGTAGCATGGAATTTCTTTAACACTTTGCCGATTGCACGTTCATCTGGAATGTCACGGTAGTTTTTGTGTCCCAAATGATCACGGAGAGCCTTTCTTGCAGCAGCCAAAGATTTATTGTTGAGCCAATACTGTTCCACCACAAAAATCTTCATTTTGTCTACGGCAGTAAGATTTGATGGATTTGTTGCAGCACTTTCTGCTATGTTGAATTATTGTCTTTTATCGAAAAGCAATGTTGATGTCGATATCGAATATTGATGTACGACTATCAAAGTTTGCAAAACAGTCAAAAAACGTGAAAATTCCTGTTGAGTTAGCCAAGAAACAACAAAGACCCGACCAACGCCCTAAAATTTTTGCGCATGCATCGTAGCCTCAAGCGTTTTGCGAAAAATTCAAAAGGGCATATTTTGTTTCCCCTCCCCTAAACATTACTTTCACTAAGAAAGAGCAAATTCAGAAAAGAAATGCAGAAGATTGAAAAAACACAAGGCCAAGTTTTATCAAACACCCTGTATATTTCCCATGCTGGTTCGCAACACTACTAATAGAATTTGATGTAGTTGGTATTCCTACTGTGAAATTATTACTTGGATTTTCTAATTTCTTTTGAGTTAGTTGATTGCTTAATTTTCGTTTCCACTCCTTCTATCAATTGTTTTCTAGGGGGGCTAAAATCTAATCACATAAAATTGGGTGGGTTACAGTTTATGACTAGTGATGAGAAATGGATATACCTGAATAACGCAATAAGGTCGTACGTTTAATTGGACCCAGGTCAACCTTCATGCTCCACCCCCAGACCTTCAATTCATCGATCAAAGTTAATGTTGTCTATTTAAAGTGTACAAGGGGCCTTATGAACTGTTATCACAAGTTCAAACTGTTACTGGTGAGTTTTACACACAGCAATTGACAAAATTGACTCTCTGGTCAATAAATGACCTGCATTGGTCTATAGGTCAAAGATTATCTACCAATATGATGACAACCGGCTTCATGTTGCAAGCATCGTCAAAAATAAACTGGTCGAATTACAATGGAAAATTATTATTCACCTAATCTTGGTCCATCAGACTACCAACTTTTCTCGTCCATGGTGAACTCTTTCAAAGGCCAAAAGTTCAATAACCGAACCGTAGTTCAACGAGCGCTCGCCGATTTCTTTGAGCCTTATGTAAGCACATGTTGATTAGGCGAAAATGATCGCAAGAAAGTGTAAAATACCTCTTAAAGAGAAGTTAAATATAATTAATCAGTGTGACAGTTTAAGTCGTGAATCAGTCGCTCAACAACATCTTCTTTCCCCTCAAGCAGTTAATTACATAATCAAAAATTCTGATAAGTTCATTAAAGCTTACAATGAGAATCCATCGAAAGACTCAAAAGGTGTGAGAACTGAATTCTCATTGGAAAAACTAGAAACTGAAGTTAGTGAATTTGTGTTAAAACTAAACAATAATGGAATAACAGTTCATGGAGAAGAAATAAGATGTTATGCTTTACGAATTGCTAGTGATAAAGGCTTGACAAATTTCAAAGCTTCAAGAGGCTGGTTACTGAATTTCTGTCAAAGAAAAGGAATTAAGTCACTGAGGTTGAATGGACAAGAAGGACTTGTAGATGGTCAAATTACTAAACAATGGTTTGATAAGATTAAAGTTGAATTAAATCATTATTCTGAATATATCTTGTTGAATGCAGATGAAACATCTTTTGAATATCACAACCAAGCTCGTCGATCTTACATTCATCCTGATGGAAACACTAAAAATGTAATAGAGAGAAAAGAAAGAGTTACATTATTTTTCTGTGTATCGAGTGTTGGTGAGAAATTTAAACCTTTAGTAATAGGTAAAAGTGAAAAACCTCGATGTTTCAAAAACAAAGATCATATCATTGAAAAAATCAGCTATCGATCAAATCAAAGAGGATGGATGACATCGGTTATTTTCACTGAATGGTTAATTGAATTGGATAATTTATTCCGAGAGAGGCAACAAAAAGCTATTCTTTTTATTGATAATTTTGCTGGACATACAACAGAATATGAACCAACAAATATCCTTCTAATGTTTCTTCCACCAAACACGACTTCAGTCACTCAACCATTGGATGCAGGTGTAATAAGAGCTGTAAAATCAAAATACAGAAAAACATTATCATCATTATTAGTTGATAAATATTTAAACACTGAAAATACTTACTTGAATAATAAGAAGGTTGACTTGGCTCAGGCCATTGAGATGATAAGTGAAAGTTTCAATTCGATAACAGAAAAAACAATAATGAATTGTTGGAAAAAATGTAACTTAATTTTTGATTAAAACTCATGTTCATGTTTACTTGTCAACAAGCTCTTTTACCCCTAAAAAACAAGTGTTTTCCCCTCTTAGTTTGAGTAGATGGCGTTACTCCAAAAAAAAACAAAAAATCAAGGATTGACTGTAATTCGGAAAAAAATAAATTAGATAATAAAATTTGAGAAAATTAGTTTTGCGCATTATGAGGACATCATTTAAAACCATAAATAATCGATCTGTGACCCATTAGATTTATTCACTTCGAATATTCTTGACTCATTGATTTGATGAACGTTTTTAGGTAACTTGGGTCCATGTTATACCAGATCTCTTGAACGAAGTCGCAAAGTTCATCCACATTACGAAATTGTCATTGATTTTATTAAATTTTTAAGCCATTAATCCTCAGAGATTTTCAATCGGGTTCAGGTCTGGTGAACATGATGGCCAATCTAATAGTCGAACATTATTTTGCCTAAAAGAAGACTGAAGACTGAAGATTCCAATGAAGACTTTGAGGTATGAATTCTGGTATTATCCTGTTGATAAACCCATTCATTAACAGCCAAATTTGTAGCATTCTTCACTATTGATCTTCGTGGATATCCTAACTAGCGGTAAAACATCATTCAAATAAAAAGAACTCGATACCACAAGCGTACCAGCTCCAAAATCACGCTTCGAAAAAATTCTTTCATCCTACTGAATGTCGTGCTAATAGAATTTCTGTCCATCAGGACCATCAAGATTAAATTTTTCTCATCACTAAACACTATTTGAATCCATTTATGACCATAACTTATGTGTTTGCAGCGAATTCCAGTCGGTCACTAATATGGCTCTCTGTCAACCTCGGAAAATGCAGCATTGGTTCGTATTCCATAAATTTAGAATTTTGAGTTGCATTGAACACTGTCCTACGGCATACTGGAAGTTGAGTTTCCTTGAGAATATCATTATACGGATGATTATTGACAGATGATAACATTAAAATCCGTCATAAATCACGATCTGATAACTTTTTAGGAATTCCAGACCTCGGTGTTGCAAAGATAATATTGTAAAGATTTCAATGTTTCAATTGAATTGAAATAATCAGTGAAAAATGGTCAAAGATACGATTTAATTTATTATGAAATCCCACAAGATGATTGTTTGTTCGAGTAGAAAATTAGCAAAATCATTCCATAATAATTTTCTCGGAAATGAAGCTTTATCTGAAATCCATGTCTCTTGCACATAAACAAAAATTATCTAACCTTTCATCATGAAATTCATTTGCTGCATTAATTAAGCATTAACCATGCATCTTTTTATATTCAATTCGATATTCATTTCCAAATCATTATTCTTATCATAATCAGTTTTCAAACCTAAATTTTGAATTTTCTCAATAGAGCCTGCTAAAAATGAAAATAACGACCATGAATCTAAGTATTACGAAACTCATATTACATGCTTTGAATCAAACTTACAGTATTAAAATTATCTCTCGGGGTCGACTTTTGAGTGAGTCCTCAACCATCCGAAGCATAGCATTTTACTCTTTGATAAAATTGTTTTCTCCTCATGATTCGGATGATTATTGATTCCTGGTTCTTTGGTTATTGATGAAAATTCCCAAATCATTGTAACATTACAATCAATACAACGCCAAGATTTTTTATAATTTATTACAATTTTACTATCATATATAAATTCACGGTATACTAAATTGAAAGGACAATAGCCAAATCGGCCCAAAATTCAAAACTTGCTCAGCCATATATCAATCGAAAGCTTATGATGAGTAGATCGGGCCTCCCTAAAAATCGGGTCAAAGTTCGTATCACCTGGGGAGTTATTCAACAGATTCCTTGATACCCAATGACGACCACCTTAAACATATTTTTTCAGATAGAACTTTGCATGAAAAATCCAATGATGCTATGCATGTTGCTCTAAACCTGTGGCCTTTTGAGTTATTTTACTTTGAAAGTTTTGCATGCTGCAAATGAATATATAAAGCCGTGGCGTTTCTTAAAAACCCTATGAGGACCACCTCTGACCTAGTACATATTGTTAAGCGCCCTAAATACTATCATGAAAGGTCAAAAATAATTCTCTGAATATGTGGTTTTTAGATTTGCCATCTACAAGTCACTTTTTCATAATGTCACTGAATATAAAATGCCGTGGTCAAATCTAAAACTACATGTTTAGAGTATTATTTTTTAGGGAGGCATACTCCTATCATCATAAGCTTTCGATTGATATATGGTTGAACGAATTCTGAATCTTGAGCTCAAAATCGCACATTTTGGCTATCCTCCTTTCCCTTTTTGTTTTTCACAAATCCATTTTTTTTAACTCAATATTTCCCTATGAAACTGGACATAAAACTGAACTTTTTACGTGCATTTCTTGTTTCAAATCAAATGCAAATCTCAGTATTCATCTGTGAGAATATTAGGGGCTGCAAAATGTAAGCGTGAAAAGTGGGTTATTCGTGTCAATTTTATTGATTTTACACATAGTTACCCCTCAGGTCAATACAGTTTTGCCACCGGTGTGGCAGTGAGTCAAGTCCACTTTTTTACCCAAATTCCGGCTTTTTTTCAAAAACGGCGAACATAATCTCTTCGGATGCCCCAAACCGCTAACCCCGTATGAATCTTTTGAGATTTGAGAACAAAAAGAAGTCACTAGGGGCCAGGTTTGGAGAATAAGGCGGATAGTTGATCATTTGGCATCCTTTCTCTTTGAGTAAGGCCATTGTTTGTGCAGACTTGTGACAACGAGCGTTGTCTTGCAAGAAAACCGGTTTTGTTGCGCCCCTCTCTGGTCTCGATCTTGGTAAAAAATTGGAAACTTCACGGATTTGGTTGCAGTACTCATCAGAGTTAACAGTAGTACCAGATTCCATCCACTTAAGATATATAATTCCGCTGCTATTCCACCAAACGCGAGCCATCAACTTTTTTCCAAGGCGGTTGCCTCTGACCTCTTTCGATATGTCTTGCTTATCTTTGACCCGTTCTTTTGACTCTTGTGATGTCAAAGGGTCATAAGCATATACTTAAGTTTCATCCATAATAAGCTAATGCTTAATGAAATTGTTCTTGTGGCTTTGGTACAGCTTCAAACATTCCGCACTAGCTTCACATCTTTGTTTGCGTTGGGCCTCTGACTATGTGGAACTCAATTCATAGTCATTTTTTTGAGGGCTAATTCGTCTTTTAAGATAGTGTATGTGATACCAATCGATACGTTGAGTTCTGCAGATAATAGTTCAACAGAAATTTTCTTGTCCTGCCGTTTACAATGACATTTTTAAGATAACCTTTAGGTGATTGGAGTAAAAACTGGTTTCGTGTAAGGATAAGTTAAGGAGAAAGAATTGAGAAGGAAAAATGAAGTAATTATGCTTGAGCTTTTTAAAGCTAAGATGGACATGTGTGAAGCACACTGCGAAGGGTTGAGTAAATAATTATATTCTGAAGATGATCAGAGTTAATGACAATTAGTAATATGAGTCGGATTTGAATAACGTAAGAAAATCGTTTATTAACATGAGAATCGAGAAAGTATCATGTTTGGGTTAAATTCAAAGGAATCATCAAGTTTAATTTAGGAAAACTTATATCATCCGAAAGAGCTTGGAAACGGCTTTCGAATGATGTACTGAGTTAATGATGAAAACATTAATTGTTGGTGAGATAAGATGATCCTTAAAAATATTCAATATTATTGAGTAGACATGAGAGTTATATTTGTAGCTCGACACTGGATGAAGTTACAGACATATTAATTAAAAGTATTTCAGATGCTCTTTCTAATGATATGTTAATTGTCTTTGTCGGTTGTTTGATTCTTTAAAAATAGTAGGGTCGCCAGGATGACTTTACCCATTATATTCCCTATGTGAATACATAGACTTTTGACAGTAATCAATTATATATCATTAGTTAGAGCTTGGAAAGACAAAGCTAATGATATATAAACCACTGCTGAGTTATGTGGTTGACGAGTAACTGATGACCCAAGTTTGAGTCGAAAAAGTGAAAAATTGAAAAATTGAAAAATTTAAGGTTAAATGAAATTAATGGTAAATATGCTTATCAGAGTGAATCTGTTGTAGTCTTGAGGTCTGATTACAACCAACACCTTTCCCTGCTTCACACATTTCCTTACAAAAATGGTTATGAGTAAAATAAACTAAATAGTAAAATGAGTTACATCGATTGGTAAATGTATTGTAATTACTGCTTTTAGGTTAATGCAAATCAAAAATTATATTAATATCAAAGTAAAAAAATGAACATAATGAACTAAGAATGTTTGTTCGGTTATGGTTTTGTGCAGTAAATCAAATAAAAAGTATAGAAAGAAATCATGAAATGTTCAGTAATTGTTTGCAGTGGTTAAAGGATGGAGAGCAAAGTGATTTGGTTAACATGTCGGCAGGTTGATCTTTTGTTGAAATGAAATAAATCTTAATAAAAAGCTTGTTCTTGATAATCGCGAATAGCGTGAAAACGAATGGCAATGTGTTTTGTTCTTTGATGAAATACATTATTCCGGGTTAACAATATTGCTCCCTGATTGTCATTCATAATTTTTATTGGCAATTCAATGTTGATCGAAAGATCTTTGATAATTGAATGTACCAAAGTAAATCTCTCATACATTCAGCAATGGAAACATGTTCAGCTTCGGTTGTTGATTGAGCTACACTTTTTTGTAATCTTGAACACCAAGAAATGGGTGATTTTGCTAAGGTAACAACAAAACCTGATGTTGATTTTCTGGTAACAACATCAGCAGCATAATCAGCATCGGCATAACCGATCAAATCAAAATTATTAGGTGAGAAACAATATTCAATGCCAACATTCACAGTACCTTTATGTCGTTACAATTATGTCGTTGGTGAGTAACTGATGACCCAAGTTTGAGTCCAAAAAGTGAAAAATTGAAAAATTTAAGGTCAAATCAAATTAATGGTAAATATGCTTATAAGAGTGAATCTGTTGTAGTCATGAGGTCTGATTACAACCAACAAAACATGTCAGAACCATTTTTGCATTAGGCTTAAGCCATTTTCTCCCTTTTTAATCCAATTGATGCTGCTTAGGGTTCAAAGTCGGAATCTTTTTCATTAAATATTTCTTTAAAAGCATTAATCTAGCTAAAAAAATTGGATTAGTTAATTAACTGAATCAATTTACTGTAATATTCAAAAAATCTGCTGTCCTCATACTCATTGCCAGCAGTGTACTTTATTCTTGACATTGAGTAGTCAAATCTCATTGCTAAACCTTGGACTGTTACTTTACTTTGTCTTGAAATTTGGAAGTCACTACCTAAGGCAGGTCGTTACACTGAATTGACATTTATTCTGATAACATTGAATTTACTCGTTGAGTTTTTGATAAAATACTTCATTGAGAATCTGATTTTGTGAACAATTTAAAATAAAAATACTATAAATAAACGCACAGAATTTTAATGAGTGTTTGAATTCATTGAAATTTTAATTCTTCATAACATTTGTAGCAATTTTCATTGGTAAATGAAACTGGCCAAGGTAATTATAATGGTTAATGAGAGGGTAAATAGCGATGTAATGAAACTGTTGTTTATAGTGAAGAGGTTGGCGAAAGTAAAGCCAACATCACTGAGCGCCATTCGAGCAATGAAAATGTCATTCTAAGAGACAAAATTGAGAAGTAAAAAGTTAATCATTTCAATGGACTACAATTTATTTTACTTACTTCATGGCATGATTCAAATGTGTTCAATTTGAATGATAGTTCATACAAATCTTCCATCCCTTTACGTGATAAATTGTTTACTGAAACCAAATTGTAAGTCAAAAGGATAAATAGGATTGCGTCAATCAACATGTATAGGAACCAACTTGAATCGAACCTTGTCTTTCGTCCAAATGACATGACAATGTTCATAGTAACAAAAGCAAAGTATTCCATATAGAATCTTGTAATGTAGTAGCGAAACAATTGTTCAGCACTTTGAGTTGATCGCACCGCATAACTATACTTTTGTCTCAAATCTCTGATTTTGTGGAATAAATGACCAAATGATTGGTCAGATAGTTTATTTAAGTTAGCGATTTGTGAATTGATCTGATTAAAAGCAGCCTTTAGACAGAAGCAAATGTTGCAAATCATGTTTAGATGGAATAATGAGCCGAATCTGAAGAGTCCTGCATGAAAGCAGCGTAAGATGAATACAAATGGATTGTCAGTATGAATAGATAAACCTTTAGCTGTTATGATGTACAGTGTCATGTAAATGGTGAATGCCACACTCAAAAGGGCTTGAATAATTCGACGATTGCGTTTGATTTTTCGAACTGCAAAGCTGTCCGTTTCAATGTGCAACAGTTGAATAGTAGAGATAAATTCTCTGAAGTGATCCATATTAAAGCCAAAAACGATCACCAAACAGGTAAACAACAGATTGATTACATCTGTAGTATGAAATGAAAATTCCAATAGCAAAATCTTTGAGGTGTATCTGCAGTTACTGAAAAGATAAAAAGACATCCATGATAGTTGGAAAGCTGATCCATAAGCAGATGTCAATAAGAGTACTATTTTAATCGCTGGTCCAAGTATGTATTTGGAGGGTAAAATGTACCCATCCAAGATCACTTGGTTGAATATATTTAGAGGTTTGGGTTGAAACATTTTATCTGTAACTGCTAAGGTTTGACTGAAAATGATTTCCCAAATTGCAATCAAATTTATCTATCAATCGATTTGATCCAGACTTGGTAAGCAAACACGAATGGCTTTTTTGTTCAATTCAAAAATTATTTGAACAAAAGAAACAGTGAAAACTATGGATACACATACATAGTAAATGGAACCATAATCATTTATTATCATTGATTGTCCAGTTTCTGCTTTATTGTCAACCTGTTTTCATGAAAACGAAATAATCATTTGTATGTGCGATAAAATATTAATTCAATATTCCGATAGTTTTTTATATTCTGGTGATATCCCGCTTGGATCGCGTAATTCATACCTGTGGCGAAATAATATTGATTATCTGGTATCTTGAAGCAATAGCTGGAGTTGTCCAAAACGCAATCAAAAATTATCTTCTAGGGTTAAGCAATTCATGCTTCTTTCATTTCACCTTTAAAGATCGAATGAATAACCATGAAGATAGTTCCGATAATTGGAAGCTTTGAAAATAGCAAAATCAGCACCCGTAAAAGGCAAAAAATTTTAATTGAAACATTCATCGTTTCACTGTATGGATAATCATGCAGTCAAAAATAATCTTTAGAAACTTTAACGCATAAAGGGTACTCTCATGATGAGGAAAAATAGAACTGAGAAATGCTGTGAAATCGAAAGCGCTTATATTAATCAGGAAAGTCATTTGATTATTGCACCGTTGAAAATATGCAGGTAGCTATAGTGACCTAGAAACCCTTTGGCTTAAAGTAAAGATCACGATTAGTTATCATGAGCTAAGCATGAACGCCTACTAGATCCTGCGGAGCGAACAGGCATCTTAATTTCATCTTATCTTCATTTAAAGTTGCACTTTTGGGTGAAGATGTCCTTTGATTTTACTAATTCTTTTCCTCTCCATCTGTTGTTGATTTTACTAATGGACAAATGATTATTTCATGACGGATAACGAAATTGCCCATTTCTCAATCCTTTGTATTGACACTAATGATGATTGAAATATGATTTCCGAATATTTACTGTTGAATTGGCATCGATGTCGAGTTTGGTCAACGAGTCAAAGTTTAGAGTGAGAATTTACTTTCAGACTCTGGATGGCTAAAGAGTAAACTATTTAGTTATTAAATAAACTTAAACTGAATATACTGATTGTTCAACTTCGAATAATTTGAGAGTTTGAAAAATTTTGTATAAAAGTTGTAATTGAAAAGCAAAGAATTATTGTGAGTTGAAATGAAAATTGCGAGGCATTGTTTTTACAAAAAAGTACGAAATGGATTTCTTTTTAATCAACATCCAGTCGCTATATTTTAGATTAGCTCAATTTGAAAAAAATTACTAATTGTTTAGCTTAGAACTCATCATGTTTAGTTTCTGACTTATCATCGTCATCATCATCGGCTTCTTCTTCTTTATCAACCTCTTCATCCTTCTTTTCCTCTGCAGCAGCTTCAGTTGCTTTCCTTTCTTCTTCATCCTGTTTCTCTTTCATTTTTTTCTCCTCTTTAACTCTTTCCAAGATATCGTTCAATGTTTCATCGGCTTCCTTTTCACTGTCAGTGATCAAAATGTTGTCAAAAATGGTTCCAGCTTTAACTTGCCATAAATCAAAACCAACACTACAGATTTCTGGATATCTGTAAAGTTTATCATCAGCAACGTAATCTGGATTATCGAAAAGAAGGATGAACCCATGGTCCTTTGTATGCTGGGTTATCGATTTGTTTTGGTTTCCATTCACCTAAATATTAAAAATACAAAAACAGGACAAAGAAGAAAAATGAAATATAAAGTACAATAAAAACTGAATTGAGATGATATTTCACAAGAAATATTGAGAAATATAGCAACCCAACTTGCAATACAATAAAATTAATAGATTCATGTAACCATGTTTCTCTACTTTCACTTTTTCTTATTCATTTTAAAATTACCTTTAAATGCTGGATTGTTAATTTGAGGTGGTTCCCATTCACCGTCCATTTCATCGTCCCAATCTTCGGGTTTAGATGCATCAGGGTCTGGGATATATTCTGGTTGATCCCAATCTTCAGGTTTTTTGTCTTCAGGGTCATCAATTTTGGCTCTGTCATCCCAATCTTCGGGTTTCTTTGCATTAGGATCCTTAATTTTCTTGGGTAATAAGAAGTTCCAATCTTTTTCTAATTCTCCTTTCTCTACGGTTTCACCGTCAATTGATACTTTGTAAGTGTTGTCAGGCTTAACAGTCAATCGATAAACGTGTGTATGGACATCATCCTTACAACGAATGTCTTTATTAATGAGCAAATTTTTTCCTTTGTAGTTGAAAATAGCATGGACTTTTTTGGTTGCTGGACCGCAAATATCAGGTCCAAACATAAGTAAGTATGGAGAATCACCATGAAGTTGCTTTTGATCAAGTGCACAATCAAATACTTTCAAGTATCCACCACCACAGTCAATGTTTTGTTCGTGTTTTACTGTTGGAATCAAATGGAATCAAATGAAAGAGAGTGGAATAAAAAAATTAAATATCAATCAGATTGTAGATAAAAGCGACTGATTGAGCATTATTATAAATGGTTACTAAGGTTCCATCAAATATGAAATCTATTCAAAATCAACCGCCATGTATACTGCATGGAATTGTTGTTTACTTTATCATTAAATTAGTCTACATTTGTATTGCCGTTCTTCTTTACTGATTACTTAATTGTATTTAATAAACTAAAGTATAATGCTGGTTAAGTAGGCGATTATGTTGACGTCACACACCCAAACCACATTTTAACAGGGGAGCAACAAACTTGATATTTATTCATACACTTCTGGACAAAGACATATTGCCACGTTGAGACTTAACAACTGTAACAACATTTCTCTAGTAATGCTCAAAATAGATAACATTATGATATATTGTATTATCACTGATTGTAATATCGATATACTAACCTGAAAATTGTACAACCAGGTCTTTTCCTTCATTATCAAACTTATTGTCTTCAAATTTAGCTGAAAGACCATAGAATCTGGCATCTTGAGATGTTTTGATTCCCTTGTCTTTTAAATCATCGCCATAAAATTTACCGGCTGTCCATTCAAATTTACCAAATTCTTTACCAGGAAATTCTGATTGTACCCATCTTTTCTCCCAATTTGGTGTATCAAACTCTTCTCTAAAATAAACAGTTGCACCAATGCCTGTTGCCAGACAGGCTACAAGGCAAAATACTAATTTTAGTTTCATTACCTAGAATAACAACAAGACAACAAGACATTAATCAATAAAAGGATAAATTGATAATTTAAGATCAATCTAATCATAAAAGAAACAAGAGAAGATTGAAGAATAATCGAGAAATTTGATTAAATTGAAAAACATTGACAGATTGAATCTGCAAAGAAGGATATGAAAGGAAATCCCAGAAAAGACTTTACTTGACTTACCTTAAATTTGAATAAAAAGATGTCAGGTTAAGAAGAATAGATTTTTATTGCAATAAGTTACAAATAAATATGGGTAATATACTTAATAAAGTTACAAATGCACAATTAGTAATTAAATTGATTGACACAAACCCAATTGAATTACTGATTAATAAACTGACGAGTCTAAACACAATTGTTTAACCTGGTAAAGAAATGATCCAAGTGTAAGCTGTTCATTGGCTGAAAAAAAATATGCACGCAAGCGTAGATTGATACTCTGGTCACAAATAAAATTTTTAATCTTATCTTTTATTAATTAACCCATTAATTTCATTGTTTCTTATACACAAATTAATAGTGTTTGATCAACAATTTATCAAAGGAAACAATAAACCGAAGGTCAACATATTAGCATTTTAATTGTAATAAAAAATAACCAAGTTTGTGCTTTAAATGAATAGTGTGTCTCTATCTAAATGCTGATATTATCTTTAAAGAGACTCTTAAATGCCGGTTAACTCAAGTCACATTTGTTTGCTTATAATCAGTCTGCTTATCAACATAGACTCATAACATCTGGTTTAAAATTTAACATTTCATCTCACCAGTGTTTCAATAGCTTTATTTCTCGAATTGAAATTGGCTACATGTACATTAATCAACGTTACTCTTATACCTAATTTTTAAAAGTGGTTTGATTTTAATTACAAGTAACAAAATCCTCTTAATAAATTGATCCCTCAAAAGGAGATTATTACAAAACGCTTCAAGATATTAAATTAAATTTTTAACAGCTGAGCCAATGGTTCTAAATAACACATGATGAAGTAAAAATTAAATGTCTAACCAGAAAATAAGACACCAAAACAAGACCGTCTTTCGGTTTGGGTTACTCGAGCGTAGCTCTATCTGGTGGTGTTATTTAATTTTTCATCGGTAAGAACCAATTTTAAACGAGAAAAAGTTAATTCTTTGTAAGTTGATGTTGGTCCAGTTGATTGATTAAAATTATATCATTCGGCTGATTTTAAATTAACTGACATATTGATTAATGATCAGGTCATGACTTATAACTAGTACTTTCGCGCTTATAAAACAAGGTCTCTTGAAAATAGAGTCATGTGAATGAAATGAAATTGAAAACAAGTTCTTTACCAAAGGATAAATATATTTGGAAGAGAATTCTTTTTTTTTGTATTATCAGTTTGATATACATTTTTAAGTGTGTAAATACGAGAGCGAAAGAGGTAAAGGTAATAGAGTGGAGTAAAAATAAGAGAATTGAATGAAAAGTGGGAAAGTTAAGACCAGAAAGAAAGAGTTGAGAAGTAGAAGAAAAGGAAATTTTTCATACAAACATTTAGACTGCATAAATTGAATTTGATAAAATATTTCAACGACAGTTAAATTAACACCAAAAAAATCTTGATTTCACAACGATTGAATCGCAATTTTTTAAATATTTTTTTTATATATATTTACTTAGATTTTTCTTTAATCACTGGAGATTGTAATAGTTTCAAATGATACTTGAATCGGTTTGAAATTGTCAACAAATCCTTAGAAGATCACCGTTAAAGTTGCTTGATAAATCTTTAAAATGGTCGTCATTGGTCAACAAAACAAAACCATAGTTTCACAAAAAAATAAAAACTGAAAAAACGCAAACAAACAAAAGGCTCAATATTATCTTTGTAATTAATATAATATATATAAACTATATATATTTGTTCATGTTAACTGCTTGTTTCATCCTGTAGTCGTCTTCAAAGTGTAAATAAATTAAACATTCAGATTGAAACACATAACCAAGCCAGAGGAACGCAGGATATTTTGGGGTCCATTCAACGATTTCAATGAGATAAATAAACAGGGTTGATGGGCAGGACGTAAATGAAAACAAAATGAAAATCGAACATAAAAAAAGAAAAAAAAGAAAAAAAATGTAAGAAATAAGAATAAAAAAAGTAAAAAACAAGGCAAAAAGGGTTTCAATATTTGAATAAATAAAAGGAGTCAATATATTCTCAAAAACATTGAAGAAAGCAAGATGATAATACTGAGAAATGATAGGTATAATAATAATAATGATAATAATATAATCATCGCAATCATAATGATAAAAATGGTTCCCTAGACAGCAAAAACAAACGATATTCATTAATGGTTTGTTCAGAGGTTGAAATATGGGTTAGTAATTTGATCAAGCTGATGTTATCCGTTTACCATGAAGTCGAACCATTATGAATTCATGTTTCCCTGGATGACGATCAGTTGATACAGAATTTTTTGATGTTGCTGTTTTCATCTCTTTTTCAGCTTCTTTCTTCTTTGCTTTTGAGAGTCGAGCAACTTCACAATAGGTTAATTTACCTCCATTTTCACAAATATCATCACCATTATTATCACAATCATTCTCTTTGCCATCAGTTTTACCCTCGCCATCAGTGCTATTATCAGAAAGCTTGATTCCTGAATTTTCTTTGCAAGAATGATGATGACTGTTTAATTTGTCCTCAATAGGTAAACCTCCATTAAGTGTAACTCGCAATGATACGTCGTCAGGTCGAGTTGAACAAATTGAAGGCTTTTTTGTCTCTGAAATTGGAGTCATTTGGCGGAAACTTTTAAGATATCCTTTCAACAAAACTTTAGTCGTCGTTGCTGATGTTCCTTGTGTAGTTGTTGAATTGGAAATATTTTTTGACAATTTGGAAATATTGGCTTCATTAGTTAATGCTGGAGACGAGGATGGAAAAGATTCAACAGAAGGACTTTCGGCAATACTGGCTTTGGCAACTTCTTTATCATCAATAACAATAGCACCATCCTGATTATCACCTTTAGAAGAAGTCACTAGATCAATATTTTCGTTCATCTTGTTATCATTATCATTATTACCACAGACAGTATTTATATTTTTATTACAGCTAATTCCTTTTGCATCTTTTAAATTTTCACCATTGTGTCCTGAAAAATCATGACTTTTCTCATGACTATCATTGCACGTTTCAATCTTTTTAATTGCTCCATTGGAGGTTAAATGTACCCTGCCCGAGTGATGATTAAGTGTTGAAAATAAGCTTGGATTATGGGTTGATGAAACAATTGACTTTTTGTTGCTGTCTTTTGTCTCTTTGGGTAGACAATTAACATCCAAGGTAGACTTTGCTCGATTGTTGGACTCATTATTATTGATTGATAAGGTTTTGCAGTTAAGGTTAACTTTCATTATATCACTGTTATGTTTGTTACTGTGTTTGTTTGAGGCAAGAGTAGGGTTATTAACAAAAGTACTGCTACTACTACCACCAATATAATTGATATTATTACAATTACTATTACTACTGTTTTTATCACCCGATGATGTTGAACTCGTCCGACCAGTTTGACTGATTGTACGAAGAGACTTTCCTGTCTTAGAGACAGTTCCTCGAACTATGTCGGCTAATGATCCATTGGAATTTGAATTTAAAGTAATTTTGATCACAGATTCACGATTGTCCGTATTATTACATTCACTTGATGGTGAAGTTGAACTATAAGAATGAGAAAACGTTATAATTAGAGTTAAATACTGTGTGAAAATGCGTTTGTTAGATACTTTTGGTAATACTTACGAGATGCCGTTTGATGAACCCAACTTGGGAAAGTTGTGTGCGTCTGCTGGAGCATCTACTTCTGAGCTCGGAAGCGGAGGAAATGCCGATGATACAAGATCAAAGTCTTGAGCCTTTGGCATCTTTTTCCTCTCTGGACTACGAGCATGCTTGTTTTCATTAACAGTTCGTGGGTTAAGTTTGCTACTTGAATTGACTGTTGTTATCTCAGATGTTTTTGCTGTTGCTGATTGCATCGGTGATGCTATTGCAGTTGCTATTGTAGTTGTAATCGTTGTTGATGAAGATGCTACTGATGTTGATGATGCATTCGCTGATTGTGCTGATTGATTTACTTCATCTTTCTTCTTCTTTCTTATTGGTTTTGTTAAAGATCGAGCAGAAAGATTGGATTGAATAGCATTTGATGCAGTCAGAACTGACTCATTATTATTCAATCGACCAACAACAATCTCATGTTTACTTGAATCATTGAAATTTGAAGATGATTCGCGTGACTCAGTTCCTGTTGACAAAAGATGACAGTGTGAGAAAATTCAATTGACTTTCATAATGAAGGAAATACTCTTTTAAACTAAAACTTACTGGAAGAGTTTACTTTCTTTAATTGAATCTGAGTTGGAAGAGCCGCTGATAGATTATTTCTTTGATTATCATCACAATTATGTGATGAATTTGTCGACCATGGCTCTGTTGAAATTGAAGAAGAAAAGATTATTTTCAATATTAAAATGTCTCAAAATAAGGAAACTCAAACTCATTCATCAAAACTGACAAAAGAAACAGTAATTTTTTATCTTTACCTAAATTTTTGACTCTTTTATCACCGTTTTGATTGATTTTGATAGATAATCTGAAATAAAAGAAAGGAATAGTTCAATATTAATAAGATGAAAATGAATTCGTGTTTGAAAATAGAGTGAGGAAATGGATAGTTTACTAAATGAGTAAAATTAGCTGGAAGAATTACCTATTTTCTGAACTTTGCCGATTTTCATTGGAATGCGCATCATTTATTTTCGCTGAATTTGTCTTACTTTGCAGATGAACATTTGAATGATGATGAGTTGAATGATTGTCATGATTCGAAATTGGCGTTGCGCTAAACCGAGATCCAGGACAACCATGATTAACTATTGAACCCGAATAAGAATTGTGATTCTTTCGCAAATTTAAATGGCAACTATTACCAGTAACACCTGAACTACTGATTGAGGCATTTGTCGAAGTTCCAGATCCACGAAGCAAGAAAGGCGATGGTCGAGAAGGTGCATTGTGGACTGGCTTGAATGCAGCATGTGGTGAGAGACCGTTTAAAGTGAAAACTGTGCTTAAATCGTAGCATTGAGTCGTTGATGGAGCTGGATATGTATGCAGCATAGTAGGTGGTGGTAATAAAGTTGGGAATATCTGTTGATGGAAAGAAAATATGAATAATTATAAAAGAGGAAAAATCAATCTCTCAATTAATTCATAGCCATTCATTAGAGAATGAGAGAGATGGAGAAAAAGGTGTATTAAATGACCATCAGGTACATACTGAAGGGATTGTTGGATAAGATGGATTAGTTGGAATTGCTGGATTGTAAACACCATTGGCATTAACTGGACTCTCCAAGGTATTCAAGTTTCCTTCAAATCCAATATTTGGTTCAGCTCCACTTTTAAAAGTTGTATAACTCGAGATAACTGGTTTAGCTTTAATTCGAGCCTAAGTGGATGTTGAAATAATAAAAAAATCAAGATTGATATCAGAAAAATTGGGTTGTGTGAAGAACAGAATATCGACCATTTTAATGAAGACTTACCATTATTGGTTTATCTTGAAACGTTTTGACTTCTTCTCTTAAATATCTGAAAGCTCGTTGAGCATCTTCATCTGATTCAAATGAAACATACCAACTATTGTTGTGCGCGAATTCACAAGAAACGAATTTTGGACAATCTTTACCGCTAAAGAGATCTTGAACGTCCTGGTCATTTATGAATGAGGAGAGAGAGAAAGAAAAAAATGAAAATTCTTTCAAATTCAAGTAAAATATCTTGAAAGGAGGATGTCAAAAAGAATAGGCAAAATGGCCTACTAATAGAATTGTTTTTAACATGGTTTTCTTGCTGTAACTTTGTGTGCTGATTTCAAATATTTAATTGAAATTTTTATAGCACGCATAGTTTTCGAGATATAGGCTAAAAATGCTAAAACCTAAAATAAGCGCTGAAGCAAGCTGATTTTTTCTAGAGATACATATTTTGTCATGAACAATTTGATAGTGAATGTAAAAAGTGCGAAAAAATAGCCAAAATCAGACTTTTTTCAAGAAAACTGTATTTTTCATATACGTTCCAATAGCAGCTCAACTAATCGGTTCTGAAGCAAGCTGATTTTTTCTGAGTATACATATTTTGTCATGAACAATACGATAGTAAATGCAAAAAGTCCGAAAAAATAGCCAAACCCAGATTTTTTTCAAGAAAACTGTATTTTTCATAGAAGTTCAAAAAGCAACTCAACTAATCGGTTCTGAAGCAAGCTGATTTTTTCTGGGTATACATATTTTATCATGAACAATTTGATAGTGAATGTAAAAGTGCGAAAAAATAGCCAAAATCAGACTTTTTTCAAGAAAACTGTATTTTTCATATACGTTCCAATAGCAACTCAACTAATCGGTTCTGAAGCAAGCTGATTTTTTCTAGAGATACATATTTTGTCATGAACAATACGATAGTAAATGCAAAAAGTCCGAAAAAATAGCCAAAATTAGACTTTTTTCAAAAAAACTGTATTTTTCATAGAAGTTCAAAAAGCAACTCAACTAATCGGTTCTGAAGCAAGCTGATTTTTTCTGGGTATACATATTTTGTCATGAACAATACGATAGTAAATGCAAAAAGTCCGAAAAAATAGCCAAACCCAGATTGTTTTCAAGAAAACTGCATTTTGCATATACGTTCCAATAGCAACTCAACTAATCGCTTCTGAAGCAAGCTGATTTTCTCTGAGTATACAGTAGTTGAGCTGCGTAGTAAGAATACGCATCAAGGCATTACTAAAAAATAGCCAAAGTTCGACTTTATCTTTAAAATCTGTTTTATCGCGGTTATTCATAATAAACCTTCATACGGTAAAGATATTACCTTTTCGCGAACTTTTTTTGATACTTATCTACTCTTTTTCTATTCAAAAGCTGAAAAGCATGCCAATGCTGAATCTTTTTCTGATTAACGACATATTGAACGCTCTGTTTGTGTAAAATGTGTAGAAAATACGGTTTTCTTGAAAAAAAATCTGGGTTTGGCTATTTTTTCGGACTCTTTGCATTTACTATCGTATTGTTCATGACAAAATATGTATACCCAGAAAAAATCAGCTTGCTTCAGAACCGATTAGTTGAGCTGCTATTGGAACGTATATGAAAAATACAGTTTTTTTGAAAAAAGTCTGATTTTGGCTATTTTTTCGGACTTTTTACATTCACTATCAAATTGTTCATGATAAAATATGTATACCGAGAAAAAATCAGCTTGCTTCAGAACCGATTAGTTGAGTTGCTTTTTGAACTTCTATGAAAAATACAGTTTTTTTGAAAAAAGTCTAATTTTGGCTATTTTTTCGGACTTTTTGCATTTACTATCGTATTGTTCATGATAAAATATGTATACCGAGAAAAAATCAGCTTGCTTCAGAACCGATTAGTTGAGTTGCTATTGGAACGTATATGAAAAATACAGTTTTCTTGAAAAAAGTCTGATTTTGGCTATTTTTTCGCACTTTTTACATTCACTATCAAATTGTTCATGACAAAATATGTATCTCTAGAAAAAATCAGCTTGCTTCAGCGCTTATTTTGGATTTTAGCATTTTTTGCCTATATCTCGAAAACTATGCGTGCTATAAAAATTTTAATTAAATATTTGGAATAAGCATACAAATTTACATCGGAAAAAATATGTTAGAAAAAATAATATTAGTAGGCCATTTTTGACATCCTCCTTTCCAATAAATTTTTAGATAGTCTTACTTTAAGAGGAGTTGATTCGGGTATTTCCCTGAGAATGAGAACACATCTTTTGCTGATTGGACGAACTTTTTGACCACTATCGTCGACTTGAACACATTGTGATTCTATAGTAAAAATAATTTAGATGGTTATGTTAGCTATTATGTAAAGTAATGATTGAGTTAAAATCGATGAACAGTTCACTTACCTTTAAGAACACTAACAATGAGGTCAATGTTGCGAGTCAATCTTTTGATTTGATCGAAGTTGGCAACAGTACTGATTGGAACATATTGATCACTGTCCATTTGAGATTTTAAATAAGAATCACGGGATAAATTTTCACGAGAAAAGTAATACTCTAATTGATGTTGGAGCATAACTTTTAACCTGTCTAGCGGTATTGATTCCTCTAAAGGCCTGATTTCCTCTTTTGATTGATAAGAATGCTGCTGAAAGTGATGATGGTTACCTGCTAAGAAAATAGATGATAAAAATAGAAAATTAATGAAAAATTACTTAAAATGAAAATCACAACACATTTGAAAACTCAACCATGCCAGCATATGCATGTTGAATGATGACATTAAGAGAACTGCATAGATTGAACAAAAACAACTAGATTTAGTTAATTGGTTATTAAAATGTAAATGTTGAAACACTCAATCAACACATATTACTAAAAAATTAGACAGAATTTAATTTAAATAAAAAAACTAGACCAAAATAACAACTAGACATGCTTTTTTCTCTGTTTCAAGTCTTTAACAAAGACTTGTAAGATGTATCAGAAGTTCAATTTTTCAAAATTAACCGCTATGCTTTAATCTTATGGCCAAGAAGTATTACTCTTTGTTTATGGCGGTGGATCGTTTTATTTTTGCAAACCTAATGTGAGTAAGTTCCAATTATTTCTTTCTAATTAATTTTGTGTTTGTGTAATTAAATTAACAACACCCTAAAGATTGGGATTGATGATTGGAAATTCTCATTAATCAATAAATACAAGAAATCCAGTGCTTCTTATGGACTAATTTATAAAGGATAATAAGTTGTAATGAATCTATATTTGTGTACCAAACGAATCATCTTGTTTTGAGTTACGATGGAATTTTAATATGATTTTATAATCATATCATGTCTGCCAATCTTAAGAATTTTAATCTTCAAAATCAAGAGGAGTGTTTAAAGGGTAAGATCACAGCTTTTTTTCGTGAAAATGTTAAACAGCAACCAAACAAGATTGTTAATATTTGTGTTTTTGCTTTCTTAAACAAACCTTTTCTCAAATGATCAGGAGGAATGAAAGGTGCCATATTGGTCGAGCCATGGTCAATGCTCTTATTACATCTACATTGGCATACTTTATTAGCAAAATCAACGGAGCCAGCTAACCATGTATTTGGAACCTCAAGAGAAATCAATGGATTGGCTGCTACTGCAGGAGGTGCCAAAGCTGCTACTGGTGTAGCAGTTGATGATGACGACGATTGAGGTGACAATTGTTGCGATTGGGGTGGCGTTGAAGATGAGGTCAAAGATGTCGATGATGATGCATTTAACAATGGTTGGAAACATTGACCTGATCCTAAGTAGCCCGAATCCTTAGAAGCTCTGCTGCTACTTGTACTGCTACTACTTCCACTGCTGCTTGAACATCCACTGTCAAAATTGCTTTCATCAAATCTTTTCCTATTACTATTTTCATTATTACTATTGTTAGCATTTGACACTTTGTTTAATTCACCGTTTTCCTCATTTCCTTTGCATCGTTCAATTGTATCATCGTCTTCAAGAATAGGATTGGTTGAGGAAGAAGATGATGAAGATGACGATTCTTTACCAGAGCCGGTAATTTTTATCGATTGGGGCACTCGCAAGCAACGTCTATTGCCCTCATCATAACTGATGCCTTCATTGACTGCTGCTATGGAAGAAAAATATGGAGAAAAAGAATAAAATGGAGATTAGAATTTGTGCATTTTTCAATTTAATCTTTTGATTAATCTAAAACTAGACGAGATCAACAAATAACGAGCATCAAACCCACAGCTCATCACCCTTCAGCCTAGTATACCTCAGGACATTGACTCATACATCTTATGGTTGTTCAAAAACCCGTATTATAAGGTATACGTTACAAGCCCTCATAATTCAACACCTCGAGTGCAAAAATTGCATCAAAAAGGTGAGTTCAATTAGCTGTTTCTATTTAATTTGTTATTAATTGTTATCTTAATGTTATTATTTCTCTTTAGAATCTGTGGCAGTTCGAGGAATATATACCTACAAGGATTTTTTCGTCATTTTTGGGTTTATCTTTCAGATTACGAAAAATAATGAGACACATATTTAGGCTTCTTTCGCTGGTGCACCTTTTGATATCCAAGCACTTTAAGTAAGGATACTGCATTGTAATGTATTTCAGTTACTGGAAAGTGACTCAACACTTTCATTTTGTTGTTTTCATTCAGAATTAGTTTTATAATCTTTTCAATGATTGCAATACATTACTGTTCTTACTAAAAAACACTGGATACGATTAACAGTGCACTAGTGAAAAAAGTCAAGATACGCGTCTCATTTTTCGTTCTCAACAAGATCAGGTCAAAAAATTCCTACAAGCAAGGGTCCTTCCCTTGTGAATATCAAATTTAAGTTGGATTACTGTTGCTGACGAATCGTTTTGATCAATTTTACACAGAAAGAGCTTTGTTATCTCTGCTTGTGTACTAAGTCGGTAATTGAATTATATTTTCCAGAAAAGGCCGAACAAGAAAAGTCAACTAATTGAGTGATTTATTTTTCTCCTTCTTGGTTTTAAAATTTACATATGTATACACAAAGTCTGAATGCATTTATTTCGTTTTGCAACAAAGTATTTGTACTGATTCTGTTTTTGCATAAATTCAGTATGAAGTGCTCACAATCGACTCTAGAAATTGTCAGAAAACAAAAAAAAAGTAATAAATTGGTAACCATAATGAATATGGTGATGAAAAAGAAGATGTTTCAAACCAATAATATGTAAGGTATGTACACCTAAGCAACTTGATTCACAAATAAACGACTGACTTCGTTCTTTCTTTATCCTTTTTCTCTTATTTAGTTATTTCTTATTTTTTATCTTGTTTGATCATTGTTTCCAGTTTCCCAAGTGATTGTTATGATGATGATGAAGTTACACAAAAGGAAAAAAAGACATAAGTAGAAATCGAAGGAAAGGAAAGCAAAAGGAAAATAAGAAGAGGAAAAAAGAGGCCAAACCATGGTATAATCAAATTGCAATAATAGATTCAAGGCACGATTATGTTTAACTTGGAAGTGGCCAGAGAAGCAGCGTCTCAGACTTTTGGATAACAACAATAACAGAAAAAGCTATATATTCAAGTAGATAGGAAACAGAAAGCAAATATCAACAACAACAATCATAATAATAACAGCATCAACAGTAGAAACAAGTGAACACACTAAACAAATTAATAATATCAAGTAATGGAAGACAAGTGAATAACCAGAATATAATAAGGAATGTAAACAAGGAAGCAAATATGGAAGTGGAAAAAATTAAATCAAGATTACTTCATGGGGATTCTTGAATAACTAATTGGAGAGAAAGGTAAACCCAGATGATGATAATCAATAGCAGACCAAATAATCAACAAGCTACTCCATTTATTTCATGATAAAGACATCGTATATGGAATAAACAGAAGATGGTTTTGTTGACGTTCATCATCATAATGGTGATAATGGCGATGATGGTGATGATGGAGATTATATGGAAGGGATTTCAAGAGGAAAAACAAAGAAGCAAATGCAAATTACATGATAAACAGGAACCAGAGTGAACAGTCAACAAATGATTTAACCAATAATCAAATTGACCTTGGTTAACTTTAATGTTCCCTTGCCTACAAATTTTGCTTGTTTTATGGGTTTCATTTGAAAAAGTGCAGTTAGTTGCTAACTTGTTGCTGATATTGTTGCCAGCAAATGTTCACCAAGGATAGACCAGAAAGACTGACGACGAAAATTAATTTGAATATCTGTAAGATGCAATTAATGTTAATATTTATGAAGACAGAGTACAAGGCAAACGATTATAACATAAATTTTTATTATCTTGTAACCATTTTGCCAGTCCATTCTGTCAGTAATAATTTAATAATATTCAATTCATTCCATGATAAATTACTTTTCATCGACACATTTTTCAATTTTTAATTCTAATCATATCATTCTTTTTCTTCTTTTTTTCAGCCAGTCTCTCCAGTCAACTCATGGTTACAATGTGGATACATTATTAATATTGGATTGAGATAAAGTAACAAAATATATTGTAGGAAACATCAAATCAAATAAGATTGATTAACTTCACTCATCTGGATAAAGCTGGTGTTGTATCCATTGATAAATGACTCTGTCTGCCAAGTTTGATGCTCAAATGGTTATGAAATGCAATTTAATGTGATTGTAATAAACGTTAATTGATATGTAATATTACGTATCAATTTTACAATCCTTTTCATTTGATTATCATTACCAATTTTCAGGGAAACATTTATGGGCTACAATGTTTTTTTACCTTCACCAGTGATTAAAAGAGTGATAAATTGTCATCAAATTGAAATTGATTTTTCTTGTTCTACACCCGAAACATTTTCATTATTTGACCGCTTCTAGTTAATTACTCTAATCACTGAATCTGACTGTTACAATAAATACAATGCAATAAGGAATCAAATCAGTGAAAGCTACAGCAAAAAAGGTTCGTAATGAAGGAATCAAATGATAAGCATTTTGCTAATGTAAATCAATCAATGTATTGCAATAATTGAAAGGTAAATTACAATTAGATTATCAACCAATCAATAAACATTTCATTGTCTCATTAAATCTTTAAACTAATCAATATCAACCTTTATTTTCACCACAGCCAACAATCAATGTAAAAAAGGCAACAACCAAATGACCAACATAAAGGCAATCCAATTCAAGAGAAATGGTAAACTGATCAAATGAATATCTCATGATAAAAGGAATGGTGGAAATGTCAAACAGTAAATTATTTTCCAATATCAATCAACATTGAGAAGTAAATTGTGGAATTAAAAATTGTACAAAAACAAAAGTAATTGGTAATTAAAACTCCAATGTTTCCATCAAAACCATTACAACCAAAATCATGTATTGTTGACATACAGCAAGATGTGTGTAGGTTGATAGGTATAGATGATGAAAAATGATGAACAAGAATAATCAAGAAGGAGAAATGAAAATATCTCAGTTTAACCATGATTTGGTTGCAGGTATGAAATAGGTAAACAACGTGTTTAATTAATAGCTGTAAATCAATGGAAGCCTAAAGGTTATGAGAAAGGGTAAAAAATACCAGAAAAAAGTTAAATCAATAAAGATATATTAAAGCTGTCATGAATCTATTTATATATATTGATGATCATGATAACCAGGCATCCATAACCAGAAAAAAACATTATCATTAATGCATATAATTGTTTAGTGATTCAATGGATTTGAGTAATTCATGTAAATCTGTAAATTGAATTTTGTGTCTTCCAGATACAAATCTCAATGTATTGTTGTCAGCATTGTAAACAATTTTCATCTCATTATTTGTATCTATTTAAATTGTATTTGTTAGCACAATAAAAGGACAGACAAAAGGTTGGAGATACTGAGAATGAATGGATTTTAATTAAATCAACTTCAAGTGAACTTTATTAATGCTAACAATTTACATTTCAACAATACTTATTGACTATGTAAATAGGGAACAAAACTGTTAAACTTTGATATTTATGCTCACAGATATTTCAATGTTAGATGGATAAACGTTAAAAAATCAATTTTCATTCACCGATAGAGACCAGGGAAGGTTACAAATGTTAAAAGCTAGTTTACAGCAATACAATTATGTGACTCTTAATTCAATTCAAATCTTCAATTGTAAAGGTTAAGGTTTTGAATCAACTGAATAAATTGAAAAGTCAAATACAAATTTGTAAACAAAGCTGTCTTTTCAACAGCAACAGCTTTATTTAACCTTTCAACTAACACCAAATGTTTTAAGTTGACGATTTTTCAGACGATTCATTTTTCCCTGTGTGAGAAATTCATGAAACAATTGCCAATTCGCATCTTTGGTGGCAAAGATGGTGGAAAATTTAAATTGTGAAAAGGTTAGAGTGATAAAAGTCAATCTCAATCAATAAATCAAATCAAGTTACTGAGATTTGAATCAAATCCTTGGTAAAATAACCCGATGTCTTTCAAGCTTGGAGTCAAATTTATTACAAGCGTAATTTAAACTCATAATTGAAATGCTGTAATGATCAACTCTAGTCATAAAACCGATCAATAATTCATCTAACCTTAGCTTGACTCAATTATCAGAGTGATGCTAAAATAACATGATGACGCTCAATAAACTTGGAGCCAAATAACCGTTTAAGATGTTTCAGATATTAGGTTAAAGTCAACTTGAACCAAATAACCCAAATACAGTCTCGTCTGATCAATTTGTTACAATAATGCAAAATAAGACGATATTGAAAAGTCTTATTCAGCCAAAACAGCTCAAGTTGAAGCCAATTTTTACAAAAAAATGAAAAATTTCGTCTCAAAACAAAGGTTATGTTCATGGTTTTCCAGTCAATCATTTGAAATACTCTGAATTTCAACGTTACTCTGTTAATTATTTTCATGTTCAACATTTTCTTTATGAAATAAATGGATAAAAAGTGAATCAAATGAGTGTAATGTAAATTTTCAAGTAAATAATGATTACCCTTGTAAGCATTAAAAGCACATCAGAGACACTAAAGTGACCTAACTCTTGAGAGTGAAAAAAGCAAGACTTATTCAATAAGAATGAACAAGATGAAGAAAAAAACAAAATAACATGAAAAGTAACAACTGGGAATGATAACTACAAGTCAAAATAACACTTTAATTTGACATTTTTCGTCTACTTCATCTTCATCATTGTCTTCATGATCATCTTGAGAGGAAAAAAAAGTAAAATGGGTTAAATGGTTAAAGTTATTCAGGCTCAATGGAAAAGGGTAACAATGAATTCACCAAGGAAAATGTATATAACCATAATCTTGCAATTTTCTTGCTCTTTTCACCTTTTCCTTTTCACCATTTTACTGGTTCATCAGTCTTCATCATCATTATCATCATCACCCTAAACATCATAAACATCATTGTCATCATTATTGTCCTTGCACCTTCAACTAATTTTGTTATTCAAATTGTTTGACTTTTTGCCTCTTCTTCCAACCCTAACTTCAACACTAATTTTACTTAATAACTTAACACTAATGAATATCAAATGAATAATATTAACAGTTAGATTAAACAGTATTCAGAGACAACCATTAATCTAACATGATAACCAATTTCACGTTTTTTCTTATTCTTACAACAATACTTTCAGATTCTTGAACACACTTAATCAGTTCAACAGTTATTAATTGGACAGAAAAGCTATTAATAACATTTCAAGTTATTCACTTCAAAATTGATAATTCAATATTATTCATTTGGCTAACCAGTGATGCAGTTTCAACCTTTTTTTGTCTAACTTGAGTTTTCCTTATAATTTGATGATTCCTAATGTGATCATGAATTTTGAGCGATTGAACAGAATTTCATTTGAATAAATTCATTGCTATGGTAAAGGTCAAAGGGATATATTTTTAATGGTAAATACATTTTGACATATGTTGATGTTTTAATCAAATTGTGAGTTTTCCTTTGTTTTTTTACTGTAGTTTAATGAGACATTTGCTAATAAAGCAACAATTTGTGAAAATGTTTTTCCCTCAAATGGTAACCTTTTTTGGAAGCTAATTAAACTGATTTAAAACTGTATCAAACTCAATTAAATTCAAGTCTTTTCAACAAACACTCTAATCCAAGATAAACCAATTTGATTGCCTTTATTGTTGACGATTAAAACAGTCAATTAGAGTCTTTTTAAAACCATTTAACTGACGACTTCAATGGAAACTGTTGTTAACTTCCTTTTATTTTGCTAGTTAATCAAAATTGAAATGATTATAAATAATACAAATCAATGTTTGCACATGAAAATTGGGTAAAAAATAAAGGCACAAAATGAGTGAAAAAATGTACGCTTCAAAGGAATTGAATAATATTGAGAGTAAATAGAGAAAAAAATATAATATTAAGTTAAAGTCAAGAGTAAAGAGGACAAGTAATGGTCAGTTTGGACAAACTTAGCATTTGGTAAAATCAACTCCTACGTAACATCAGATTAATGGATAAATGGTTGAAGTTGACGAGAATGATGACGATCATGATGACTATGATGATGGTAATTGGATTAGATCAATTTTACAGTGGATTGAAAGTTAATAACAATTTACAAGCCAACTCTAGATTTAACCCGATAACAGTTAAATCTTATAATCTGGTCTACTTAAATAATTGTTTTCAATGTAAGGAGGATCTGCCAAAATCGACTCCAATTTTTCCCAATAAATCTTATCCAATCGAAATTTCATTACGAATATTTAATTTGCTTTTCATCACCACAAGACATTAAAAAATAAAGATTTAAAGAGTTGAATTGATATTCACACTTGAAAAATGAAATAATTGCTATTTCAAAAACTTTTGATTCCAAAAATCAATAAGATTTTTATTTAACTATCAAAGCTTTTCACTTTCATTCAACATTCGTCCTTTCATTTAGCATTTAAAAATCATCTGAACTTCATCAAGAAATTAGTCAACAATCAATTTAACCTGATTAACACCATTGGATTATCTTGCTACATCAACGTTGAACCTCATGAAACTGGGAGACATTTAGATTCCTCATCTTGACCTTACTTTGGCTATTTTCAGCTCATGAGAATATTTCAAGAGGCGATTTTGTCGATTTTCATGAGCAGATCCTCTTTGGTGTTCAATTAAAACGTTGTTTACGTTGTTAACCAATTATTGATTTATCTTTCTAGCATCTAATAAAAGGTCTAATAAAAGGATTTGAAAAGGGAAAAAAGAGCAAAATTTTGGGTTAATTTGGTAAAAGCTGAACAACAATCTTGACTAACCTTTACATTAACTTGGTTGTAATCCTTGAAGATGTGCTCATTTGATTACATCAAATGATTTAATCTTATTTTGCTAGTTAAACTGAATGGCTTAATAACAATCAATCAATACATTTGTTACCAGTAAAAACTAATTGATCATCTTGTTATTATCAACAATTGCGTAGGAAGTGTAAACACATCAAACAACAAACCCAAATGAGTATGTAAATAGAGTCATTTTTTTACTTGTTGTTTGTATACATTTCAATGAATCTATTTTTATCCCTTCAATAGTCATCCATTCTCATCAATTTCATCATTATAATCATCATAATCATCATTATCTTCATTGTTAATAACATTGGTAACCATAATTCAATATTAATCACATTAATAATTGAAAGAGTTGAACGAGTCAAAACGAGAAAACAAAAAGCGAAGACTTATTTTTAGACTCGCTGGTAAACTGCTATTTATAAAACGTTTGCCTTATATTAAGGAATGATAATGATGGACCGTCAATTGATCAGATAATTTACGTTCATTGAGCAAATCGGAAATTCAGCTCAATCATGATTATTATGGAGTAAAAATGAATAGAGTCTAGAAGATGAAGAAAAGGCAAAATTAGAAAAGAGTTGCCTACTTGATTCTATTTTTTGCATAAATCACTTTTTTCCTTCTTTACTTTTTCCTCAATCTAATTTAAATTATCAGCATTTTAGGATTTATTGGCTTTGCCTTTGCAATCCTTTGGAAATTCATTTCCAGTCAAAGATAAGGTAAAAATGGAAACCCATTCAACCCATTTCAATCCATATTATTTATCTCTTCACCTTCACTTCATCCATTGAAACTTTTCATATTTTCAACTCTTCTTTGTAATACTTTTACCATGAAAAAAAGAGTTATTTTCAACATTTGCTTTTCACATTTTGTAACGTTTACTGTTGAGTTAAATGTACAATTATAATGTAGCTTTTGTTGCTATTTCATGTTTGTTTATTTGTTTGTTATCTATTAATGTTCAATCCAATCAACCAGAACTTTCCATTGCTATTCAATATTATCTCTTATTCATATTCGTTTGGTTGAAAGAAGAAGAGAAATGCAAAGAAAAAACAAACAAAATGCAATTGATTTTCGATGAATATGAGAAGCCAGAAACTGATTAACTCTGATAGGCAAAGGATAATCAACGATTAAAGTTGTAAAATCATGTAAACATTTCTTGAAAAAAGAAGCAAAGTTTTCCATGAAAACGAACCATAGCAACAAGTGACTTTACTCTTCCATTTTCTGGTTTTTTTCTGGTTCTTATGTTTTGTCCATTGCAACCTTTAATCGCACTTTTACATTGATGATGTTCACTGAGTATCAACTTGATCATGTTATTATTATTAATATTTAATTGGACATTTTTTTTCTCTCTTTACCTTTGTTTTCATATCGAATCGTAATTATGTCTGATAACCTGATCATGACAATAGTCACAGTTACCATGGGAATTCAAGTAAATGTAATAGAAAAATGAAATTATAATATTTATAATGATTAGCAAATGATTAATCAATGAAACTCTGGTTGAACTGAAAAGGGAACAAAATCATTGAACACAATATTGAATGTTCAGTTTAAATGAATGGCAAAAACAAAAGGCTTCTACAAAAGGCTCAGAGAAACAAAAGTTCAATTCGATTCAATATTTAAGAAGATTCTTCAAGTTAATTGAGTCGATTGTCAGGCAAATTCAAGTACAATAGTTGATAAAATGTTGACCTTTTTGGTGCAAACATTTTTCTTCGATGAAACAGGTTTTCATCAGATAATCATTGATATTTATTATTTATAAGTTTTCTGTAAAAATATTTTCTACCAAAAATCCCGGGAATTTTGCCTTTTTTTACACTCAAAGGAAATGTTATTATTCTGATTCTTTGCCTGATTCAATCTGAATCTATCTGGGTTTAACTTCCCAGACAAACTTGATGAAAGACAAAAAAGATTGGCTAAGTTCATTTACCTTTTCAGGGTAATATTCAATCTCAATTGGTTTGTTTTCTTCTTCGTTTTTTTTCTAGTCTTTTTGTTTTCTCAGGTTTATTCAAAAAATTAATATCAAGAAAATTCATATTCATTGATTGAGAGCTTTCAATTGCTTTGATTAACACTCTTCAAGTTTGCTTGTCCTTTTCATTTACATTCAATTATAACAGCAATAACTTATCGATTAATTTAATTTCCCTGATGAAAATGGTTAACCTAAATGATTAAAGTTGCGTTTTTGGTTTATCATTTTATAATTATCATTTGATTTGAAACTTGATTAGGATTGACCTGAAAATGGAAAAGGAATTTAAAAAAAAAGTAGGGAAATAAAAAGTTCATCTGTAAACATTATTTGCTTATAAAGTCTGCATTAAACAAGTTTTTTCACATTTTCATGCTCATAATTAGACTCGAAATTTGTAGTTAATCAAAAAAAACTAATTTGTTTGTAATTTAAATTGAAACTATCAAGACAATCTCAAGAGTCAACATTTGGAGATTTAAATTAAATATGATTAATCAAAGTTAACAGTTTTCCAGACAAACAATTGTAGACTTATTCAACCTTAAGATTTGCTTATTAAATATGCAATTAATTTGAATTATTTCCGAGTTAATTAATCAACATTTAATTTACAGAATCAATGATAAGTTGAAATCTTTAAAGTTTTAGTTAAATTGGCTATTTTTGATCAATCGATGGATGTTAATTAGAAATTTCAATTTCTGTAATTAGCCATTTTCCTTGCAGTTTTGTTGAACATTTTCATTTTGGGTTTTGGGTTTCATTTTTTGGTGCAAACCTTTTTTACCTTCTGGGGTTTGAGCTCGGGTTTAAACCTCAAAAGGTTTGATTGATCAATGATTCATGATTATCTGATTCTGTTCTTACCTTTTGATAAATGCAAAGTTCTTCTTCTCCTTCCGTCATCTCGTTTATCATCATTGTCCCTCCTTGTCTTTGGACGATCACGTGAAGATCTTGAACTGTTATTAGCATTATTACAGCAGGAATTGTTGAGACAATTGTGATCACTTTTGAATGTATCACGAGATCCAACATTGGCCATTGGAGATCTGAGACATGTTTTGATCTGAAAATTGAAACAAGATAAGTTAATCAATTTGACCAATTGGTGTCATGAGCCAGAAAATATAGTTTAATATCAAACTTAAATCGTGAGGAAAGCTGAGAAAAGGTGAAAAGTAAAGAATGAGAAGAAACAAGATTTCAATTTGTATTCCAATTGTTTCTTTGAAAAAGCAAATTTACTTTTTCGTTTCGTTTCAATCTTTTACCTTATTATTGTGATAATACTTTGAGTTAAATAATATTAACTAGAGAATGAAAGTTGGAACAAAATGAAATCTTCGAAAAAAAATATCTTGAAATTAAAGATTATAAAGGGTGTTAAGGTTTATTTCTTGCAAAATAGAAAAAGGTAAAAGCGATCTTATCTGAAAATAAAGATGAAAATGGTGATAACATGGCGATAAATATGAATCGGTCACTTTCATTTGCTTGGGTATTTTGATTAACCTTTTATCTTTGTGATTTCATCTCTATCTTCAGATAAGATCTTTTTTCTTTCCCCTGTTTTTGCAAGAAATAAACCTTAACACCCTTTACAAGTTATTGTTGGGAGTGAAAACTCCCAAAGAGAGTTGACTTTGCTTTGTTTTTGCCTTTTCATTAAATTTAGAGTTAATACGCTTCTAGAATCATGATACAGAATTAATAAGAAACTTTCAATGGAATTAGTATCATTGAGTATTAAAAGGGAAGTAAAAGGTTAAATGATGATAAGTTTAAGGTTTCAGTTTCAAGTTTTCATGACGGAAGTTGATTAATATTCTGGTTGCTGCTTGTAACAATTAAGTTGACTTGTAAGGTGTAAGTCATCTTGACTTTTGGTGATTGTTCAGGTTCAATAGCATATTCAGTAGATTCACTACTTTTTCAACTTTCTTGTTTCAAGATTTAAGGTTTAAATTAATGTGTCAAGGTATGGATGAAGGTTTGGATTTCAATTGTCAACCAATTTACAAGGTTTAATCATTACAATTGACTTTTTTTGGGTAAATGATTATCCAAATGTTAAAATGGTTTTTGTCTTAAGCGTGTTTAACGACTGTCACTGATTGTTATGATTTATTAATGATCACAGAAGAGTGAAAAATGATGATTAAGTGAAAATGAAAAATTGAATTAAATAACAATCAAGAATAGAGTTGAATTGATTTGTATGGTTATGAAGTTGATGGTTAAACAAGATTGGAAAATACAAAAAGATGAAAGTAAATAGAGAAAAAAATGTCAAATGTTTACTTGAATTCAATTTGTTGGAAACAATTAAATTAGTCTTGAATTTGGATTAAAGTTTAATCCTCAAATTAAAGAGTAAATTGTGAAGAAAAGTGTTTGCTGTTAATGTTTCTTTTCAATATTATCATTATAATCAATTAGAGAAGGTTAATGTTGATGGAAATCGCAAAGAAACAATCAAAATGATTGTTGCATGAATTGTTACATTGATTGTTACATTGGCTGTTCCATGTGCTTTGATTGTACATTAATTATGATTATCATGATTCTTGTGAATGGTTAGATTGGTCAAATAAATTGTTGAAAGGAAATGTTTTGTTGAAAAAGTGAAATAAAAATGTATTGAAATGAAAAAGGTAATGAATGGTTATGAAATTATTGGCACTGATTACTGATTATTTCATGATTAATGTTTCCATTGGTTCAGTCTTTTCATGTTTCAATATCATCATCATCATCATTGCTATTTCACATTTTAAGGTTAATTTAGTTACAATGGAGAGAAGAAGAAAAAATCAGAATAATGTTAATAAAACAGTTTCTTGCCAATCATTAACAATCAATTTGTCTAACTTTCTATGGGGAAAAAACAATCAATTTTGGTAAGGTGTTAAAGATTGTTCAATTGATTTAAAGTTATCTAATGCCATAAATCAATCTAGTTAATTGTGTTACGATTAACTCTTAACAAATCTATGATATTAGATGATTTCTGAGGGAAATAAATTTTCTGGTTTCTTTGCTGGTCTCATCTGGTCTCTTCCATATTGGGTTCACTTAATTCCGGTAATCTGTAACATTAAATTAAAAATTTGTTAAAATCAAGTTGGGTTTTAGACTCATGATTAGCGGATTAGATTTGATTAAATGTTGATGAACAATTTAATTACTCAACATTTTTTTCTTGCATTTCATTAGGTATGGGTTGAGAGAAGGTTAAATAGGTGAAAATTAATTCATTGGGATTGAGTGAAAACAGATCAACTTGAAGATGATTAACCATTAACAGTGATAATAATATCTTGAGAATCAGTGAAAGGAGTGTGATTAATATTATTGTTGTGTTTACAGTAAAACCGTGAGTTGAAAGCTTAAAAAAACAATTCAACAGTTTGGGTTGTAAAGCATTTTAATGTACACCAAAAACTATGAAATTGTTTTTTGGTGTTGTGTGAGTGTCTCTTAATTATCTCATTAAAAATGTGAATGTTTAATTAAGATATAAATATATACAGCTACATGCATGTAGATTGTATACATTTATGCACTAAGATGGGATAGTTTAGCTGATAATTACTTCAATAGAGTGGAAGAAATGTCTTGACATGAAAACGACAACAAAAAGTTAATCACAGTTTATTGTGCTTCAATGTTTGGATATTACTTTGCTCTATAAATTTGATTGTCAGTATACAATTGGTGAGACTGAGTGTCATCAATTGAATACATAATCACACTGTGAACGTGAAAGATTTGTAATACCATTAAACGCAATTGACACAACAGTTGATATTGTTAAAACCAATATACAACTGTTGCAGTTGCTGTTGCTGTTGCTGTTGCTGATGATGATGACGATAATGATGATGTGAGACAGATAGGGAAAATTTAAACACTGAAAGCTAAATGGCAGTTGATGGCAGCAATACAATCTCCATTACATATGATTAACGCTGTAAAATGAAAGAAAATCTAAATTAGTAAATCTGGTTAATTGCAATTGAGAACAAGAAGTTTAACACAAATACACTCTTTGATATATGATCAGTAATCAGTATTGATGACGGTGATGATGATAGATTGACTGGGTAAAAATCAATAGATGGCGGTTATGAGATAAAAAGTGAAATCGATTCAATTTTTGATTGAGACAATTCACAGGTGAGATAATATTGATAGAGCTTGATTGTATCGGTGATATTGGAGGGTTAGTATTGAAATAAATTATTATTTTACTCCATCATTGTCAAGGTCCTTCTCTTTGATGCCTTTTTTTGTGTTAAAAAACGAGAGAGAAACAAAAGTCCAAAACAAAGAGTTCTTTTGTTTACATTTAACTTCAGCTGATCTGCACCTTTTGACTCGATAAATTTGTTTCTATTCTTATTGATCATGTTTGGTATTTTACGTAACACGACAGTCAATATCAAACAGTTTACTAATAAACGTCATCACCATGATCACTGGCATCACTTTTATTTCTCTGTCCATCAAGTTGACATCAATGAAAGAGCTTTTTTAGTAAAGATGAGAGACTTTATCTAGCCTACCAAGACTAATGATTGTGGTTTGAAGTTGCTAATAAAAAGGAGTGAAAAAAAGGAGGTGGATGAAGGAAAGGTGGATGATGGAAAGATGGAAAGAGGGATAAAAAGAGAAGTAGAAAGATGGTGGTTATGATGAGGATGATGAAACACAAGATGTAAGATGAAGTGAAGGTAAGAGTAAATAATCCAAACGAGAAGTGGATGATGAAGGGAAAGATGAAAAGTTGAAACGAAAGAAATGTTAAAAGAATTAAGTAAAACCATGTTTACCACCAGATTGAACACTTTATCCACCCAAATGGCAGAGACACTAAAATACCAGAAGACCAGTTGAAGAGTTTGGTTTAATTTTGCCTTTAAGCTATTAACCAAAGAATTTATACTGACAATTCAATCGATTAAATAAATAATTTCATGGTCACACTAACTGAGGAATTAAACGCTAATCGTAATCATTAAATCGCAACACCAAAAGATATCTTGAAAATCACGGCCATAAGTCAACAGTTCACTTTACATAGAAATGATTTAATGAATTTCAATAATTACTACCCTCTATTGACAATTTATTTAACCTCGCTTTTTGAAAAATCATTGTCTTGGTTAAAGATAACGGCTTTTTTCGTATCTTAATTTATGTTTAACCATTTTGTTTAATATTTTTATTCTTAAGAGTTATTTACTTTAATTTTAATTTCGTTATTTAGTTTGTTTGTGTTGATTAAATGTGAATAAGAGGGAAATTTATTCTAGCCTTGTTCATTGATGAGATTCATGATGGTTACATGTTAGAGAACAAAAAAACATGCTAATGCACATGATGTAACAACAGTGTTACTATTACACTTAAGTCTTGTCTGTTTACCTCCAATTATAATCAGGTTAATGATTGTTTAGCTTGTCTTTTTATTTTTATTATTTAATTTTTACCACTTTTTACTTTAATTTTGTGTTCACCATTTCCTTTATCTTTGTTTTTACCACCCGTTTTTTTTATAAAATTGTGAAATCAACTGTTACCATTAAGCCTCTTCCATGTATTACTGTTTCTATGATTTGTTTTATGTGCTGTTGGCTGTTGATATTTGATAAATCACTGGATGGATTCTGATTATGATTGTTAATTATTTAATGGCTGAGTAATTAGATGTATTATATCAAGGTGTTATCACCAAAATAAAATACAGATTATCATCATTATTATATCTCGTAATTCTGATATCATTCTCATCAATATCAAGTCTTAATGATGCATGTAGATTATGTGGATAGTTTTGGCAAATGAATGAAACTCACAATTGTCAGATAAGATTTGCATTGAAACTGAAAAGGATCACCAATTCTTTCTCATTATTTTTTGGTTATTAATGTTTTTTTGTTATCTTCAAGTTTCACTTCAGATCAAGTTTCATGTCAATTGAAAGCGGTAATCAAGTTGTTGCTGATACATTTTTGTTATTTAATCAAACCTTTCGACAGTCATGTTGCGCTTTTTTAACGTTTGCTATTCATTTTTTTTTTGCTAATAATGCTTCAATATTGATTTATTGATTAACCAATGATCCACACTAATCATTTTTGTTTTTTCTATATCACAGATCCATGTTAATGGCCAATTGGTCAAGCAGTTAATTGTAAAATAATTGTGAACGGGAAAAATAATTTGGACAAAAGCGTCGTTATGATCACTTGGTAACAAAAAAATTAAGAGTGAAAAAAGGATTCAAGAATTAGGAAATTGTTGGTTGATAAATTGTTTATTATCTGGTTATTATGCCAAGAATAATGATGATGAAGATGATGGTCGATTGATTGATTTAATTGAGTAATCAAGTGAAATATAGCTGAAGTGAATCATTTACTTTGAAGAGTACAACTACAACAGCATCAACAGCAGCAAAAAGGGTAAAGTTAAAACGCATTTATTATCAATTATGGTATTAATATAACGGAAACCTGATTAAATAGAATCACCAGTTTCACGTTTTTTTTATTATTTGTTTTAATTTGATTACTCTTTTATTTAATCATTAATATATTATTTAGATTTCAATTTCTAATTTTGCCTCAATTTTCTTTATCCAGGTGATAAAATGAAACAATGAGGATGATATACATTTCACTCGGTTATACTCGATAGAATTGAGTTCATCAAGTAAAAAGGAGTAAAAAGGATAACTCTATGGAAATGTTATTAAAATATTAGGATAACAAGAAATTGCAGGTGTATGATGGCACAAAATAGGAATAACAACAAGAAAAAGAAAATGATAAAATGAGAAAAAGATCTTATTTTGATTAATCTGGATATGGAGACAGAAAAAGACGAATTGGATTAAAAAAGTTCAACCATTTAAATTATCAAGACATCACTTTACGGACAAAATAATGAGACAAACAGAAGGGAAAAAAAGAAGTGAAAAGCAAGAAAAGTAATGGCAAAGAAACCTATGGAAAGAGTTACTCTACATCAACTGTATTTACCATGTCATCAAAATTACAGGAGAAACTGATAAACCATTTGGATGATGAATTATTTTGTATAAAATATTAACGAAGGAGAAGCAAAAGAGAAAGAAGGTAAGACGATGACAATCCAAAGGGAAAAAAGATGAAGAGTTAAGAGAGAAGGGAAAATAGACAGAACTAAATAGACAGAGATGTTTATGAAGAAAAAAAAGCAATATTACAAGAAGACGAGGAAAGGAAAGGCAAAGGGAGAAAGAGTTATGACCTTTAACCTATGCTAGGAAGTGAAAGTCTCTTCTAAATTGGATAGATTTGCTTCCGCCTCCGTAAAAAAAATGTATAACATCGCCTACACCATTACACTTTTATCATCAACTCTATTTTATGTGCATCATCTTTTATTCTGACTAAACTCAATGGAGAGAGAAAAGGCAAAAGAGACTGGGTGAGATTGAAATATATTTCAAAAGTAAAAGGTGAGGGAGGATTGATTGAAAATTGAAAAGGTAACCTGATGAATACAATGGATGATGACATGAGAAAAAAATGATTAGGATATTTGTTAGTGTATTATGTTGATTGTCATTATAACTCAAACAAAACATTGGAAAAAGTTAAAGATAGTCTTTTTTTCAATGTGTGAATTGTAAACAGACAGGGGTGAAAAGAATGCTGATTGTGATGTTAATGAAGAGAGGTAAAAGAGTTATCATTTATTAAACATTTCATTTAAACTATTATAATTTTCATTTTACTTAAACATTTTTTTTGCTTTCCTTTTTTTATAGCCTTTTTGTCATCTTATTTACTCATGGATTGTTTCATCTTTTGCTCTCTTGATTTTGGTTCTGTTCAAGATGGAAAACCAACAAGTCTAAAACATTTATCCAATCATTCATGGGGAAATTTAGGTCAAAGGTCACTCGACTATCCATTGATGATAACTACGTAAATTGGTGTAAGGCGGGAGGAAAAGGAAGCGAAAGAGATAAAATAGATTCTGTTTGAAGATCATACTCTCACCCTTGCATGATCTTGCACAGAAGATATTTTTTTGAATAAAAATAGATAGCGAGGTGTTTCTACCCTCCATATTGATTATATCATTGCAATTGAGTGATAGTGTGTGTGTATGTGTCAGTGAGAGAAGGGAAAAAAAGAGCAAAGTAAGGAAGAGTAGAATCAGATGATGAAAAAGAGGCAACATGAAAAGAAAGATAAATGAAATCTCAAGATGATAGATAAGGGAATGTAAGGAGAGCAAGTTGGTGATCAAGAGCGAATACGAGATGGAAATGTCAATATGTATTAATGTTGACAGCCTGTTGCTTATTTCTGTATCTGACCTTCATTAGAATTGACCCCTTTCACCAAAGAAGTTATCATCATCATAGTCAATATAATAACAATATAACTCTCTCCAGTGAAGCAAACTAAAGAAACTGACGTTGCTGATTTTCAGCAGCTAACATATTGTTTACCTTTTTACACTGAAATCAATACCAAGAAAGCCAAGTAAAGCAACAATTTGAAAGAAACAGTTGAACACAAGAGGAAATTGGTTAAAGGAAATGGTTTCCATCAAAATATCAAGACAAGTTTGGAGAATAAAGCAGAATGAGAAGCAAAAAACGTCCAAAATATTTGAAAAAGACTATCTTTTTCTTCATCTTCACCAGGTTTCCACCAGGAAAGTTCATTATATCAAAAAAAGTGCAAAATCCTAACGGTGCAAAGGTTGCCTGTCTTCATTTTTTCATAACCATCTTCAACTTTATCTGTCTCTTTCTACTTGTTTCTCAATGGTTGAGAGTATCGTTAAAGCGCGGGTAAACGCTTCAGGTGATGACAGTTATGGCGCAGTAAGGGAAAGAGATGATGACGACAGATAAAAAAGAGGATTGTAAAGTAAGAGAAGAGAAGGGAAACTTGAAATATCGTTTCTGTTTTTTCAGTTATAACGATGGAAAAAAAGTAACCAAGTAGATCACTAATAACTGAAAACGGGTAACCTTTAAAAGCCTTGAAGCTATGCAAAATCCGGTAACAAATATTTGACCTAACACAGCTCCTGTTTTGTTGCTATTTTTGGTTTATTCGTTTGTTTTTTTTCTTCAATTTCTATCTTCATCTGCATCATCATCATGTTTCAAAGTTTCAGCTTTTTTTATCTTGTTTTGCTCTTTTGCTTTCTCTCTCTTTCCATCTTTCTTTTCTCTAGCCTTACCTGATTACCATCACATCGCCATCACATTTCATTCCATCTATCTGATTGATGTAAATTTTATCGTAAACTGAACCATGTTTCAACGTTGCTACATTACTTGTTCAAAGATATGTTCAAGGTATTGCAAGATAAACCCCATTCAGACCAACCATTCACCTAGACTGGAGCGCATTAATCATAATCAACAATAAGTATGATAATCATGAATATTGCCTAAAAATATGAATCTTATCCTAATCTTTCTCTTATTTTCTTCTACTCTTTTTTATCATTTCAGTTTTCCATTTCCGCTCTGATCATAATCAACGACTTACAAAAAAAACGTCAATCAACGCACTGTGATGGCACACGTTTCAGGTCAAATTCCGATCAACAGTAAAGAGGAGAAAGAAAGAAAGATGATGAGAAAAAGCAAGAGAGGAAACTTGAATGGTTGAGTGAGAATAACGAGTGAGTCGATTATTAACTAGTACCAACATAAAGCGGCCTAACATTGATCATCTTTCTCTCTCTCTCTCTCTCTCTCTCTCTCTCTCTCTCTCTCTCTTTCTCTCCCTTTTGATTAGAAAGAGAAGATATAAATATATATATATTTATGAGAGAGTAAGGAAGAGAAGGAAAAATGAAGAGCGGGATTCAACGTCACGTTACGTTCAGCAGTAAGAGTCAAAAAAGGGCGCACGTTACAGGGTTAAATTTGAGCTTGATTAAAAGTAGAGGCAAGTGAAGCAAAAAAATGAACCATTTGATAATTAAATAAGAAATGTGAATTAAGTTTGATAATTTTCTGTTTTTAGGTGTTTTATGGGAAAAGGATGGGTTACCTTTTGGATTACGAAGCACCTCGGAGAGTAAGCTGTGCATATGTAAGTGTCCTGGGAATCCAGGAAGGAAGGAAGCGGAAAACCAGTGGCTTGATGCAACGTCATCAATACGGTCAAGCAGTTAGCTTCGTTGTATGAACTGCCTCACTAAGAAAGAGCGAGAAAGAGAGAGAAGGAGAGAAAGAGAAAAAACAAGAAATAGAATACAAGATGACGGTGATGATGGAGATGAAGACGGTTATGGTGGTGTTGAACGAGCGAAGATGTAAAAGAAAGGCTGGAAAAGAGATAAAATAGATTGCTGTTTAACTCCGTTATGTGTTGATTGTTTGTTTCTTGTTGCTGTTATTGTGTTATGGTAAGTTAGATAAACAGGTACACACACAGATGATGATAAGTTAAACACGATTAGGAATGATGTATTAGAAAAAAAATAAGACGATCAACAAGATGAAGAGTAACAGGTAAAGATGTGGTCAAGCGTTTTGTTTATTTCAATATAATCTTTTCACTGTATTAATTGTAAATGTACGTATCACTTTATATGTGTTACACCAATATATCAACAATTGAAGCTAATGTTGACGTAGAGCGTAATGATGATTATGATGTTGGTGATAGACAAATGACTATGATGATGTTAATTTCAACTCGCAATTATTTCTTTTCTGTGTTGGTGTTATTAATTTCATTTGGGATTTTATACGATTTTTAAAAAACAATTTAATTAATGGCACACAATCCAAAGTTTAATCCTTCAGGTATTCCTCATACTGTAAAGGTTGCTCTTGCTGTAGGTAAAAATCACTGGTGATAAGATGGTATTATTAATGATCATTTTCATTTCAATGGGAATGATGTTGATAAAGATGGTGTTGATAGTAATGGTAATGGTGATTGTATTGGTGACGATGAGTTGAGTTTAAAAAAAGCATCATAATAATCCATTGGTTTCAATGTTGATTTGAAAACGATTTGTTGGTGGAAATCACTTTTGTAACCCAAACCAGGGTTAAAGATTAATCAAGGTTGATGAAAAAGAGCGACAATTTGAAATTGAAAATAAAAAGCTTTTGATTTTGTTTTGATTGTTTTGATGATGATTGTTGAGAATCCCTTTTATTTGAAGACTTCCCATATGGTTTAGTTGAGAGTTAACAATATTTACGTTTACAACCGTTAGTAAAAAAGAGAGATTGAAACAGTTACTGAAACTTTTACTCACTTCTGCACACTGAATCTCCCAAAGTTGTCTCACTCTGGTTCTCTTCTTCTTCTCTCTTTCAAGTCTTACATTTTTCTGTCTTTCTTGCCTCTCTTTCTTATTCTCTTTCTTCTTTCGTCTTCTCTCTAGTTGAAGCTAATTGTAATAAATTGGAGTAAAAAGATTGCGATGAAAAATAAAACGCGGTAACATTAATTCATGTATTAAACTCGATACTTTTCTGAAAACTGGATACAAATAAACCGCTTCAACATCTAACAAATGGGAATCAAGAATGGTTAACAAGGAAACTGGACAAGATGGCTGGCAACGGGTAATTTCAAGTAAGACCTTTTTGTTATCATAATTTATTTGATTGTTTACCACAGTGTATTTAATGGACAATGGTTACCAAACAATTTTTGTTAATGTCAATCAGGATCACAGGATCAGGAAGACACACCGAGGACATGGAGAGACGATAATAAATAACAAGAGTGAAAGGTGAGAAAATAGTGAATCTTTTTTTTTATTTCTAGCTTTTTTTATTCGTCTGTTTAACTTGTTGATTTAGCTGGTGTTTTGTTTTCTCTTTTTTTTAGTAATATTATATTTGATGAGATTTAATTGTGTAATGGAGGTAACACTGATTTAATGATTCTGACGTTTAAAGAGTAGATGGAAAAATAGAGGTAAAATATGTGTAAACAGACGGATAAAAATGAGGATGAAACTGATGATGATGAAAACATGGTGATCACCATTATAACCGCTATTGGATTCCTTTTTATTCGTATTAACATCAACTCTTCTCTGTGCTCATGTTTACAGTTGTAGTACCACTCGTTGAAATCAAAGAATGTAAATTTTTAAATATTTACTTCGTTAATAATGATAATATCGATAGTAATTTACAGTTTTTTTAATCACAATTGAACAGTTGTTTCTTTAGTTGGTAACGGTTTGCGTTTCTTTTTCCTTGCTAATCTAAAATATCACAGATTCAAAACGAATGTTCGATGCACTTTCTTCTTTTTTCTTCTTCATCTTTTAATCATTCTTCATCACATCAGCTCACTCATTCATCATCATCAATGTCTCCCTTTTTTTTCTTCATCCAGAAATGAAACTGCTCAATATTTACAATTACTTCTGAGTCAACTCCTCACCATGATTTAACCATGCAAAATCTGTGTTTTTTTAAACAAAATTTTCACTTAATCTTTTCTTTTCTGCATATTTTGTCTTACTATTCTAGATGTTCCCTTATCATCATCCTGATCCTTTGTTTACACATTTTGCATATCATTGTCATCATTCACAACACTGGTATTCATCACATTTTACTTTTACATAATACTTCCGGATCAATCTTATAATACCTTTTCACTTCCATGCCTGAAAACTTGAAGATTCTGATTTCAATTGAATTGTCACACCGAACCATTCGTTGATCTTGGACCAGGGCTAGCCAATCGATTCAACATTCAAAGTGATTTCTAAGAATTGAAAGACGACATTACCGCACAGATCATAAAGTGCACGCGAATTTGATTCCACCAATCAGTTGAAAGGATAATTCAGATTTATGCGTAATGCTATTTGCAGATTAAATAATAATCATCATTAGTATCCTCATCTTCACCTTCTTTACTTTTGTTCTTAAACACATTTAATATCACCTTCAACCTAACTCTTTCATTTCATCTGATCTTTCCTTTCCACTAACATAATCCTTTCCATTTTATTCACAATCCCTCAAATCAACTGGTTAATGCAACTTATAATAGACGTTTACATGCTCTTTTCATAGATAATTAACATCATCATCTGTGGAAAAAAGATTTTCTCTCTTAGTCGACTATTAACTCAAATCGTTTACATGATTAACGAATCCAGATTTCTCATTTGAACAGAATCTAATTTCTTATTAATCAAATTCAACTAAATTATTTGGCAAACTAACCATATGTTTTAGTTTTATTGAACCAGAATATGTTAGCTTTTATTTAAACCTTAGTAACTGACTAATCAATTAGGTCAGAAACTATTCCTCGTAATTTTGGCTGATTTGTGAATCAATGATTGTTATTAATATTAAAATTTTCTCTCCTTCAGTAAATGATGATTAAAAAAATAAACCATTGTTGAAGGTTGAAATATGAATAGAGATGTGAACGACCCCAGGCTTATGGACTGGTTGACTAAATCAAATGAATAAAGTACAGGTTATTAACAATAAATAATGATAATTATTGCTACTATTATGATAATAGTAAGCAAAATAAAAATGGTTTCCACAGACAGATGGTTAAGAATGGAAAACATGTTGAAAATTGAAGTAGCTTAGACTCAAAATGTTTTTTTTGTGTTGTCCAAAAAAAAGTGAATTCAAAAATCGTCAACTCCTGTTATCAATTGTCTACCATTCAAATTGTATGATCATTACAAACTCAGTTTAACCTCTAGTCATTGTCAAGAGTGACTTTTGGAAATACTTTTTGGTGTTTTTTGTTGTGATAAGAGTAAAGATACGATGAAGTGTTTAAATTGTCTCTTGTTAATTCTTGGAGTCATCATCCAGGGTAAGTTGTTGAAGTATTCTGTTGATAGACTTATCAATTCTATACAATAACCAGCCATTTCTTTTATCTGATTGATATATTTTCTTCATCTAACCAGAATCCGATTCCATATTGATTGAACGGGAAGACTTTGATTTTGCCTGTAGCAATATCAACCGATTAATAAAACAAGGAGTGGGTCCGATTGAAGCCGCTGAAAGGGCAACAAAGGAGTTACAAATAAAGAAAGGTCACAATTTAGATGAACCAACTGGATCCTTTAATAAAAAGGCACATCAAGTTGTCCAATCTGCTGACGGTCGTATTAATTGGCTTTTCTCAGTTTTCAGTTCAATTTTACAATCACAGGCTGTCAAGGTTCAAGTGGGAGACACTAATTCAACTAAAGTTGGTGTTTTTGGTAAACGAGAATCTCCTTTGATTCTGCAAATTCCTTGTGAATTAATTCCATTTCCATCGGTTGTTGATTCTACTGATGGTCAATCGATTAAATTAATGCTTCTTTCAATCGACCATTTTCTTAACGAAAATCGACTTTGAAGAAACCAACAATCCTTTAAACGAATAAAGATGAAGACATTTTATGTTGAATTGGAATCGATTTTAACCTAAAAGTCTACACGAGTTTTAGAGTGAGAATTTACTTTTAGACTCTGGATGGCTAAAGAGTAAATTATTTTGTTATTATATAAATAAACTTAAACTGAATAAATTGATCGTTTCACTTCGAATAATTTGAGAGTTTGAAAAATTTTGTATAAAAGTTGTAATTGAAAAGCAAAGAATTATTGTGAGTTGAAATGAAAATTGCGAGGCATTGTTTTTACAAAAAAGTACGAAATGGATTTCTTTTTAATCAACATCCAGTCGCTATATTTTAGATTAGCTCAATTTGAAAAAAATTACTAATTGTTTAGCTTAGAACTCATCATGTTTAGTTTCTGACTTATCATCGTCATCATCATCGGCTTCTTCTTCTTTATCAACCTCTTCATCCTTCTTTTCCTCTGCAGCAGCTTCAGTTGCTTTCCTTTCTTCTTCATCCTGTTTCTCTTTCATTTTTTTCTCCTCTTTAACTCTTTCCAAGATATCGTTCAATGTTTCATCGGCTTCCTTTTCACTGTCAGTGATCAAAATGTTGTCAAAAATGGTACCAGCTTTAACTTGCCATAAATCAAAACCAACACTACAGATTTCTGGATATCTGTAAAGTTTATCATCAGCAACATAATCTGGATTATCGATTTCAGGATGAACCCATGGTCCTTTGTATGCTGGGTTATCGATTTGTTTTGGTTTCCATTCACCTAAATATTAAAAATAAAAAAACAGGACAAAGAAGAAAAATGAAATATAAAGTACAATAAAAACTGAATTGAGATGATATTTCACAAGACATTAAGAAATATAGCAACCCAACTTCCAATACAATAAAATTAATAGATTCATGTAACCATGTTTCTCTGCTTTCACTTTTTCTTATTCATTTTGAAATTACCTTTAAATGCTGGATTGTTAATTTGTGGTGGTTCCCATTCACCGTCCATTTCATCGTCCCAATCTTCGGGTTTGGATGCATCAGGGTCTGGGATATATTCTGGTTGATCCCAATCTTCAGGTTTTTTGTCTTCAGGGTCATCAATTTTGGCTCTGTCATCCCAATCTTCGGGTTTCTTTGCATTAGGATCCTTAATTTTCTTGGGTAATAAGAAGTTCCAATCTTTTTCTAATTCTCCTTTCTCTACGGTTTCACCGTCAATTGATACTTTGTAAGTGTTGTCAGGTTTAACAGTCAATCGATAAACATGTGTATGGACATCATCCTTACAACGAATGTCTTTATTAATGAGCAAATTTTTTCCTTTGTAGTTGAAAATAGCATGGACTTTTTTGGTTGCTGGACCACAAATATCAGGTCCAAACATAAGTAAGTATGGAGAATCACCATGAAGTTGCTTTTGATCAAGTGCACAATCAAATACTTTCAAGTATCCACCACCACAGTCAATGTTTTGTTCGTGTTTTACTGTTGGAATGAAATGGAATCAAATGAAAGAGAGTGGAATAAAAAAATTAAATAACAATCTGATTGTAGATAAAAGCGACTGATTGAGCATTATTATAAATGGTTACTAAGGTTCCATCAAATATGAAATCTATTCAAAATCAACCGCCATGTATACTGCATGGAATTGTTGTTTACTTTATCATTAAATTAGTCTACATTTGTATTGCCGTTCTTCATTACTGATTACTTAATTGTATTTAATAAACTAAAGTATAATGCTGGTTAAGTAGGCGATTATGTTGACGTCACACACCCAAACCACATTTTAACAGGGGAGCAACAAACTTGATATTTATTCATACACTTCTGGACAAAGACATATTGCCACGTTGAGACTTAACAACTGTAACAACATTTCTCTAGTAATGCTCAAAATAGATAACATTATGATATATTGTATTATCACTGATTGTAATATCGATATACTAACCTGAAAATTGTACAACCAGGTCTTTTCCTTCATTATCAAACTTATTGTCTTCAAATTTAGCTGAAAGACCATAGAATCTGGCATCTTGAGATGTTTTGATTCCCTTGTCTTTTAAATCATCGCCATAAAATTTACCGGCTGTCCATTCAAATTTACCAAATTCTTTACCAGGGAATTCTGATTGTACCCATCTTTTCTCCCAATTTGGTGTATCAAACTCTTCTCTAAAATAAACAGTTGCACCAATGCCTGTTGCCAGACAGGCTACAAGGCAAAATACTAATTTTAGTTTCATTACCTAGAATAACAACAAGACAACAAGACAATAATCAATAAAAGGATAAATTGATAATTTAAGATCAATCTAATCAAAAAAGAAACAAGAGAAGATTGAAGAATGATCGAGAAATTTGATTAAATTGAAAAACATTGACAGATTGAATCTGCAAAGAAGGATATGAAAGGAAATCCCAGAAAAGATTTTACTTGACTTACCTTAAATTTGAATAAAAAGATGTCAGGTTAAGAAGAATAGATTTTTATTGCAATAAGTTACAAATAAATATGGGTAATATACTTAATAAAGTTACAAATTCCGATTGATACCGATACTTTTCACCGATACTTTTTTTCAATATCGGGAAACACTAGACGAGTCTAAACACAATTGTTTAACCTGTTTTTGAGTAAAAGTATCGATACTTTGCCTGTCGATATTACTCGATACTTTGAAAAAAATACTCGATACCAAAAAAGCTCTTAATTTGATGAAATTATCAGGCAAAGTATTACAGAATTGAGAAAAAACCAGCTTTCAATTATTTCTGGAGACCATGAGAATGACTGAAACAATAAACCGAAGGTCAACATATTAGCATTTTAATTGTAATAAAAAATAACCAAGTTTGTGCTTCAAATGAATAGTGTGTCTAAATCTAAATGCTGATATTATCTTTAAAGAGACTCTTAAATGCCGGTTAACTCAAGTCACATTTGTTTGATTATAATCAGTCTGCTAATCAACATAGACTCATAACATCTGGTTTAAAATTTAACATTTCACCTCACCAGTGTTTCAATAGCAAATTTTATTTTCTAGTATTGAAATTGACTACATGTACATTAAACAACGTTACTCTTATACCTAATTTTTGAAAGTGGTTTGATTTTAATTACAAGTAACAAAATCCTCTTAATAAATTGATCCCTCAAAAGGAGATTATTACAAAACGCTTCAAGATATTAAATTAAATTTTTAACAGCTGAGCCAATGGTTCTACAGTAAAGTACCAGATAATGACAGTACCAGATATTGACAGTAAATTTTTCAACGACCCCTTTAGAGAGGGAAAGATTGCTTTGTTTTTGTTTTTTTCTTCATTATGCCGAGAAGAAATTTAAGTGTTAAAGAAAAGGAGAATTTAGTTGATCAATTAAATTGTGGATCATCTTTTAATGATGTTAAACGTGAATTTAGAGTCTCTGAATCTACTGTATTTAGGTGTTTAAGAAATGTTGATTGTATTAAAGAAGCAAGTGCAAGAGGATTGGGATCTAGAGCAAGGTAAGATTTTTTTCGTTTCATTTCCAGTGGTCAAGTTGAATTAATTGTTTTTCTTTTTTTACTATTTCAGATTGGAAAAAATTTTGTCTTGTCCTTGTTCTTTCCATTTCAATTGTCTTTTTGCATGTCCTTGCTTGCTGTTGTTTTTGCTAAGTGCCCCTAAAATGTTGCATAAAAGGTTGCACTTCCAAGTATGGAAATGGAATTAGCTTTTTTTCTTTTCCAAAAGAGCAAGATTTAGCTGCAGCTTGGTATGCTAACTTGAAAAATGGTTTACCTGCAGTTTTTAGGCTCAATGCAATTTCACCTCTCCTAAAGATTTGCAATCACCACTTTTCTCTTGACAATCTTCATGCAAGTGGACGTGGTTTTAGACTGAATTTGAATGCCATACCATTGTACATTGAAGAACGTGAAGAGCCTGTAGAGAAAGCACAAAGAAAAGAAACACCAGCACAAACCATCATTAAACTGAGAAGGAAGCTCGCTAAGTTGCAATATGAACTTAAACATCCAACACCAGATTACATAAAAAACCATCTTCATAAACTCAGAAGCATTATATCTCAAGATGCATACATCATGCTGGAAAGCGCCATCAATAACCATCTTCGTGCACCATCAGGCAGACGTCATTCATACGCATCGAAAAAGCTCACCACATTGTTACTTCATAAATCATCAAAAGCATATCGAATCATCCGACCCATTTTCGCTTTACCATCACTCAGAACCATTGATCGACACACAAGCGATTCATTTAGTGAGACAGGCATTCCACCATCAACCATTTCAACTCTTAAAAAACATGCATCCAATCTCGATGACGAAGATACCATCTGCATTTTAAGCTTCGACGAGACCGAGATCAAACCAAGTTTCACCTACCTTCCTCGAAGGGATATCGTCGATGGTTTCGTTGATATGGGACATCATGGGCGTCGAGATAAGAAGGCCACATCTGTTCTTGTTTTTGCTTTGAGGGGCATCAATGATAGATGGAAACACATATTGTGCTATTATTTTGTCGGTAAAGACACTTTGAAAAGTATTGGATTGCAAACCGTTTTATTCGATACGTTAGAGGCAATTTTTAATTCTGGTTTTAAAGTTGCAGCAACAGTTTGCGATGGGGACGGCAAAAATCGAGGTCTTTGTAATATTTTAAGAACTGATGCATCTTCGACATTCACTTTTAATGACCACCAAATCCATTTCATATACGATGTTCCACACATTTTTAAACTCATCCGCAACAATATCATGACAAAACAGCTTGCTATTGATTACAATGCTGATCTTGTAGGCTTCATCAACTGGAACGATATTTTAACTCATCTTGAACCCATCGCAAAACAAAACTCTATGGTAACTGGCAGCACAAACAGAATCATTTCAGAATGCCCAAAAATCACCCATAAACATCTTCATCCGACCAGTTACGAGAAAATGCGAGTACGTCTCGCAACGCAACTTTTCTCTCATACTGTTTCATCTTCATTTCTACGTGTGGCCAAACAAGCTGATGCAAACCCTTCATTTTTCTTAATTGGTACATTTTTCAGGGATCTCGATCGCATTTTTGACATTTTAAACTCATCAACATTATCGTTTGAGTCCGGAAAGTCCTGGAAGACTGTTTTAAAAGTCAATGACGAAAATTACAAGACATTGATCAATTTTAAAAACCTCATTGACAACGGTAAACTCTATTTCACCAAATAAAGAACATCAACTGAAAAAACCAACGCTGTCTTTTGCCTCAAAATGTTATCGACCTCGATTGCCGCCATTTTATCATTAACCAAAACGGTCACTGATCTCGGTCTTCCACATCTTGCCACCAAACGCTGCAACCAAGATATTTTAGAAAACTTTTTCGCCCAAATACGTTCATCAAACAGGATTTTAACAACTTCTCATTTTAGATCCCATTTTCGTTCCACACGCATCCTTTTTTTGGAATCGATTTCACCGAATGCTAACTGTGAGGACGATGAAGATTTCCCATTATTTTTAATGGACCTGGAAGGATCATCATCAGCTTCATCTTCAACTACACAATCAGTTGATGAACTTGCTGAATATTTCAGCACTTTCAATCCCGATCTTTTAAATGAACCATCATCCTCATCACATCTGGCTACATTTTTCTCTACTTTCACCCCTGAAGATATAGGCGAAAATTCTAGCATTTTATGTCAAAAACAGCTTGAAGGTGCTAAACATAGAGGACTGATCGCTTATATCTCAGGGTACATCATTAATCGCATAAAAAAATGCAGATTTCATTGTGAAAATTGCATCAATCATTTAATTTCAAACTCACCGCTACCTGAACACGATCTCATAACCTGTCGTGTTTTTGTAAATAATCAATTACTCACTTTGAATCTTCCACCATCAATATCGAATCAGCCATCGACATCTTCATCACTGAACCAGCCATTGACATCTTCATCACTGAACCAGCCATCGACATCTGCATCACTGAACCAGCCATCGACATCTGCATCACTGAACCAGCCATCGACATCTTCATCACTGAACCAGCCATCCTGCTCAAACCCGTCGATCACACAAGCATCATTGCATTACCCATCAGCATCGTTCACAAATTGTATCGTTTCATTAACAGAAATTTTAGAAGAAAACATTCCAAACATCATCGCCACAGTTGGTGTTAAGTTCAGCCTTTTAAAACTTCTTTGGAAAGAATCATTTGATTTCATACCTCTTTGTCATCGAGATACCATCAAACTTCATTGCATGCACTTGCTCATCAACATGTACATCGGCAAATACATAAAAAATTTGCGAAATTCCATTGCCGATGAAAAACCCATAAAGTCATGCAACAATCATCACGTCGTTCATAATCACTGCACTAATCACTTCATCATTTTCTTATAATTAAGATCCATCAGAAATAGCACCCCGTTGTCATCTTATCAGCTTCCAGCAAACTCCATTTCATAACCTTTTGTATGCATCTTCCTTTTTCTGCTTCCATATTTTCCTTGCTCCGATCGCCTTCTCAGTACCATTTTCCTTATTTTTGTTATTTTTGGGTTTTTGTAATAAATTTCTTTGGGTATTTACGAGATACTTACAGCTTTCTTCAAAAATTCAATTCGCGATTTATCAATTACGTTTGATATGCTACCAATTCAACTTTTCGATGTTAAATAATATGTTAAAAGGATATTATTAGATATATGCTATAAAACAGAATTAATTTTGCAAATTTGCTCTATCTGAGTATAATTCGTAACTCTTCGATCGAAACTATCAATCAATATTACAAGTATTACATTCATTATGCTAAAAAATCTCTTATAAAACGTCCAAATTACAATAGGATTGCTAGGCAAACTTTAATATATTGAATTTTTAATTTATAAAAGAAAGAGAAAAGAAAGAGAAAAGGTAAGAGAAAAATTGGCTTGAGAAAGAGAAAAGAAAGAGGCTCTTACTACTAGCACCACCAGTGCTATTATACAGCAACAATTAGTTTTTGTATTTATCGCAGTCTCTTCTTCTTTACTCTTTGGAATAGTGTGTCTCTATCTAAATGCTGATATTATTTTTAAAGAGACTCTTAAATGCCGGTTAACTTTACTGAATTGTCAAACTAGTTTCAAACTTTGAGATTCAAAGTAGAATCAAAACATCTGTTCATGAATCAAAATTATGATCCAATAACTGAAAATGAAACCTGTCAATTTAGCTTTAACCGAAGTTAGTGTTACATGTCAAAATTTATTGAAAATTCATCAACAAACTGAATACTTCACTCAACTGTTGAATTCAGTTAGAAGGAACCATGGACAAAATAAAAATCGAACAGCTTTGGTAAAACTGAAAAAGTTAGGATTTTAATTAAAAATAAATGAAATATGATATGAAATTCAATCTTTCAAAAACAATATCAAATTCAACTTTACAAGTTGTTATTATCAGAAGAATTTTGTTTATCACTCTGTAGATGTCGCTAACGACAATAATGACAAAGTGGAGATGAACGCCATCTTCTGCTCTTTAAAATTACTGTTTACATGTTGGTTGTTGTTTCTGAAAGTTTCAGAAGTTGGTTTTTAGTTGTTGCCTCAGTTCAGTTGCTTTGTTAACATCATGATGTTTAATTGAATCTCACTATTTTTTAGTATTGTTATTTAATACTTTAATTGTTCCTTTCATATGTTTACATAAATATTTCTTCGAAACTCATCCTCCATGTTAATTCACAGGAATAAAGTTTATTTTGTAATGTATGTTCTCCTCGGATTTTGGCCTTAGTTGGTGTTTTTACAACAACAACTACAAGGGTCAACATGTTACCCAAAAAAGTCTGTTTTCTTATTGGATTCACTTTGTGCCTCTTGGTACCCTATTCTTTTGCTCAAGGTAAGTTTCTTAATGGTCAGATCAATCTTTATTGTCTTTAGACCAAGAACTTTTTTATTTGTTGTATAAGAATAGTATAAGAATAGTAATTTAGGATAAAACTTCAATAGTTATAAGATATCACAAATAATTGTAGGTAGATATTCAAATTGATTATCTTCAATCTATATTTTGCTTGGTCAGTTTTCATTTATTTGAGTGTTGCATAAATTTATGAAAATCTTAATATCCAATCTGAATTTTTCACTTCCTAACTTTGTTATATCTTTCATGATTAGACAAAAGTTTACTTTAATATCTTCTCATCTCTTTTCATGCTCTCTCCAATTTCATTATTCTTTCACTGAGGTCATTAGTTTTCATCTCTCATGGATCAGGAACTGAATTTTATATGAGACTATCTGATTGATTTTTATTGAAAATGTTTACTCCCCTAGTATGAATTTTTCTGTTTCTCTTTCCCTCACAATTTGTTCCTCTATTTATTTAAAACCTTATAAGTTCAATGTAGCAACACATTTTCATTACCAATTTCACAAATCCTTGATTTTAATTGATTAGTTTGATTTTCTTTCCACACTAGTTATAGCACCACCTAATCCACCCAGAGATTTACAAATAGAAGTTGTATCTGGTAAAATAGTTCACCTCGATTGGAGTCCTCCTTCCTCTGGACATATCACTGCTTATGGACTCACCATCGTCCCATTATCAGAGCAAGACGAAACGGGTATACGTAATCTACAGGTTGCGGCAACAGATGATTTACCTTTAACTCTACGTGATCTTACACCAGGAGGAACTTATGAAATTCAATTGCAATCAATTAATGGTAACATCTCAAGTAATCTTTTCTTGTCAGCCAATTTTACCACCAAACCAAACACACCAGGACGTTTCATCGTCTGGTTTAGAAACGAGACAACCCTGTTGGTGCTTTGGCAGCCTCCTTACCCTGCTGGTATATTTGATCAATACAGAGTAAGCATTGAGCCTCGGGATGCCATCCAATCAGTTCTCAATGTTGACAAAGAATCAGAACCCCCGGGTCCAGCTCAAGCAGCATTTTATGGATTAGTACCAGGTCGAGCTTACAATATTTCCGTTCAAACAGTTAGTCATACACAGATAAGTACACCGACGGAAGCCAAATACTGGACTGTGCCACTACCACCGACGAATGTTACCTTTGATCAAACCACAGTGACATCTAATTCATTTGATGTTAAGTGGTCACCGCCGAAATCATTATCTGAATTTGATCGTTACCAAGTTTCATTAAGCATGAAAAGTTCGATACCTAAATCAGTACCCAAGGATGCACCGCGAATGGTAACATTTAATGAAAATCTTGAGCCCGGAAAAACTTATGAAGTGGTTGTTAAAACTGTTTCTGATAATGTTGCTAGTTGGCCGGTAACTTGTAATGTTACCACTGCTCCCTTACCTGTTTCAGAATTGAAAGCTTGGCCTGGAGAGGCAGGCGAGATTAATGTTTCCTGGGTTGCTAATAATGATTCAGTTCAAGATTCTTATATGGTTAAATATCATGAACTGGAGGCCTTCAATTCTGATGGATCAGTACAAGTTGTCCATGAGACTAAAGTGGTTCTCGAAAATCTACTTGATGGCCGTAATTATTCAATTGCGGTGGTTGCTGTGAGCAAGGGGATTAAAAGTGAAGAAATTGTGATTTACCAACCAACCAAGCCAGCTCCACCAGTAATTGGAATCTTGGAGCCAGTCACTAATAACAAACTAAATGTTTCTTGGAAATCAGATGTAAACAGCCGTCAAGATTCTTATAAAGTTGTTTGGATCAGAAATGATACCCAAGAAAAAGAGGAATCTATCACTAAAAACAATTGGCTTCTTTTAGAAGGGCTTTTTCCTGGCGGGTCTTATGCTATCAACGTATCTGCCATTAGTTATGGTCTGGTCAGTGAACCTCACACATATGATAAAACTATACCACCTCTACCTCCAGGAGGACCTCAAATTGCCAAAGCTTCCAATTCAACGGTAATTTTAACCTGGACACAACCCAACCAGTCTCTGGTTGACCATTACATTGTTCGTTATCGACCTGTTGGATCTACATTTTGGCGTGAAATGGGAGTTATTAACATAACATCAACAGAAATTCGTGATTTAGTTGCCGGTGAACGTTATGTTTTTCGAGTTAATACAATTTCTAATAAAGTAGAAAGTCCGGATGTCCGTGAAATAGAGCAAACAATGTACCCAAATGCAGTGGAATCAGTTACTTACTCAATAGGATCTGAAAATATAACATTTAAATTAGTTACACCATTAGGACGTGTTGATTATTACATAATTGTTTATAATACGGTTCGTGAACCCACTCAGCAAAACTCAAAACAAGTTCCAGCTGGTAACAATACTCGTGTCGGAACTCTAGTGACCATTGTAATAGACGAGCTTACTCCTGGTGATATGTATTCCTTCCGTTTTTACGCTGTTAGTCATAATCTTCGAAGTGAAGGGATCGGTGTCCAAACCAGAACAAGTAAGTAGCGAAACAATTATTAGATAAAATGAGGAAACTCTTCCCTTCTAATCACAATTACCTATCATTATGCGTGTGTTCAGTTATCACTGTGCAAGTATCAAAACCAAATACATAACAGTTATCTTTCCAAGATCCGGTTATCGATTTTAAAATGGCAAATCAAAAATATCAATCTACCTTAAAATTAGTGTTTGTGTGTTTATTAATACGAACCATTTGAGACTAAAATTATGTCAAAGTCGAATGAGCTTGACAATCAAATGTTGCTGGTGAAGAAGTAAAATGCAAATATCTTTTTTTTAATCAAGATAATTTTTCACCCAAAAAAAGCCAGATGATAGTTTTGCTAATCAAAGCTGTTAGCTAAAGATAATTTATAATGAAAAATATTATATAAAGCTATTGGTAGCGATGAAAGAAACGAATACGTGTTTCGCTGTCTTCCAACGAAAGAAAAATTGAGAAAGCAAATCATTTTTTAGAGACAGTAAAAGTGTAAGAGAAGGTGGCCTCAATTGACTTGTTTTCAGTTCGAGTTTCAGAATTACATTCAAGTTAGTCATGAATAGTGAAAGAAATACCTGTACAAGTTTGAAAAGTATGACCATTTGCTTGACTTTAACCTGTTTCGCTGCTTCTTGGAATGTCCTGAGAGGCAAGAGAGAAGAAGGAGAAAAAAGAGAAAGAAATGAATCAAGACTTTGGTACGTCTTTTTCACACAAGAAGCCAGAAGAGAAAGAAAAAAAGTTGTTCATGAAGATGAAAAAGAGAGAGAATTTGAGGTTTGGAAGATAAAATGAAAAAAAAGGAGTAAAGGAGAATAGGAAGGAAGATTGTTTTTGAAGAAGAAAAATCAAGTTTCGAGTTGTAATAATTTTTCTTCCAACAAATACACACCTTTAATTTTTACCATTCACTTAACGGTTATTAACTACAGAAAGTTTCAACAGTTAATTGTTAAATTGTTGTAGGTTCATTTAATCATTGGCTGACTCAACTTTTATACCAACCGTTTGTTATAAGACAATCACAGAAAGACACACAAAAATATAGCAAAAGGTAAAAGAGCAAAAACTCAACTCCAATTGACTACAACAAGGTCAATAATTACTAATGATTAGGTGAATAAAGCCTACGATAATTTGGATAAATTAAGATTTGGTTTCTCTTCCTTTACATTAATCTACATTTGTATAGTGAAAATGCGTTTACTTTTAATGATAAGGTTGATCATGTTGAAAGGGCGAGATAAATGTTGGCGTTTGGTGTTGCTTTCAGTTGATCTTGTTTTTTGTTTCTTTTTATTTGTATTGTTCATGTTTTTTTAGTGTGTCGCTATTCATCTTCAGGTTAACTCAGGGAGATTGGCTCATGAAAACTGGTTGTCACTTGAATGGTTTGATGAGCATGACTAGGTAGTGATGTTAGACTATATTTCAAAATGAAACCCTTTTACTTGAGCATTGAGAAACGATTAAATTCCAAGTTTACCGTTTGTTGCCTGATTAGCACAATTGAACTTCATTGATTTAACCATTTACACAAAAATACATTTTTCACTGCCACTAACCAAAGAGGCGAAAAGCAAATTATGATAATGATGATTAAGGTGTGAAGAGATTTGAACAAAAAAACGTTGAAAACGTTGCGACCTTTTTTGATTATATCTTCAATCGAAGAAGCAACAAGTGAAACCTTTTTTTGCATAAAATGAGTTTAGTTGCCTTCATCACTTTCCATCTTTATCATCAGCTTCTTCAGCCTTTTCATCCTGAAATGGCAATTTAAAAGGTTGAAAACAATAATCAAAAATTGTATGCATTTGTAGGAGCTTGAGGTTGAAAAAAGCTTTAACTGAATGGAAAAAAGAGTTAAATTAATGGTCAATTAAGCTTAGCCTTTACTCAAATAGAACAAGGTCATTTTTTCATTGATCATCGGCTATTCTGTAAACGGTATTGTGCTTAACCACTTTCTTCTGTATTAATATCTTTACTAATTTAAAATTATCTCAATTTACCTTTTAACTTTTTATACGCTTTGATTGACCGCTGGTCAATGAATAACAACCTTTCAAAGCTATTATTGTTGATCGTTGAAGCAAACTAAATATCAATCAAATTAACCGATAATCTGGTTGACAGACATTGAATAATGTTGAGTAAAAATTACAATATTTGAAATTTTCTTAATCACTATTTAATTGTCATTTTGGATATTTTAATATTCATTAATCTAGTTTTGCAGTCTATTGGTTGCAGTTGAAAGGAAAAGTACATGTAAATACAAAGTTTACAATTTAATTTCTCACTCTTAACTGATTCAAGTTAATGATAACAATTAATCGTCAACAGCATCAACAATAAGCTGTGAGAAATGATATAATTTGAATGATTGAAATGATAATATGAAAACGTTTTAACCACACAAAAGGAGTGAAAGTTGATTCGTGATAATATAATGTTTACAACTGTGAAAACATTCAACACAACGGATGGAAACATAATCAAACCAATTTTACCTTTTCAATTGTCAAATTAATAATCAAACTAAAACAAGTTCAATAATTAATGAACAACATTTTATGAAACTAAAGATTCAAGGTTAACATGATTGATACAAAACTTGATCTTAAATTTTCTGGTTAATCTAAACCCAATCTGGTTTTATTCGTGAATATCTTATCCAGTCTCCATTGCAAGTTAGAGTTAAAAGCAACTGTTGAAAAAATGGAAAACATGAATCTTCATGAAAAATGGTTTGAAAATGAATTTCGTTAATGAAAAGAAACAAAAATTGCTATCAATATCGAGAAAACAAGCTTCAATTGTTTATCATTAAAAGCCAATTCTCGATATGCTCGATCTGTTTATTACAGTTATTACGTTTAGCATGATTATCAATTGAATAAAAAGCCAAGATTGTTAATTTAGTTTTGAGAACGAGTTAAAACTTGTGTGAGAACGAAAATTTTATTTCATTTTTTTACCTTTGATTTACCAAAATAATATCAACTTATTATTATCTATTTATCATTAGCATTTGATACAATTGAAAGGCTTTCAATCAGTTTCGATCGACATCATTTTCAACTCTACATTTGCATTTAATTTGGGTTTCCAACTCGTCTCTGAGAACCTTGATTTTTGCTCGTTTTCTTGCAATTTCAAGAATCAAATTGATTTTAAATATTTCAATCATTTAATCATAATTTCTGCCGGAATCAAAATTTTACTTTTATTCAAGGAAATCACTTTTTATATCAATTGATACTTTCAATGAATGGCATCAAGGATGATTTGTGTTAACTTATTGTTTGCTTGTTATTGATTCTTGTTTCTGCTGTTTTTCACTGTTGATTGTTTTGCTATTAGTTTTGTTTTTTCGCCATCATTTGGATTCACAATCATCTTGACCCAGAAAAAGAAGTGAACTTTTAAAATGATGAAAGATGATTATTTCTTGAATAATGAGATAAGCATGAGGTCAAAATATCTTTTCACATTCATATTCATCAGATGAAACAATTGTCATCTGTCAACCACTCAATTGTTGCTCATTCAAATCAACTTTTCCTTTCGCATTTTCACTCTTCACCAATCTTTCAATTTACAAATTTTCTCATCTATTTATGAAAACCAATCCTAATAAACTGATAGATTTGATAATCATTTGCAAAAAAAGTTCACAATTGAGTGCAATTTTATCTTCAAGTCTGTAGTTTACATATTATATGGTTTAACTGTATAATTAACGAAAAGATGAAATGTTTAGCTTATCAATAGTTTCACCGTATTCACAAATCTCAAGTAAATAAGCTATCAAATTTATTATTTTATTCAATATAATCATTGGATACAATTTAGCCAGTCACAGGTTAACAAGGCAAACAAATGATCAATACTAAATATATTCAGTTGCCCGGTACAGTCACAAGAGAACCTGATTTTAAGGCAAATATTCCGGGCTCTTTCCTGTTCTCTTCATCTTTCCCATCATCATCTATTTTCTCTTTCTTTTCTTCTTTTCCTCTTAGCCCCTGGCCAATTCCAGGCTCCTCAAAAGTCAGGCCAAGGTTTGAAACATTTAGCAAACCTTCTGAGAAAAAGAAAGCTATTTTTGCATCTTTGTCCGCACTTAACATCGCTCTTATTAATTGCTTACCTTGAATCAATTTTTTCCAATTACATCATTTTTCCATTTTATCAACAATTATTGAAATTATTTGATCTATTTCATTGCTTACCATTTAATGTTTTATCAACTTTTTGCATTTCAATAACCTTTAATAACTCGGATGTTTGTTTGCAATTCATGTTTGCTATTGATAATAGTCTAATAATCAGCTCATTATGGTAATGATTTTGATTTTAGATCCAATTATTCATTTCATATTATTGTGTTAATTAAATTATCTAATCTGTAGCAAATAATTTCTACTCTAATTGATCATTTACTGAACAATTTCTGGTTTTACAATGAAACTCTAAAGCTAATTGGTATTGATAGGAAGAAATTTGAACAATTTTTTGCGCTCCAGATCGTTAACTTAATTATACTAGATTTAACAATTTCGTCTTAATCGTTTAATCTGTGTTTTTTCAATTTTTCACCGTTTTTCAATCAATGTGCTTTATCAACTTCATTGGTAATCGTTTGGGTTAACTTGTTACATTCTGGTTCTGAGTCTGGTTAAGAGTGTTTTGGTCACCAGAATGATGTTAAATAATATTGTTACTCATTTACCAATTGGCTGATAAACAAAAAATATTGCGATTAAAAACGTTAATTGTGATTGAATGATTTGTCTGATTCATTGATGGGACGATTAACGATTAACATTTTTTTACGTTGACTTAGCAGACTTTGTTAACTATTTTCCGCCACTATTAACATTAATCATGGTCAATTTGCAATTAAAGTAATTTTGCTATTGTTTTTCTTTTGACTAATGACAATTTTAATTAAACATTGACTCGATAATTTAATACTTTTCCTGTTTACCTCCTCAATTTATATGCTTTTTTCAAAGCAATTCATTTTTTTACGTTTGTCTGTATTCAAACATTTACAGACTCATTGATTAGTTGATAAGGTAATTACAAATTCATTGATTACCTCATGAAATGACTTGATTAACATGACTGGTAATGCCAGAAAAAGATCACTGAACACACCTTATTTATAGATTAAATCAATGTTGTTTATTTGCGATTGAATGCTAATGAATCCTTTTTTATTTCTCATTTACATTATTTAAATTATTAGTGCCTGTGATCAATTCTGTAATTAACATTGTTACCGATGAACAAGAAACTAAAACATTGGGAATCAAGTATACACCAACACCTCGACGGAACGTTATTTTTGATCGATATCGGTTCCAATTGGTTAGCGATCAATCAATTCCTGCCCAAGAAAAATTGCACAACGATACATCTCGCTTGGTTTTATTTGATAACCTAATACCTGGTCGTTTGTATAACATCTCAATATGGACTGTAAGCGGCGGTGTCCATTCTGTTCCAATCATCAGAGAAGTCCGTCTATTTCCAGAACCAGTTCGCTCTCTGTCTGCCTTGAAAACTACCGATACCGAAATAACCTTGGTATGGGAAGCTCCAATCGGTGATAAAGATGGCTACGAGATAACCTATCTTGATCCTCAGATAACAAATCGGCTGGTTCGAAATATTACTTTTGCAGAAAAGATATTCTATTCTGGCTTGAAACCTCATCAAAATTATTCCTTTGAAGTCACCACGCTCAGTGGATATGGAACCTCAACTATGCTTCGAAGTTCACCCATTTCTCAAACATTTACCACCTCTGAATCAATTCCTGGTCGAGTTGCTCTTTTCCATTCAATTGATGTTAAACCAAATGAGATTACACTGAAATGGGATTTACCAGTTTCAGAGCAAAATGGTGTTATTACTGGTTTTAATATATCTTATTATCCAAAGGGTAATCCGGTAATGAAACACCAATCTTTTGGGCCAACAGAAAATCAGGGAACAATTTATCAACTAATTCCAGGCAAGGTCTATGTCTTCCAAATTCAAGCTCACACCAAAGTTGGACCTGGATCAAAGGCTACCTGGGAAGAAGCCATGCCTATTTGGCCACCGCCTTTACATTTACCCAATATTGTGCCCACTGAGGTGGGTCACACTTCTACAACCATTCGTGTTCGTTTTAGGAAAAACTTTTTCTCCAACATGTACGGTCCCATATTGGCTTACACCATAATTGTTGCCGAAGATGATACAGGAGACACTCGACTGTCTGACCTTCCCTCTTGGCATGAGGTTCAGAAAAAGTCAACTTGGCCTGCTTACCAAGTTGTTGAACCCTATTATCCTTTTAATGGCTCTTTAGTTGAAGATTTTACGATTGGATCAGAGGATTGTTTAAATTCAAATGCCATTAAGAAATATTGTAATGGTCCCTTAAAATCTGGTTCAATCTACAAGGTTAAAATTCGAGCTTTTACTGCTCCTGATAAATTCAATGATACACTTTATTCTTACCCCATAGCCACGGATCCAGATAATACTGCTTTGTACGTGGGAATTTTCCTCCCATTGTGTCTCCTTATCCTTCTTGGTTTCATCATTTTGGTCTTGAAGCGTAAACGTCTTGGTCCATTCAGTTCAAGAATCAAGAAAAATACCAAATCAATTCCACATATGGGTGGTAAAGAGGATGCTCTTTCCATTGCTGAAAGTGAACTTGTAACAAGCCGTCCCATCAAATTAAAGGATTTCTCTGAACATTATCGTATCATGTCTGCTGATTCAGATTTCCGTTTCTCAGAGGAATTTGAATTGCTTAAATATGTTGGTCGTGATAAACCATGTACAGCAGCTGATTTACCAGTTAATCGACCCAAAAATAGGTTTACAAATATTTTACCATATGATCATTCTCGTGTTAAACTGTTGCCCACAGATGACGAGGAAGGCTCAGATTATATCAATTCAAATTACATTCCTGGTTACAATTCACCAAGAGAGTTTATTGTTACCCAAGGACCTCTACATTCAACGAGAGATGATTTTTGGCGCATGATTTGGGAACAAAATTCTCGAGCCATTGTAATGTTAACTCGTTGTATTGAAAAGGGCCGTGAAAAATGTGACCGTTACTGGCCTTCTGAACCTCAACCCGTTTATTATGGTGATATTCAAGTAACAGTGCTCAATGAATCCCAATATCCTGATTGGTCCATCTCCGAGTTTAAAGTCATGAGGGTAAATAAAAAGACAAAACCAAGCATTCAATTATCATTATTATTTCTTCCAGTCAAACTAATTTCCAATTCCAATTTTTGTTTCTCTCTTCCATTACAGGGTGATCAATCCAGGATAGTTCGTCATTTTCATTTCACCACCTGGCCTGATTTCGGGGTTCCTGAGCCTCCAATAACCTTAGTCAAATTTGTCCGATCATTTAGAGAAAGAGTATTACCTGATAGCAACAAACCTATTGTTGTACATTGCAGGTTAGCTTCTCATCTTTAAACCCTTTTCCATTTTCTCTTCCTCTTTCTCCAATCTTAACCGCAACCATTTCAATTTTTCATTATACTCATCATCATTTAAAAAACCAACTAAAAACCAGTTTTATTTTCCTACTTCTTTTTTAAATCTGTTCACTTCCAGTAATATGATTTTACCTTTATCTTCTTTCCACATTATCCATCATTGACCTTCCACATAATAATCATTATTAACATTTATGATTATTAGATCTATTATTATTATCCCAAAATATTGTTACTATCAATCCTAATCCTTCCTTATTTTCATTTTTCTCATCTCATTCCTCTTCTTAATTCAACCTTTCAACCTGATAAGATATCAACCGCTAAAACCCAAAAATCCTATCTTTCTCTCTTTACCAGTAACAATCGGTAATCATTCCAACTAATCAACCTGATTATGAATTGGTAGTAGACTAAACCATTCCTTTTTTATCCTCTCATTACACTCACAATTAACCAACTCAATTGTTTTCAATGATTGAACAATTTAAATCTTTTTGTTATTTGTATATTTTTTTACTGTTTGCTCACCTCACAGTATTGGAAACAAGTTGATCTTCAGTCACAGCTTTTACAGTTTAGATTAACAGATTATCAACACTTTCTTACTTTGATCATTAATTGAAACTTTGTGCTGCTATCAATGTGCAAATGTTTACGCTTGACTCGTTGAAATCTTCGTTAGTAAACTCGACACACTAAACTAAACAATTTTTTACCCTTTCACCAACCAAATATCAACCTTTATTTGCTACTCATCTCGTCTATCATGAAACATGTAATAATCATGATTACTCTGCTTTTATTTAGGAAACATGTTTCCGAAAATTTAACGTTCCCATTGCGCAAAAAAATAGCTTCACTTGACAGTTCATTATTAGTACTGATGATTACAGGTTGATCAGCATCACCAGCATAAAAAAAAGTAAAGTAAGAAAATTGTGTTTAAAGATAATCGGAAAACGTGTGAGAACCTCAATCAAATAATACTTATGAAACGATTTAATTTCAATTGAGAAGCTATAAGTATCGTATTAAGGTTGATCAAGTTGCGAAAATTATGTTGTGATCAATCAAGTAGAGTCGCTTTTTGATTGTATTATCGTGTGTAAGTGAAAATTGGGCGATCAGACAAAAAAAGCTCAATGATGATACAACTACTTATAATTTCCTTGATTTTCACTGATCAGTAATTACAATAGATTCTGTCAATTCTGTAGATTTCTGTCAATTTTCACTTGTAGGTGTTGAATATCAACTTTGCTATGAATCCATATATGATCAACACTTACAATTTTATTGCTCTCCACAATATTTCATTTCAATAACAACTGTCCATCTCAACCTTCACTTTATTTTCACTTGATATAGCATAATGCGATCACTTGTCGCCTACAATCTTACGGAAGTTGATTTACCTTTATTTGGTCATCCAATTTTACTTAATAAGGAACCTTACCTTACAATAAGCTTTGAATCACAAATTATTTGTTGAATAAAAAATGGTCAAGGTTAGTTGAAGATGTTTAATGATGAGTAAATATTGAACGTTATGGATGATACTTTTACCTTTTTTTACATTCAAACAAAAACAATCAAATTATAATGCTATTTAATCGTAGTCTGTATTTTTTGTTAATTGGTCATTTATATAAAAAGATTTTTTTGCTCAATTGTTTTTTCCAAGAAAAGTGAATAGTTGGAAAAGCTCATGAATTGAATTTTTGTTCATTCATATGAATGACTTTTTGTTGAAAGTTTATTCATTTTTATCCATTCACTTTTACTGAATCTGGATTAGCTACAAAAAAAGGTTAACTGACTCATTAAAAATAGTTTATGCTCAAGTTGGTCATGTTTATCAATACGTAAACTCAACGGCAAATGTACCATTAAAATACCATTCAATGATTAAAAATGCACCAATTTACTATTCCTTAATCATCTTGTTAACCAAACAACTTTATCATTGGAGTGTCAATCAGTGATAAACTGTTTCACTCTAACCTCTAATATTATCATAATTTTGAAATTGAATTGCAAATACTATTTACTTTTACCTCCTTCACTATTAACTTAATTAGCTTAATTTAGCCTGATTTAACTTTGTCGTGATAATTTGTCTTTGACTTTGCTTTTGTATTACCATTTTCATTAACCATTAACATTGTCAAACTTGAATTCCTTACTTCTTTCCATGTTCCTCTCCATCCAATTATCTAATTATAAAACAACAAATTATGATTAAAACATGATTAATTAACTGATTTACCTTCTCTCTTCTTACAGTGCTGGTGTTGGCCGATCAGGCACCTTTATCGCTTTGGATCGTATCTTACAGCATATCCAAAAATACGATTATGTTGATATTTTTGGTATTGTTTATGAAATGAGACGAGAAAGAGTTTGGATGGTTCAGAATGAGGTATCTAATTGAAAACAATTATTTTAAACAGCAAATAATTAGAGGATGTTTATTTTTACACTTCGCAACATTTTTGTCAGCTTGAACATTCAGGTCAAATTTGATACCTTTTAACCTGTTGTGTTATTAGTTAATTTTTGCTTCATAAATCATTCTTAAATTTATTCCCTTCTTATAACCTTTTGTTTAGCTAATTTTTTGCAGCTTTTCTTCCCTGAAATTCCATATTATTTTCCAGTAATCAAAGCCAAATCTTTATCAATGTTATTTAGCTTGAAGCCAAATGTTAAACTTGATATTCATGATGAAACTTCCTTAATTGTAGCTGGTTTAAGGGATGAGGCCGGAAGAGAGTGACAATGTTTTCACATTGAGTGATTAAAATTGATTGATAAACATGACATCCATTGGGATCGGCAACATTTAATTTGGCAATTTTTCAAATAAATTATCCAACAAATGATATTGTATCAATGATTGCTTGATTGTGTCTGTTGATCACATCTTTTTTAACCCAATCTCATGAACCTTTACATTCAGAAACATTTAAATCTAATTGTTCAGGTCAAATTTGCTGTTTAACTGTATTTATATAAACTATTTTTAATTTACTATTTGCTGATAATTAATGAAATTTCTTCTTCTATTTTCAACAGCAACAATATATCTGTATTCATCAGTGTTTACTTACTGTTTTGGAAGGTAAAGCTGACCTCTTGGACTCGCCCAGACCTGAAATGCATCTTAATCCTGGGTTTGATGGTAAATTAATTCAAAGTAAATTGTTTGCCAATCAATTCTAATAATTCTTTTGTTTTCCCTTTTTTATACAGATGATGAAGGTATCGCTGAATCTGGGATCTGAGAGTTTACTTGATTATTGTTAGCTAATTAACGGTGAACCTGACTTGTCCAAACTCGGAGGCCTGAATTGGATTGAATTTTATTTTCTTTTGCTCTATTTATTTAACTGAAACCAAATCAAATCAGGGCTGATATAAATCATGAAAGAATTTGCAAGACTGGAAAAGCACAAAACAATGAACTTTGATTTCAAGGATCGCCAAGAATGAAAAAAAGGATGAAATTAAATTTATTCATCGAGATTTTATTTTTCAATGTTCAGCTCAACGATAATCATGAAAAGAATCAACAAATCAAAATGTTTCTTCTGTTAAAAATTGAATCTAAAATTATAATATCATAATTTCAAGCTCGTTGGAAGTTAATAATTCAAAGACTGGAATCAAGTTTTATACAATATTTGCACCAAAGAATGGTATTTAAAAAAAGTATCTTTATTCTTCTCATGGTTAATGGAAGAAAACCATCGAATCATTGATCACTTATCAAATCAATATATCAAATTCAAGATCAGCCGACACTCAATTATGAGACTGAAGAAGCGAGCAATCAACAGTGGATCATAATCAAGACAATTTTAGCAACATCTAAGTCATAGTTTTATTGATTAACGAAGCCCCAATCATCTCAACACTTCCAATTCATCCAGGAGAAAATGAATTTCCAATTTAATTGTTTCCCTTTTCTCCTCTCAAATTACTCAATTTAGATCTGATATTGTAATATTTGACAAAAAGCGATGTTACAGTGCCATTTGTTTCTCTTATTTTCATCATAAGCGAAAGGATAAACATTACTCAAAGTCCATTTTATTCATTACTGGACACGGCTAAATCTTGTAAAATCAACCCTTCTTTTGACCTTTTCAACATCTGACTGAGAATTAATTCATATATTAATTTTTTTGTAATCTCTGCCTCACTATCATCACTCATTTCAAACAAAACAATCTAATTTGTTTATTATGTAAATTTTTGTTCCTCATCAAATTTTCCCTCTTCTCTCATCATCATCTGTTAAATATAATGTTCATTTATCTAATTGTTTCATTTTTTTCTCTTCTAATAACCATTTGTAGAAACAAATCTCTCATTTCTCTCTTTCATAGTTAATTTCATTCTCTCTTATTTTTAAATTCTTATTTATCTCTTGATTTTGTATCAAATCCTCACAATTATCATTTCCATTTGTCTGCCAACAAAGTTTCAATTTTCAAAGAAGATCTTGAATTCAAATAAATAATTCAATAAATCATATTGAATCCCCTTGTTAATTCAATTCTCATTTATTTAATACTCTTTCAGCTCAACTAACTCTGAGAATCAATTTAACTAATTATTTCTATGTAATTTTATTCGCCCTGGACTTTTTTTCCTGAATTATAGCTTATTTAATCAAATCGGCACCAGATATCACTATTAAAGCATTAAATTGCAACAGAATTCAGTTCAATTTGAAATTTGAAGATATTTTAGTTAGTGCATAATTAATTTACAAATGTACACATGGTTTCTACAATATTCATCTTCTTATCATTTTGGCTCTTCTAGCCTTCTTTTTCATGTCACTTGTCGACTTTTCGTAATCGAAAAGCTTGTTCCAAATAGGTAGTTGGGCATCTTCTGGTATATGAGAACGATACTCCTTCATTAAATCAAATTGTTCATATTCGTTGTGATGTCTGTTATGAACAGAACGTTTGTAATAATATTCCCAAACACCAAGCATTTTCTCGATTCCATAAGTTTGATGTTGATATCGAATTTTGAACCAATCTATAGACCAAGGTAGAGGAAGCATTTTAACTTTGATTGGATTCACTGGCACCGGAGCACCTTCTTTTCTCAATTCTGGTTCCATATCCAAAGGAAAAGTAGAATATTGAGGTTCTGCATCTCTCAAATATCTTAAATCTGCATCTAGACGCTTCTCCAATTTTATCACTTCGATATTTTGTATAGTTGGGTTATAAAGATCATATCTAATTTCGATACCCTCACGGTCGACAATATTTCTTAAAGTAAAACATGAATTGAGGCCAGTGCCTTCTCTAAAAATGCAGATACCAAGAAAACGAGATATTTTACCAGCAGCATTGACATCAGAAACTGTAACAGCAAGAATTGAACCAACATAAAATTCTGGAATATCCATATTGGTTTTTCTCTTTAACATATCGTTATGCTCTATAATTAAAAAGATGAAAGAAAATTTCAAAAGATTTATCATTAAAACAATGTCTAGCTTTTATCTCTATTTATGTCAATTGATTTTGATACTCACCTAAAACAGTTTTAATTTTATGTCGATGTTCAGGCTTAGTTGAAGGGAGAAATTCAGGATATTTTAGTCTAATTGACATTAAATCTTCCTGAATTAACTTTTGACTAGATGGTATTTGTCTTTTAACCTCTGATGTAGAGGTATAATTGCATGGAAATCCTTTTCCTTTGTCAAAAATTTCTTTCTTGTGAATCCAGGACCTAGATGTTCGCAATTGACATTGAAGCGGCACATTGTAAGAATGAATTAATTTAATTACTCGAGGTAAAACCATCTCAACAGAACAAAAAAAGAGTCTTCAAAATTAAAAACAAAACACATGAAAAACCATTGCTAGCTCTTAAAATAGATTAATCGCTATTTTAACAGCAGATTTTTTAATTGCATCATTTATACTATTATTTACATTGTATTGTTTCTTGACTTTTCACATTTCAATTTAATTCGTAATGAAGATCACATTTTGCCTCGTAAATCACTCTGAACTTTGTTTTCTGAATTTAGAGCTTATTTAAGCAAAATGGTACCAGTTATCACTATTATTTCATTTAATTGCAACAAAATTCAGTTCAATTTGAAATTAAAAGATATTTTAGTTTGCTGTCAGAATAACTTTTGTAGCTATTTTTCGGTAAAAAGTAGGAAGGAAAACTAAGAAAGTCTTATATTCCTCTGGATATCTACTTATTATCTTTCTTCCATCTCTTTCAAATAGAGATGTTATTTTAATTTTTGTTGTCATTTTTTGTTTTTGAATTTTCCTTAATTACTAGTTTTGTTTATTTTATTTATTGTTCTCAATTTGCAAGGTAGATATAGTCCTCTACCAATCTAGCAAAACCTGTTCTGATTTCAGTGATGCTGGGTAAATATGAATGATGACAAGGAATGTAAGGATACATGTAATGAAAACAATGTAATTCTCAATAGTAAAGCAGCCAATGCTTCATCGTCATCAAATGGACCTCCATCTGATTCCCTTCATCCACACCAATTATCGGGACCCAATCATAATCATCATCACCAAACTCAATATCATCATCAAGATTCTGGGAACAACTTAAACTCTTCCAATGGTAGCTCTATTAATTTGAAAAACGGTGGTCCAGGTTCTGGGTTTAATAATAACAATAATAACGCACTAAACAACAATTTCAATTCTGACGTATGTCGAGATTTCTTACGTAATGTTTGCCGACGAGGTAATGGATGTCGATACCGACATCCAGAAGGGACTGAAGCTGAAGAATTGGGGAAAAAGGTTGATTTAATATTTTGTCATGATTTTCAAAACAAAGAATGTCGCCGGTTGAACTGTCGTTTTATTCATTGTACAAAACAAGAAGAGGAAATTTATCGCATCAGTGGCAAGCTACCTTCTCATCTGATCGAGAAACTATTGTCCAATAAACAGTCATCTGGCTCGTTTCATTCGTTGAATCAATCGCACCAAGTTGATTTGAAATCAGCTGTCTGTGATACAAATGGATTGGTTTCTAATTCATCTTTAGCTTCTTCTCTCGCCTCTTCCCTTGTTTCATCACTTGCTTCATCTTTATCATCATCGTTAGCCTCATCCGTTGCTTCCTCCGTTGCCTCCTCTGTAGCTTCATCCTTTTCTACCTCGATACCTGTCTGCAAAGACAACCTCAAAGGAGATTGTCGTCGAGGTGTGAGATGCAAATTTCGTCATATCTCTCAAGCTGAATATGATCTTGAGTTACGAACCAATGCTGCAGCTGCTAATGCTGCTAACGCTATCCAGCATATTAGAACTCCGTCTCTAGACAGAAATCACCATGCATCAGGTGTTTTGTTGGACGGGCCAACATCATATCAAGTTGGATTAGCCCCACCTGAGCCTAAAAGGCGAGCTTATGATGCATCCCTTGGTTTTGGTACTCAACCATTTACCTTGTCACCACAACGCGCGCCCTCACATGTCGGTCTCTCCCAGGTTCACTCAATTAGTGATTTTGAATTTACTTCAAAACAAACATCTCTCCCACCGTTAACTCAATCAACTTCTAATTTAGTTTCCTATTCGCAATCCAGTCAACTTCCCAACCAAGCTCTGTATAGTAATTCCCGTTTCTTAGAAGATGAAAATTGCGCACTTCGACGTCGTGTTGATGAATTAAAAAAACAAGTGGCCGATTTGATGGCCACAAATGAATTTCTACTGGAACAAAATGCTCAGCTACGTACAATGGGCAAATCAGCCCACCAACCTACCCCACCTCAATCAGGACCAGCGTCAATACCACCTCCACTCGGGCCACCGCCAATTATCAAACCTGAACTCATCTCTAGTTCAAGATCTGGAGAAATACCGGCGGCCCTTGCTGCCACTCTAAATTCTCAATCTGGAATTCCTGTATCATCAATGGCTGCTCTGTCAACAAGCGTTATCAGTACTTCAACAACTCCCTTGGTTAGCTATCCTATCATGACTGCAGCCATTCAGTCGTTACGTCCTCCTATTATTCCTCATTCACTTAGCCACTAGAAGAAACTAGAAAAATTTTGCAATTTAACAAATCGGACAATTTAAATATGTATTCAATACTTACAGTATACACATCAAAATAACTTAATTCAACTTGCTTTGCACTCTGTGAACAAAAACAACTTTAAAGAAAGATACAATAATCATATTTATTAATCCATATTCATATAAATATTTATATATATTATCCTCCTGGTAGTGAGAAAATATATATTCATTTAATATAAAATATCATTCAATGGTCCATTCAAAATATCTGTACACTATTATAAATATACAAACACATTTACATATATATTTACATCAAAGTGATTAGATTACGCGATTTTAATCGAAGCTGCAATGTTACAGAATCGACACCAATTAACAATTCTCAATTCTAAAGCAATCATGTTATTTATTTATTTCTAATTAATCCTTGCACCAACATTTTTCATGTGTACACTTGATTTTTTGATTCTTTTACCCCTTTATTCATTGTTTCTCAATCAAATTTTTGTTTTTTAGCAATCTTGGAATGATAAAAATCTAAAAAATTAAATAAGGAAATGATAATTGAAAACTTTCACGATACTTTTTCTTGACTTATGTTTACATGCTGATTTTTAAGATTATTATTGAATCGAGTTGAATGGGAGTTTCGAGCATTAAATCATTAACGCAAATGCCACATTGATTTTATTTTGGTCAATGTAATCTACATCAATTATCCCAGTGATAAACTTGTTCTAAATGTATGGCCATGAGAGCATTTCAATGTGAGAATGAATCGGATGCTCCAACAGATGCATAAAACTTTCTGAAGTCAAGCTAATCAAATGGTATCTCCTAAGTTTTACCAACAATCTTTAACAAACACATTTTCATACAGATTATTTAACTCTGAAGTAAATCAATCAGCACAATCAGCGAATGCATCATCATCAAGAGTAGCATCTTTATCAACAACGATTACAACTACAATGCAACTGCAGTAGCATCACCAATACATGGACTTAGGGATGTTTTCAAACAATTTAATCGAGCGGGCTATCAAAGGGTTGATGAACTAGATAAAAGAGGGTGCTAATATCTATTGTTTACATGTTAGTCTATTAATTAAAAGTGTGAAAAGTGCCTTAATTAAATATGCCAAAATTAACATCTCGTAAGTATTACCAACAGTATCTAACAAACGCATTTTCGCAGATTATTAGACTCCATTTATTACGTTTTCTCATTTTTTAGTTCAACTTAACCATCAAGTGAATGTAATAATACGGACAATCGTGAATCTGCGATCAAAATCAATCAAAACGGTGATAAAAGAGTCAAAAATTTAGGTAAAGATAAAAAATTACTGTTTCTTTTGTCATTTTTGATGAATGAGTTTGAGTTTCCTTATTTTAGGACATTTTAATATTAAAAATAATCTTTTCTTCTTCAGTTTCAACAGAGCCATGGTCGACAAATTCATCACATAATTGTGATGATAATCAAAGAAATAATCTATCAGCGGCTCTTCCAACTCAGATTCAATTAAAGAAAGTAAACTCTTCCAGTAAGTTTTAGTTTAAAAGAGTATTTCCTTCATTATAAAAGTCAATTGAATTTTCTCACACTGTCATCTTTTGTCAACAGGAACTGAGTCACGCGAATCATCTTCAAATTTCAATGATTCAAGTAAACATGAGATTGTTGTTGGTCGATTGAATAATAATGAGTCAGTTCTGACTGCATCAAATGCTATTCAATCTAATCTTTCAGCCCGATCTTTAACAAAACCAATAAGAAAGGAGAAGAAAGATGAAGTAAATCAATCAGCACAATCAGCGAATGCATCATCAACATCAGTAGCATCTTCATCAACAACGATTACAACTACAATAGCAACTACAGTAGCATCACCAATTCAATCAGCAACAGCAAAATCATCTGAGATAACAACAGTCAATTCAAGTAGCAAACTTAACCCACGGACTGTTAATGAAAACAAGCATGCTCGTAGTCCAGAGAGGAAAAAGATGCCAAAGGCTCAAGACTTTGATCTTGTATCATCGGCATTTCCTCCGCTTCCGAGCTCAGAAGTAGATGCTCCAGCAGACGCACACAACTTTCCCAAGTTAGGTTCATCAAACGGCATCTCGTAAGTATTACCAAAAGTATCTAACAAACGCATTTTCACACAGTATTTAACTCTAATTATAACGTTTTCTCATTCTTATAGTTCAACTTCACCATCAAGTGAATGTAATAATACGGACAATCGTGAATCTGTGATCAAAATTACTTTAAATTCAAATTCCAATGGATCATTAGCCGACATAGTTCGAGGAACTGTCTCTAAGACAGGAAAGTCTCTTCGTACAATCAGTCAAACTGGTCGGATGAGTTCAACATCATCGGGTGATAAAAACAGTAGTAATAGTAATTGTAATAATATCAATTATATTGGTGGTAGTAGTAGCAGTACTTTTGTTAATAACCCTACTCTTGCCTCAAACAAACACAGTAACAAACATAACAGTGATATAATGAAAGTTAACCTTGGTAACTGCAAAATGGTAATAATAATAATGATTACAAGATGAACCGAAATATTGATATAGCGACTTCTATTAAAGGTGATAATCAGGATGGTGTTATTGTTATTGATGATAAAGAAGTTGCCAAAGCCAGTATTGCCGAAAGTCCTTCTGTTGAATCTTTTCCATCCTCGTCTCCAGCATTAACTAATGAAGCCAGTATTTCCTAGTCTCGAAAATATTTCCAATTCAACAACTACGATGACTAAAGTTCTGTGCTATCTTAAGTTTCCGCCAAATGACTTCAATTTCAGAGACAAAGAAGCCTGCGATTTGTTCGACTCGACTGACGACGTATCATTGCGAGTTACACTTAATGGAGGTTTACCTGTTGAGGATAAATCAAACAGTCATCATCATTCTTTCTTTATTTTTTGTGAAACAATGCTTTTTTCTTGTTGACGAATGACGACCATTTTGAATATTTTTCAAGCAACTTTAACGGTGATCTTTTAAAAGTTGTTGACAATTTAAAACGATCCAAGTATCATTTGAAACTATTACAATCTCCAGTGATTAAAGAAAATCTGAGCAAGTATATTTGGTAAAGAGATCAATTAATGCATTTTGTCACTCAAATTTTTTACTTAAACACAATTTATAAATATACACACTATTTCTACAATATCTATCTTTTTATCATTTTGGCTCTTCTAGCCTTCTTTTTAATTTCACTTGTTGACTTTTCGTAATCCGAAAGCTTGTTCCAAATAGGTAGTTGGGCATCTTCTGGTATATGAGAACGATACTCCTTCATTAAATCAAATTGTTCATATTCGTTGTGATGTCTGTTATGAACAGAACGTTTGTAATAATATTCCCAAACACCACGCATTTTCTCAATTCCATAAGTTTGATGTTGATATCGAATTTTGAACCAATCTATAGACCAAGGTAGAGGAAGCATTTTAACTTTTATTGGATTCACTGGCACTGGAGCACCTTCTTTTCTCAATTCTGGTTCCATATCCAAAGGAAAAGTAGAATATTGAGGTTCTGCATCTCTCAAGTATCTTAAATCTTGGTCTAATCGCTTCTCCAATTTTATCACTTCGATACTACGAATAGTTGGGTTATAAAGATCATATCTAATTTCAATACCCTCACGATCGACAATATTTCTTAAAGTAAAACATGAATTGAGGCCAGTGCCTTCTCTAAAAATGCAGATACCAAGAAAACGAGATATTTTGCCAGCAGCATTAGGGTCAGAGACCGTAACAGCAAGAATTGAACCCACATAAAATTCCGGGATATCGATATTGTTTCTTCTTTGTAACATATCATTATGCTCTATAATTAAAGAGGTGAAAGAAAATTTCAAAAGATTTAGCATTAAAACAATGTCTAGTTTTCATCTCTATTTATGTCAATTGATTTTGATACTCACCTAAAACAGTTTTAATTTTATTTCGGTGTTCAGGCTTGGTGGAAGGAAGAAATTCAGGATATTTTAGTCTCATTGACTCCAACTCTTCAGGAATTAATTTTTGACTGAGTGGTATTTGTCTTTTATCATCTGGTGTAGAGGTATAAGTGAATGAAAACCCTTTTCCCTTGTCAATACCTTTTCCTCCTTTGTAAATCCAGGATCTTGATGCGGACCGTAATTGACAGTAAAGAGGCACATTGTAAGAATGAATTAATTTAATTACTCGAGGTAAAACCATCTCAATAGAACAAAAAAAAGAGTCTTCAAAATTAAAAACAAAACACATGAAAAACCAGAGCTAGCTCGTAAAATAGATTAATCGCTATTTTCACAGCAGATTTTTTAATTTCATAATTTATAATATTATGTACATTGTACTGTTTCTTGACTTTTCACATTTCAATTTAATTCGCAATGACGTTCAAATTTTGTCTCGATAATTTTTACCACCTCACCAGGCCTCCGAATCGGCCTCACAGTTCGAGGAAAAAAATATTCAATTTCATAGGTTTATAAATTACTCAATAGAGGACACTAATATAGTCATTAAGGGAATCAAAGTTGATTTTTTCATTTTTATGTTCAATGTTTAGAGTTGGAAATAACACGAAAAAAAGTTATTAAATATATATTGGTATCGAATTAGTAGTTATCGATAATTTTTTGAAGATTTTACCCTCATTTCCATAAGCTAATGCTAAACGACACTTTTTTACTTAGGGTCACCAACGACACAAACCCTGTAATCGGCAAATCATATCTATGATGCTAATGAATTATCACAACTTATTAATGCATTTCAGTGTTCACGATAAAACTGAATACAGTCTAAACGAAATATTAACGATAACAAACTGCATCAATGTGAGTCTTTTAATAAAACAATAGCGAACGAAACAAATAGGAAGTTTGAATTGTATCTCGTCTTCTAGTTTGGCTCAATTTTGATTTTCAATTTATTGTGTGAATATTTTCACACCAATTGACTCAAAGTGAATACACAATCTATTTTGATGCAAATATATTTGGTTGAAAAATAATCATTGACCGTGATATATTTTGATAGATAAAAGATTGATTTGAGAGAAGCAATGAAATGAAAAGAGGCAAAAATGAAGAATCACAAGTAACTGTAACTGTTTATGTCAAAAGCTAATACTGGCAACTGTAAGATGTTACACTGGGAATAACATGTCAAATCATTGAAGATGAAGGAAGAAGAAGAAGAAGAAGAAAAGCAAAGATTTGAAGATGAGGATGAAAAATGAAAAAGTAAAAAAGTGTAAAGAAAAGGAAACGAAAATAAGTAAAACGAAAGCGACTTTTACGGTTCATTTGGTTCAAGAGAAACTGTCGATGGAGAAACCTGTGAGACTCTTTCGTTTCTTCAAGTTGTTTCCATATAATTCATGAAATATCTTCAAATCGAATTTTTCATTCCAAAAAATTGAGGCAAATCAGAAAAAGGGTCAACATTTGACTCATATTGAAATCTTGAAAGAAACTCTACTTCTTGGTGAACCCACATTTGTCAGGTGAAAGTATTGGATTCAAAAAATTGTCAGATAGTTTGTTTTACTTGTGATTAATGGTATTGACTTTTCAGTTTTTCAACTTCGATTTTTTTCTCTCCAAATTATTGATATTTGATTGCTCAGTCCCAATCAATATTCAATACAAACCAGCTAGTCATGAATGGTAATTGCGTTCAGAGCATTGCAACTTCAATATCTTCTTGGAAACTTCATAAGATCACAGTATCAAGAAAATATTAATAGATGAATTGAAGTTATGCTAAAAATCAGATTCAAGTTATGAAAATTGTTTGATAAGCTGAGTCCATCTGAGAAGCACTCTTATTTCAATGAGTCTCAATTTTCAATGGACTTACCTTTGATGGGGATTTGACCAGATTGAAGGTAGAAATGGTCATTTCATTGTTAAATCCTAGTTTTGAGATTCATTTTTCTTTCCATTTCCATCATAATCATCATTACAATCATCACTGTTCTCATCTAATCTGATCTCATTTTATTCCCATTCTTACCTTTTGCTTATGGAAAAAGTAACAAAATATTTTCTCGACTTTTTTTCAATGTTACGTTTTTCTTCCCTTTTCACTTGTGTTTATCTGATTGTCCTTCTCATAATCCTAGAGGCCATTTCATTTCTTATCTGTTCTCTCTCTCTTTTCCCTGTTCATTCTGAGCGAAAAGATGAAGGAGATTGAAGATGGATGAAGACTGTGAAATTGGATTCTGTGAAATCAATTGAAGGTTCAGGTAATTTGGTTTTTTGCTGCTTCTTCTTCAAACTCAATCTTCCTCCTCTTTTCACTCCTTGCACAGTAACTCGTATTTTTCACTTTACTTTTTTTCCAGTTGACACATTCAAAGATCTATTTACCATTGCAAGTAAAAACAGCAGCAAAATCACTGATTGTACATTGATTTATACATCAGCGACACTTTTAGATTATATGAATTTTTCAGTGAAATTCAGTTTGAAAGGGCAAAGAGAGATAAAAGAAACAATTTAAGGCAACAAAATTGAAACAAGGAACCTTATTACTTTTGATGATGATTACCTTTTTCCCTGTGAAAACAATGTTCATGGAGAATCGATTACTGTCTTTAAGACAATCAGGAAGGATATATGGTTAAAAATTGATTACTTTTCATTAACAAAGCCATTTTTATCTTCAACATCTCATTTCAATTCTCTTGCTGAATCTAATTCAATTATCGATTCAACCAGCAATGAGAAACAGTGAACACAACTTGCAAGATGAAACATTGTTAATGATGATGATAATTTGAATAAAGGCACAGCTAATAAGATCAATAGGTTTGATCGTTTAAACTTGCCTAATAAATTATCCAAGTGATTCAAATCAATAATCATAATTGCTGTCAGTAATCAACTGAGAATCGTTGGCTTTTCAGAGAAATGATTATTTCAAATCATCTCTTCAAATGTAAATGTTGAGCTTACATTTTACAATCATAATTGACATTTAATCGCTGTTTACTGAATTCAATGTTTAATTTTACTGTAAATATCAATATTTTCCAGTCAACTCATGTTGGCAAGAAAATATGTTTCATGTTATTTCAAATTCATTTTCAGAGTTTGTTTTACTTTTGACTTTTTTTCTTCTTCTCTGATCGATTTTTCAACCTTTTTTTTCTTGCAACTTGAAAACTTCTCGACTTGAAGATGTTTGAACAAGCAAAAGGACCAAATTTAAAAGTCGAAATAAAAAAAACAAAAGAATATCAATCAAAGTATTTCTGTGTTTTTTTGCTTTACCAAATGATTGGTTGACTTTTCCTTTGCCATCGACAGCAAACATGTTTACATTTATCAACTTGTAATAATGATGCTTGTTTTTGTTTCTCTGTCCTGATTCTCATACCACTTTGACAGATAAATTGTGAAGATAAATCACCAGCATTTGAGTTTTTTAAGAAAAATATGTTTAGAAATAAGATAAATTAAACTTTAAACAGCAAATCTTTTCTCATTTCTTTTCACTGTTTCTCACAATTTTTTTCATTCCAATATTTTAACCAACAAACGAAAATTCAAACATTTGACTTTTAAATGTGCTTTCTATCAGAATGGCTATAACCTTACCTTGTTGACCACAGTCTGTCTCATTTCAATGTCCAACTATCACAACTAAATGGCATTATTCAATAACATGCATTAGATGATCGAGAATTTTGTTGCTCATTTAGTTGCACATTTCATTGCATTTACAATACTCTGGCGCTTGCTTAGTATATAATTGTAATAGATTAAATCAGCAGGTCTTATTATTAGAAAAATTTTTTGCTTCAAAATTTGTAACTGATTCCTTAAGTGTAATTGCCGAGTAAAAAAGTTGATTGTCAATTTTCTAGGTTCATAAATTACTCAATAGAGGACGCTAGTGTAGTCATTAAGGGAATCAAAGTTGATTTTTCGATTTTTATGTTCAATGTTTAGAGTTGGAAATAACACGAAAAAAAGTTATTAAATATATATTGTTATCGAATAAGCAGTCATCGATATTTTTTTTACAACTTTACCCTTTTTACCTTTTATTTTTACTTTCATGTACAAAACAATAGTTCAATCTACTTGATATTTTAAATGATTCGGTATAAAAGTGACTTTCAGCTCTCAAACAAGCGATTGAATAGCTGCAATATCTGACCAACTGCGAGCTTTAATTTTTATGCTTAAACTCTATTTATAAGATTTATCGTGATAAACTTTAAGAATAGGGCTTTTCAATTGACTTTTTTGTAGCTTTACTCAACTAAGAAGGGAACTATTTCAGTTACTCAACACCGATTTGAATGAATGAGATTTCATTCGATAGAGAACGGTGAGTTATGAAAAACCGTCGAGGGTTTTATCTGTATGGGAAGTGATTCTTAAAATATTTGGGTTTGAAATTCCTGCATTTTGCTTGAAATTATTTTTAAAATTGAAGGTATTATCTAGTAAGGTCTAGCTTAATGGGTAAAGGAGTAGGTGAAAGTATGGTGGTTTTAAGTTCAAATTCTGGTTACTTTTTGTTGTTAACTAATTTAATGATTTAGAAATTTTTGTTTATCAACAACGTTTTCTTTATTATTCTTAGATCTTAGTATCTAATTGATTAGTTATAACATGTTTATGCAACATAGACATCGATGGTTGTCACTGAAAAGCTCTTGTAAAAAGGAAGCAAAGAATAAAGCCATCCTCTTGATTTTCATTGCCCAGGTATTGACAAACAAACACCAGATGCCATTGGATCAGCTAAAACAAAATGAATATAACCCAGTTGAATGATACACTGACGCCATTCAATTAGCGCATTCAGAAATTGACAGATTTGGCGCAAATTTTGCGCTAACGCTTGTCAAATGCAAGCATAAAGATTCCCCAATCCTCTCTCGATTCAAATCACTCAAACTTTCTAGTCTAACTCCTTTAACCACTGAACTACGATAATAATTTGATGATGCAGCATAATGAATGAATTTTACCGTGAAAATAGACATTCATACTTTTGTTTGACTGTGTTAAACGCAATTAAACATATGACTCTGGCGTTTTTTTCCAAAAATATCTTAGTGAGCGTGAAACGTGGCTCAGTGTAGCAATTTTCATTCGACTGGGAAAATAGAAAAATGAATAACAGAATACAATAAAAAACTGAATAAATTAAATTCCATCGAATTGAAGCGCAATGTAAAAAGTCAAGATACATACGACGTAAACATTTTTGAGGAGAAGTACAATCTTCAGCCGTTTTGCAGAATGAAAAGTCTTTGAGACTTGCAAGACACAAAGATCGATAAACCTGGAAAGGCAAAGTAAAATTAATTCATGATTTAAAAATTTGCATCAAATCTACTGACTATTAATCTTGAAAATTGACTATTTTTCACTGGTCAAACAGTTAATATTTGAGGAATCGAATAAAATGTAGAATCAAAATTCTACAAAAGCTTAAAAGAAAATTCAGGCAAACACCGGTTTCAACACTCATTTTCTAGACATTCAGAAATTCATACTGATAGAGGAGTCGATACCGCCTTGTATATTTCACTAGAAAAACTTAGCTGAAGCAATTCAGACAAACATGAATCGTATTAATGAATTCCTCAACTGTCTGGGAATGAGAGCCGATTAGGAACTTTCCAGCTTGTCAAAATTCATGAGGCAAAATTTTGTCGTGATTAGTTTCATCGTAGCAAAATCATCGAGGGACACTGGCTGTTAGAGATGATAGCGGAGAGTTTCAATAAAGATTGAAGATGACAGTATCAAAGTTTCAAAGTAAAATATCTGTTTTATTTATTATTCTTAGGTCTTAGTACATGAATTATCAACCATAGTTCTCGCTGAAAATTTCCTGTAAAAGGAAATCAAGGAATAAAGCCATCATCCTGAAAGATACTCGGGCAAAACACAACTACCAGCGCCTTGCGATGCAACTGAAACAAAATAAATATAAAATAGAAAAATGAATAAGAGAATACAATACAAAACAAATAAATTGAATTGTATCGCAATGTAAAAAGTCAAGATACATACGATCTGAACATTCCTTAGGAGGAGTACAATCTGCATTGGTTTTGCAGCCAAGGTCTTCTAGAGTCAATGCTTTGGGAGTTACTGCAAGACACAAAGATGGACAAACCTGCAAAGGCAAAGTAAAATTAAGTCATGATTTAAAAATTTAACAGCGTGCATCACAATTCGGTAACTATTAATATTTCATACCATTAAGAGCTAACAATAAAATGCAAATAATTAATATCAATGAATTAGATACTCACTAGAATGCCCAACAAGATGAAAATAAGATACATAGAAATAGATTTCATGATGACACTGTATACTGTATGTTGAATGTAACTTGTGTAAGAATTGTAACAACTGATAGCCAAATGATTCTGAAGGTGCTTTATATACCCTAATAAGTCAAGATTGAATAAACAAAGATTTGACTCATTGTCACCAGCCCGCAACTAAGAAAACATTCTCGATCTAAATTAAACGAGACATTTCTAAATAGTTTTAGTTTCCGTTTCCGAACAGGTGTTGTGCTGATTAGTTCAATGTCATTTGTCATTTCTAGCAATTATGCATCCTGGTTATTCAGAAGTATCCACGAGCCAGACTATGGATGGTTGTAAATACATCTGAAAAAGCTGATGTATTGATTTACTTGATTCAATCATCAACATCATTCAATCAATTAATCAAGCTATGCAAAATTATTCAAATGATTCAATGAAACTCATTGTCATTCTTTTAATTAATTCTATTATTCTGAAAATGGTGCTTCGTTTGCTTCTTGATTCTTGAGAATGACTATTAATAATTTCTTGACATTTGACTTTTAGGATTTCAATATTTTGAGTTGACATGCTTTAAATCACGACAATAAAAGCAATGAGTGCACTAAGTCCACTCAATATTTAGTCTTATTTCAAATGGTCAAGTCAAATACTCCAATTTTCTAGCGGTTTTTGACTTGAATTTTTGGTTTACTCTTGAATTTAATTTTGTAAGCATTTTCATAAAACAATAAGACAACCTCAAATTTGGAAAAAATTCAAGTTACGTTTCTTTGAATTAATGTTCAACAATATCTTTCATTCGCATTTAAACTTGCAAGACTGGACAATTGATTAACAAAATGGCAAAGTTTAAATTGGAAAAGTTAATAAAATAAAAGACTGTTGAATGGCGAAACAATTAAGATTGATTCACTGAAACCAAGAAACCAACCAAACTAAGCGAAAAGAGAAGCATGAAAGTTAATGAAAAAACATGATACGAAAGGTGATTTTCTGAGTTTCAGTTTATTCCAAGCTAATGGCAAGATAAAGATCAGATACTTTGAATAACAAGGTAAATGAACAGTTCAAGTCGCAAATGATAATATTTATGTTGATTCCCTAGTCAATTAGGTAAACAAAACAAATGAGTTGGATGAGATGAAGCGATATCATAACACAGTTAAAGTATGGAGTGAGAGAAACTGAAAAGATCAACAAAAAATATCTCAACTTGAGTTGCATCAATTTACTTTTTATCTTCATCATTGTCTTCCTTTTACCTGATCATGAGGTGAAAAGGATTTCTTCAGATTCAATAAAGGTTAAGTAGCAATGGTTTTACCATAGAAACCCAATGTAACCCAAAATGAAACATAAATGTTTCCTCAGTCTTTCAATCTCAATCTTTACCTTCTTTTCCCATCTTTTTCATCTTTCCCTTCCCTTGATCCGTTTACCTTTCAATCATCTCTTTACGACAATCGTTTTTATTCACAATAAAAGATGAAATAAAAGATGAAATAAATGGTGTTACCTTTGAAGGGAAAACCGAGAAAAATGAAACAATGAAAACGTCTGTTCAAGGTTTAATGATAATACAAAAAAAGCAAGATGCTAATATCAGTTTAAAGTATCTAATAGAGCCTTTCATCGGACATTAATCAACATTTATCTGCATCGTTATCATCATGTTGAACCTTTTTCATTTGAATGAAAAAAATATTTGACTCACATTGTAAACAAAACCAGAATTGATGCAAAAACTTGATTTATCGCTTTTTTCATCACATTTCACTTGTTATGAGAAACACCTTGATTTATCCTTATCATTGAATAACAAAAGTTTTACATTCAATAGACAATCAAGTTATTATTGAGTTTTCATCTTTACAATTTATTCAGCAAAAGTTCCTTTTTTCACCTTTTACTCAATGCTTTTTGATTTATTGTTAATGTGGATGAAAATAGTTCATAAAGATTGCACCCAGAATATGTTTGAATTGAATGCCGATTCGGAAAGGATCGATGAAGCTTGTCAATGCTTTTTGTAGCATCATTTCATTGTCTTGATCTTGCTTTATTGACATGAATCAATCAAATGTCTAGTTCATTTACTGTCAAGAATAGCTCATGACAGGTTGAATCATGTTATGCTTTGTTTGTTGAAGGTAAATGCTACTTTCAATAATCACACATTTGTTTTCATTTTTCAGCGAAACATTGCTTTTTGGGTGCATTTTGGCATTTTATTTCATTTCAATGTAATCGTTGGTCAATATTCAAAATCAATCCAAGAGTAACTTTCAGATTTGGTTGTTTAACCGAGCATTAGTTCGAGATCAATCTGTGTCCTTTGCCTTTCTCATCAAAAATTGAAAATTCAAGTCTTTCATGTTTACCACAGAAAAACTCAACAATTGAAATCTTTTATTGATTATCTTTTCAACCTTTTCTGCACAAGTTTGATTAACATTTTTATTACAGTTTACTAGTGAAACCTGAGTTTCTACCTTCCTGACACCTGTTTAATTTGTCTCATTCAGACTCAATTACACCAGACTTATTTGTCATTTATTGGTTCATTTTTGCTACAACTTTGTGTAAAACTGTGCATTTAACTTTTTTCATCTCATCACAAGTTGATTGAAGCTATCAAAGTTTCAATGTCATTAGAGAACGAGTTCCAGGTGAAAGTGTTATCAATATAAAAACTGTTTTGATCAGTTAACAGGTGAATAACATACAGCAAATGGCATTTACATTTAATCCAGTAACATTCAAAGATCAAATTATTTCCAAATAACGCTGGTCAAAGTTGACTTAAATACTAAAGTCAATGGTTAATCTGTTCATTACGATAAATTACGTCTTTAATTTCATGTTAAACTGAATAAATACTTGTAAATCCAATTACAAGCAACTTGTCTAATTCATTTATCCTAAAATATCATTCAACAGCCACTTAATTTGCCAAAGGAATCATTCTGGACCAAAATGACTCATTTCAAGTTTCAAATTAATCAAGAGTCAGGTTCCAATAAGACTTCAACAGTCTCTTTGGAAGGTAAAAAGTTGATTTAACTTTCGCTGAAAAGGTAAAAGGTTGACTTGATAATAGTGATTTCAATAAGTCTCTTTGCTCTTTTGAATTTTGATGTTGATCAACAGCTAAGCTGGACAATCCGTTTACAATGAGATTGACTCTAATTTTGTCAGATTGTCGTTTTGTTTGTTTGATTAATTTGATTATATTGAAGATATTATTTCCGGAAATCACTGAATACCATTTGGTTCAACTATCATCAATTAAGATTCTCCCTGTTGAGCAAGCAGAGATGATCCAATGGATAGGGAAGCTTGAAATGTTGATAAATCATACAATGATGAATGTTGAGTAAAAAAAAGATGAACAAAATGCAGGCAAAAGTTATACTCGTAGGCAGTGTAAATCAATCAATCAAAATGAAAACAGATTAAGTCAAATCTGATCAACAAAGTAATTGTCTTTTACAATTTGCATCCTTTTTTCATTCAAACAACGTTTCAGGTCAAGGCATACACTTAGTGTGTGAATGGTCAGAGATGTAGAGCAAAATGAAGTTTTATTTGTCCATTTAAAATGATGAAGGCAAAAATGTCAGATAATTTAATAATAGGAAAGTGAAAGAGGATGATGAAGATGATCTTCTCGATGATAAAATGAGATGCTCGCTGAGAAGACAAAGTGAAGGACTGTAATGACAGTGAATAATAAACTTTGTAAGGTAATAGTTGACATTGATTACCCTTAAGCAATGGTGAGGCTAAAGTATGAAGTTGAAGAGACGGTAAAAGGATGGAAATAAATGATAAATGAACCTTTCTCTTTCTCAAATTAATTGAAGATTCTTTGAACAGTTGACATTGATTACTCTCTGCTAACAGTCATTACATTTGTTGCAAATTAATTTCATTTTCAAATTGTAATATTAAAAGGAGATTTTTGTTTTTCGCTCCTTTTTTGCTTTTGCCGCATATCAAATCAGATGGTATCGGATACAATCAGATATTGTCGATATGAGTGATATGGATTACTCATTAGTTTTTGTTGTTGCTTGGTAGAGATGGGCGATATTGAAAAATAATATCATCGTAAATATCGATATGAAATTTTGCGATATTGATATTATCGATATTTATCGATATTTTATGAAAACGAAGCAAAAAACAATTACTGAATGAATAATCTCATAATGAACTCTGAAAAGACTTTAAAGTTGCCATTAGATGAGCTTTTCAATGTCTTAGATTATATCTTTTGCATTGAAAAGAGCCTTTTCTTGAGCGAATGCAGAGATATAAAAATGTAATGTTATGGTCATTCAAAAATTTTCCGAAATTTACACAAAAATTTAGCTAATTAGCATCTTTTAAATGTCTTAAATCATATCGATATTTTTTTCAGTTTATCGATGATATTTTTTGTAAAAATATCGATATATATCATCGATTTCGATAATATCGCCCAACTCTATTGCTTGGTTCAAGCCATTTTCATTGCTTTTTTTACTTTTTACTTGTGTTTTACCCTAAATTAACCCAAAATTTGAAAGCCAAATGAGAGGATTGACAAAATAATAAAAGTTAGGAACCATTGGCAGGTTGTTATGAATATCCAATTACTCACAATGAATACATTTAAACAAGATGTAAGTAAGAAATGCCCAACTCGTAAACATCAACATGAACATAAACACTAACAATCTTATTCAATTTATTTCTTCTTTTTCCTCTCTTTCTTTCCCTCGTTTCACTATCATTATCTCTTTCTCTCTCTTTTTTACAGCCTCGTAAACAATTTGTTGCTCTTCACCATTTTTATCCTCTCTGATTTGGCTGAGTTTTTATCTCTCTTCACTGTTAACTTCAAAGATGAGGATGATTGTGTGTAAGATGATCTCATGTTTTAAAGGAAAGGCTGATTTCTTAGGAAAAAGACAAAATCAACTATCGAAGGCAAAGGGACACGAAAAAAGCAAAGGATGATGAGAAAGATGAGGACGCATGATGAAGATGATAATGATGGACAATCTAAAATAAACCAAATACACGCAAGTAAACAAGCAAGCAAGCCAGGAAGAGAAAAGAGCTAAAAATAATCATAAAAATGACCCTTAACCTCGACTATTTAACCTTTTGTTTGATCGTTAAACTCAGTGGCAATTGTGATAAAGAGGCTGATCCAGTTTGGTCTGACGGTGCTAATAAACAATAAATATGTTGATGGCGATTCGTGGAAGGAAACACACAGCAAAACATTGGAAACACACAAAGCGCTCAACAAGCCAAACTAAGAATTGAACTGATGTTTATTGCAATCATAAAATTTGAACTAGTTTGTTGTTGCCAAAAAACAAATGATTATATTTCAAAGGAAAGTTTAGCAAAAGATTTGTAATTTATTTAATTACTATCAGATTGGTTTCACTCTAATTAGTGTATAATATATATTATACATTAAATAAGTTTACGATTCAATTTTACTTTTAGATGAGTTATTGCTATTTTTGATTTCATGAGAGTTGTAAACGCAAACAAAATGAAAACCTGATTATCAGTGAAAAAAAATAATCGCAAAAATACGTGTATTGGATAAATCCAGTGAAACAATTAACTAGTTGACTGGTAAAAGTAGGTTTGCGTTCATTTGATGATATTGCTTTTCTTGCTGTAAAAGCTTGTGCTCTGAGAATTGACAGTGAACATTTGATTCTTTGGGTTAATTGTTTTCTGGTTTCCCTGTAATATAAATACCAGTTAACCAGAAAAGATGAGAAAAAGGTAAAACAAAATAAAGCAACAATTAATTTGATTGAAGTTGCAACTGAATTAAACCATTACAAATATAAACTGGTTACCCGAAAAAGCAAATGAAAACTATTGAGATTGAAGAGAGAAAAAAAAAGAAAAGCTTTAATCGTGTTAACCTTTTCTTCTTCACCTTGATTGTTAACCTGATCTGATGAATTACGATGAAAATAGATTTATAAATCTATTGTTGTATTATTGATTCCTTATTCAAAGCTCTTTGATCAATGAACTTTTAAACCTATGAAAATGGAAACAACAACAGCCTTGTTTAACCATTAATAAAGCAATAGTTGCTCCAGAAAAAAAGGTCAATATCATTTTGAGGTATAAATTAACAGTTGAAAAGCAATTCATTATTATTAGCACCGATTCAAATTAAATTTATCCACATTAATACCAAACGCAACCAAACGTTACATTCAACAATTTACAATGACTATGGATCTAAGTTTGAATCACTTGATTGTTACAATTCATCTTTTCAACACTTCAAGTTGATCTACTGTTTAAAATGAATGCCTTACTCTATCATTTCACGCTTAACTCAGTTCATTTTATCGAATTTAAGTTCAGTAGTTTTCCTAATCCAAAGTTCATCAGAAATTGTTAGCTCAAAATTTGTAAATTCAATATAAATTCATATTCAACCATTTTCTTAGTTGGTTCAATTAAGCTTTTTAAATTGAAAATTTTAGCTTTCAATATCAAGTTTTACTAAAATGTTGATTAACTTGATTGAGTTTTAGTTTAAATAGCTTTATAAATTGTTGTTAATCTGAACTTTTCTGTTTAACTTCATCGATCAGCCAATATTTTGATTTGGGTTCAAATTGATTATCAAAGGTAAATCGATTGAAGCTTTTGTTTTTGCTTTCCATCTACATTAAAGTTGATAAAGGTTTTACCAGTCATTAAAATTAGATTATTGTAATTGATAATTATCGGTCTGTTTAATGAAATTATGATTGAAATTAATTTTCTCTATTCAATCTAAATGAAATATATGATGGTGAAGATGACGAGAAAAGATGATTAAGAATAGGAAAGAGGTAGAATGGAAGATATTTTGATTAGATTGTTGCATGATCACTACAGTAAGTAGCATGAAAAAGATTGACTAGAAATTGACTGTATAATAGGCAATTATATCATCGACTCAGGCTCAGGTAATCTTACCTGGTTCTGCAATCAGGCTAATATTAATATTCATAGTAAAACTTACATGACATTCAACATTCATTATTGTCAAGATGACTGATTATTTGTAATAATAGGGTGAGCTAAGAAAAGGTAATCCTTCAAGTAAACTGGACAATGAACACTTGGAGTATAATCGGAAAATGGTGGCTAATTATTAATCGCTTTTGTTATGAAAATATTGAGATTGGCCAGATTTTGTTTCCATGTTAAATTGAAAAGCGTAAAGTTGGCAAAGATTGATTACGATTGATCGTGAAAGGTAAATGCTAAAGCTATGCTCTTCACCTCCATAGCGTCCATTTATTTAATTATCAGCATATTGATTAACCTGGAAAAGATGAAGAAAAATTTAAATTAATGCATGTTGAATGGTTAAATGGTTCACATTCATTGGAACTTGTAAATCAGTTAAATTAAACTGAAAAGGTTACCAAGCTTAACTGGTTCTTTCCTAGCCATTTAACGTTAAATCAACCTGTGAAATTATTTTACCATTGGAATTATTATTATCATTTGTTGTTGTGCACTGAGATGACAAATGAAGCATTTGATAAAGATTAAAGTTGATTGAGTTCATTTTAAACTAAATTGTTGAAAATGATGATTATCATTATTATTGGATTGTTTTTTAGCTGGTTTCAATTGATTGTCAAGTGAAGTGTAATTTAGAGAATGGAAAGGATCATGTTTGGTGTCAGAATGTAAAAAATGATCAACTCTGGTGATGCTGGTGATGGTGAGGAGGAGCAGGAATGGATGATAAATTTATACTGTATCAAAGTTGTTGTTCAAGATCTATTATCAACTTGAAAAACGGAGAAAACTTTTTATTGATTGTGACAGTGTTAAGCCTTCCAGATCAATTTGATATCTTGTCATAACTTATTCACAATCATGATGTTGAAGATGAAAATAAATGAGAAGATTGTAAGATGTTAGAGAAACCAAAAAGATGAGGATAAATTTTCTTCCATCCAATTGTATTCATATTTTTTCCTCTCTTTTCAACAGCATTCAAGACCAATCCCTTTTTTGTAAATTTTGATAATCCATTTATGCCTTTTTAAAGGAACCTGAAAAAGCATGAAAAAAGTATAAATTAATTTCAATAATCTTGTAAGGATAAACACTTGGAAAACTATAATATTATAAATCAATTAATAACTCACAAATTAACTAATTATTTGTTAACCAAAAACATACTTAACAACCATCGATTTGAAGCTCTACTTTCAACAAATCCTTAAAAGAAGTGGAAAGGCTTGTTAGTCCAAACAAAATGTAAATCCACAAGCGAAATAATATGATGTTGATAAGCCAAATTAAGCATTATTTGAATAACCAATTGCTTATTACCATCAAGATAAATTAACGATAAATTAACGATATAAATTGTTGTTTACAGTAAAATAGATTTTTACGTTGACTAAGCGATTGAAAAGTGAAGACTTGAAAAAATTTGTGCGTTGATGGCAAGTTAAAGATGAAAGTACACAATTATTTAAATTGTATTTTACTTGGAGCAATATTTAGCAACTATTTGATTACAGTTTAAACATTCTTAATGATAATTATTAACGTCGACAACACCTAAAACCAAAAGGTTAAATAAGAGTTGTTACGAGATGTCTTAAAACTGAGGTTGGGTTAACACGATAAACCCTTAAGGCAACCATGCTTTCTATCACACCTAAAAAACAGATTATATTTTAAGATGATGATGGTGGTGGTAAGATGACCATTTTTCACTTGTTTAATATACTTTTAAATATCAATTTTAATCCAGTTATAATTGGTGGTTTTAAACAATTATTGAAACAAAAAAACAATTACATAAAATATCTAGTTGCACATTAAGACGCATTACTTTACGATGAATCATTGTTATTTGCTTTGTTAAATAAGGGAAAATTGTTTAAGTTCAAACTGCTCCAAGGGGTTGGTTAAGAAAGCTAAAAATCTAATTGAAATGGCGTTTTTTGGTTTTTGTTTGTCTTCCAAGATAATGATTTAGAAAGTGAAATGATGAACTACATGAGCATGTTGATTGTTAATTTCACAGGGAAACAGAAAAAAGTAAAAAAGAGATTTCAATAAGATTGACAAAGTCTGTGAACACAAATTATAAGTAGACATTGAAAAGAGTTGACTTGTCTCTTTCCATTTGATCATTGGTAACTTATTTTCATGATGTTTAGTTGACTGTAAAACTCACAATTCCAAGTTGCCCCGAGGTTAGATTAAATAGTAAACATGAGCAAAATTCAATATAAAATAAAGCAAAGACGGAGAGACTTTCTCCTGGTTAAACAGACGAGAGACAGAAGAGAAAGAATGAAAGGTGAGATTGGATTGGAGGGAAATACAAACATTGAATATGGTTTCTTCTTCTTCTTCTTTTTTTTATATAAAACCAAATGCAATCAAATTTGGAACCATTTTCATCTGTTCCATGATTTGTTTACTCACAGAGAGATGAAGAACCGGAAATTGAAACTTGAAATGTTAACATTTTTCAATAATAAACTGATGATGAATAAAATATGATGCAAAATAATCAATTGAACCACTTTATTCAAACATTGAACCCAACATTGGGTTAACCAGAAAATCTTCACCAAAACCCATTTTCTCTCTCCCAATAACTCAACAATTGAAGTCAATAAACTCAATTAGATTAACTAATTTCATCTAACAATTTAAATTAACTCTTAATAATTAAAATGCAACACCTACATTGGACCAAAAACGATTTAATTATTGAATATAACCTAAAAAATTTGTATCACATCTATTATACATTGATTAACATCTGTTTGATGTGAATTTATTTTTGACCATTTTCAGATTACTTAATTATTTTTACCTTAATAAGAAATGCTTGTTGCTTTTTAATTGAATGCCAGCCATTAAATTGATTAGCTTGAGGTTCAAATTTGATATTAAACTTGATTTACTTTTATAATTAGCAAAATTGTTGTAAAAGCTGTTGGTTGACAGTTAAAGTGTATTAATTGTGTTCATTTTTTGATGCACACTTTTGTACCAATAAACGTATTCATTAAGCTTTATCATAATTATTTATTACCATTTATCGATATCAATCAGTTTTAATTAAAAGCAACTCTATTAACCTGAATTGGTGTGAAATGAGAGAAGCAAAGAAACAATATTTCTGATGATAAAGTTAATTAATAGTAATCAAAAATCGGGAAAAGAGAGAAAATTGATTAACAGAAAAGGTGAATTGATTAATGTTGAACAGAACTGAATCAATTGATATCAACCTGGTAATTCAATCAATTTCAATCTCTTTGTAAATTGATTGAACATTTTAATTGAAAAGCGATTCAAGTTGAAGTGTAAAATTAATGAAACAAAAAAGAGATGAAATTTTGGCGATTCACCTTTTTGCTTCATAAACACCATCAAGATGAAAGTGATTAAATGAAGCTTCCATGTTCATTGATTAATTAACTTATCAACAACTGTTCAACTTGGATTGTTGGTTAAATTGAGAATGATTATCATCTAAAAGCATTTAAAGTTCATTATCCAATCTCACCTTACACTGAGTTATCAGTTAAAGACCATATTTATAAAGATAAGTATCAGAATGGTTTTTGCTCGTGTAACACTGTAAGTAAAAAGATGAACCTAAAGATGAGAAAATATGATAAAAGGTGAGATTCATCATGTTCATCATGTTGAGGTGTTTGACTTGAAATGTTCAACTCTTTTATTGTGTAAATGTGAAAAATGTTGAACATTTAACCATTAATTTAACTATCAATCTTTAAATTTAAATTTACTCTTCAATTGTGATTCAATTTTGCAAGCTTAAACATTATTTAAAAGCAGGTCAGTTCCGTGATGTTGGATTCACCTTTTCATTTACCTTACATTATCTTGGAACTAATTTTTCACCAATAAAAGGGAAAAGATGGTTTCCATTCTCACGACTTGTTGTCTGATCAGTCTGAGACATTTTACCTTCTTAACAAATAATGATTGATCAACATGTAAGGCGATGTTGCATGATTACTTCAACACTATTTAAGTCCTCTTTAGTTTATCGCTTAAGTGACTTTTACCTTCACTCTTCCCTTACCTTGTGTGTTTACTCCATGAAAGGAGCAAGGTGAAAAGAGGATGATAAAAGGATGATCAGATGAAGACATTGTCTTACCGCTCATTGAACAAGTTAAATTGTTTACCAACAAAAAGAGTTACTTCGTTTCACCATTCAATCTCAACTCTTTTTATCCTCATCATTCCCTGTTTATGCATCTTAAGTGTTACATCTTAATGTGATCAGCTTCTGTAAACCTTTGCTCAAAAAAAAACGAGTTAAGTTAACATTAGTTGTACAAGAAGCAAAATCATAATGTACAAGAAGAGTAAAGCATTTGAAAGGCACAAAAAAGGGTAAATATTTTGATTCTTCTTCTTCTTTTTCTTTTCTCTTCTTCATTTCTTCTTCCATTTACATCCGTTTCTTTCACTTTTGGGTTTCATGGTGCATCTGAATGGCAACATGAGAACCCCTTTTTCACGATGAAACTCCTTCTTTTTGTTCATTTTAACTTGAATAACAAAAGCAGATGAAAATGAAAAGATGAAAATGTTGCTTCCATGGTTGGCTGAATGTTTCATGTAAAAAGGAGAGAAAAGTTTATTCTCTTGTTTACAAAGAAAGTCAATGTGCTTTGAAAAGCGCCACTGGAAACTGAATTCATCTTCTAACCTCTCATGATGAGCCTGAAAAGACTCACGAACAAACTTGAGCAAACAATACAGGTAAACTAATTAAACCTTATTTAGTCACCTTTTTTCCTTTCAAATGTTTATAATGAATAACCTTGCGAATCAAATTGACCATCAACTTTGCTTTGTCTTGCTTTACTTGCTTCTTTGTTTGTCCCATTAATCAACAAAACTTGATTCATGTTCATCTTCAACAATCACACAGATTAATTACTTGGCTAACCAGCAAATTATTCAACTTATCGGAAGCTTCACTCGAACATCCTGAAACAATTATATTAATACAATGAGCTTCATTCACTTGCAGCCATTATCATAATTAGTTGAAGGCAATTGTCAAGATGATCGGTAATGTTAAACCCTAATCAATGTTGACACGATGATAGGTCAGTGCGCCTTTAAAGGCGCTTCCCTGTGTGTTAAATGAAAAGGCTTTACAAGATGACATCAATGAGGCGTAGCACTGGCAGTTTGGTGAGTGTAGCTTCCGCTAATTAAAGGTCTAAAAGGGCGAAGAGAAAAAGACATTTTCTAATGAATTTGGTCACACATGCCGATGGTGACACGATTTTCTTGCGCGTGTCCGGATATTAACATGTGTCAAGTCATGAGTCACTTTGTACCTTTAACCTCGCCCTGGTCGTGGACAGGTAGCCAAGGGTCCAGAAGGTGACTAAAAGGCCCTCTCAACCAAAGAAGACAAATGATTCTATCGATTGGCTTCAAATCATTTGGTTATTATTTTAGTCTTTTGTTTTCTTTTCGTAAAAAAATGACTTTTCTTTCTTTCCGTTTCAACTGGGCCATTGATTTACTCGACTGGATAATGATGTTGATATTGATTATGATGGTGATTGGGACGAGAGTGATGATGTTTAAAACAGAGCAATTGTAAGTTGGAGAAGAGCGAAGAGCAGGAAAAGTAATAATTTATAGCGATTTCATTCATAAGATAACATAAAAGCTGTGAAAAGTGGGTGATTAATGTTGTCTAATGGGTTACCTTCAATGGACCATGGATGAAGGTGCATTCATCATCAAATATCTTGGGGCAATTTAGAGCCACTTTTACTTTTGTTTTGTTTTCCCATTGCATTTAAAATATAAACAAAACCAACTTTTCACTTCAACAATCCCAATCCTTAGTTGAATTCATAGTTAAAAAGGCGATAATTGCAATCGAAATATCCATAGAAAGCACAAAGTTTAGCCAAAGCTTCGCTAATCATTTGCATACTCATTCAATTGCATGAGTATGAATGAACAGGAATGTACCGACGCGTTTTGGTAAATAAATAAGATTCACAAAGATTGAGATCTGATTAAAAAGATTTTATTCAACTCATATTTTGAAGCATGTAATTAGGATCTTCAGGATGGTGCATTGTATTAATGCGGTAGGCTAAGTATTTCAATTAACCACTCCCATATAGCCAATATCCAATTCTATTAAATAATTCACGTTGTGACAGAGTTGTTCCATTAGTTTCTGGACTAATAGTTGTAGCGGCTTGTACCATTGACGATCCAAGGCTGATCACAATAAGACTGATTAGAATCGTCTTCAACATTTGAATCCATTTTAAAGCCATTCTGTTCACTTCTTATTATAACTTTACTTTGCACACTTAATTGTAATTGTAAATTTATATTTTAACTTGAAATAAACTTGTAATTAACTTCACTGATGAATTGTATGATATGATATAAGATGGAAAAATCGGTGCTTTTAAAGGTAAAAGGAGACCAAACTGAATCAATAAATCCCAAATAACTTCATCATCTAATGTATTGATTAATGATTGAATTTATTATACAATATTAAGCAAATAAAGTTAGCAAATTTTATTTGATTAATAATGATCAATGTATAATATGAATTATAATGTGCTTGTCTAAGGACATTTTGATCAATTAAAACATCTCCAAAGATCTACACGAGACAAAGGTTCAAATATTAATAGTCAAATCAATCAGAATTTAAATAACAAATAGTGCAAATTATTCAAAATCATCCAGTTATAACTCTCTGATTTCTGTTTAATTAGACTTATTAGAAGTAAAAAAGAAAAACTTTATTCGACTTAATATTTCAGTTTAAACGAATTTGTTTAATGTAAAATTGGCATTAGTTTAAGGGTTTTTGCTCTTGAAAACTAGTAAAAAGACATAATCAACACATTTGTGCACAAATTGACACAAATACTGGAAACTAATGGGCAAAAACGGGTAAAAATTGATTTCTTTCAAATTATATTGTGTTGGTTTGTAAGGTTATAAGAGCTGAGTCCATTCTCATGGTTTAAAGATTTCTCTTATCCACAGTTCTCAAGAAAATCGCGTTCAAAACGGAAACTTGTATTGCTTTTTGTACAATTACGGGAGCATATCTCTGCATGAAACTCGTGGTACTTTTGTATCTCTTGCTGAGCAACCAGAAAATGGTCTTATTTTGAAAAATAACATTTTCTGTTTCTAAGAAATAGAGGTAGTTCGATTTTTAGTTAAACCGATCGCATTCTGTGACCATGAAGTTTAGTGAGGTTAAACTTGATATTTGTCGATAGAATT